CGGGGGACCGGGTGCTGGAGATCAATGGCCAGGCCTTGTCCTCCGAGGAGCGCTGGGAGGGGGTGGGGGGAAGGGGGAAGGGGGAAGGGGGTGGGGGTTTGGGGGTGGGGGTTTGGGGGTGGGGGAGGGGTGAGTGGGTTTGGGGGTTTGGGGGGAGGGGGTGGGGGGGGTTTGGGGGTTTGGGGGGGGGGTGGGGGTGAGGGGTGGGGTGGGGGGGGGGGAAGTTTGGAGGGGGGGCAGCAGCGGTTTCTTCCGTCGCCAAATTTCGGGTGGGTGAGCCCATATGAGGTTCCCCCATCGGGAGCAAAGATGTTTCATCTTCAGCCAAGAGAACGAGGTCTTGGACCATTCCTACGGAGAAAGGTTTTCAGTCATGTGTGCAGCCTTCCAAACGCAGTGCGTGGTTTTGAGGGCGGGGGGTTCAGCAGTTGTGGCTCGGACGATTCTAGAGGCGCCAGAGTGGATGCCCGCGCGTCTTCCTTTGAATTCCCGGAACACATTGCCCTTAGAATGAGCCTTCGGGGTACATGGCTGTGGGTCAAAACCCTGTACCCCTGGTGAACATCGGTGGCAAATGGATGCTCATCCATTCCAAAATGGAGCCACAGGTTATGCCCATGGCCACATTGGCTCGACAGTGCGCAACAGTCACGCCTTCCGCTTGATTGAAATTGGACGCCTGGTAGGTGCTGATGTGCTCAGCTGCCGGTTTTTCCCTTTCCAAACCCGCGCCGGCGATACTTCAGGGCGACTGGGTGTGTCTTTTACTGAGGGTACTCTTTTTTCTTTGGGCATTTTATTTGTTTTTAATTACGGGAAACCAAAAGGGAAACCAAATCCATTCTGGGGGGTCCAACCTCAAAGATGACACGCCTGAATGAGCGGGCGGTTTCGACGAATGGCAAAGGAGATGGTGGCAAAGCAGGGGCCCCCAGACCGCTCGTATTCTTGTGGGACTCAAGATCCCTTCTGGAGGGTCAAGAGGGCGGCTATAGCCAGAGGGCTGAGAGGTTTCTTGACCTCGCTGTCACATGGTGTTGTCTTTTGGTTGACATAGGATCTCCTTTGTGGAGCGTCAGACGAAAGGGATCGTTTCTTGGCCGCCTTGGTTGGGGCAAACAGTTGGAGGTTTTCAGAGCTGAACGGGGCAAAGGGAAAGGGGCCAAAAGGTGGCAAAGGAAAGGTTCCAAAGCACCTGGGTCTGAGGCAACTGTGCAGAACTTGCATACATCTTGTGGGGCCATCTTTCATGCTACCAATCAACGCGCACCAGGCGAATGTTGCACAAAAGCCGCGTGGCAATGTACGCCGAGCTTTTTCCCAGCAGATTGAAGTCGTGGCACATTTTTGGGTCCATTGTGTACCGTTTCCTTCACATGCGTGATTGTGGATCTATTTGCCATGTGATAGACTGTCCCATCCCAGGCAAAAGTGCTGATAGAGTTGACGTATTCCCATTGGATTGTACCACAAGGGGCATCAGAGCGACAAGCACAAGTTGTAGATTCGTGACATGTGCGGATGTCTGTTCCCTGTTTCTCCTTCAAATCTACTGTTTGGGTGACTTGTTTTGGCCCAGCACTGTTTAGCCTTTGTGAATGGGCAAACCCACTCCAGTACCACCGGCACGCTTGACAACACAATAGAGTTGTGATGAGCGGGCAGCTCTTAACAAATTGGAGCTAGCTGGGAAATTTGTCCTCAGCCCCAACCGTTCTGCGATGACTTTGCGTTTGTCGTTGCTACTTTTTTGCTTCTCAAGCATTGCCGCCCGTGGTTTCAAATCTTGTGAAGCACTTGGTTGGTGGTTTGGATTGGCAGTTGGGTGATTTGAACCTCCGGCCGTTGAGGGGAGATAGAAAAAGAACATGTCTGACCTCCAAACCACCCATCCAAACAAACCAACAGGGAAGTTGACCAGATCTTCAGTTGCACCCTGCTTTCCGGGCAGGCTGTCCCACGAGCAGGAGCTGGTGTTGAGTGTGTTGCACTACGACCAGGCGGGTTGGATTGGCGGCGTTTGGGGGTTTCGTGCTAGGTTCCAGCCGAGGTCCAGTCGAGTAATGGGAAGTTCGCCCGAAGGGTAAGCTAGTTCCACAGAGCGTTGCAGTGGAGGGGAGCCCGAGCTGATGCTTGCGTCGAGGGCCGATACCCTTGGGCAACATTGGGGTTGATTTAAAGGGGACACCACCGCGACACCGCAAGGACCGAGGCGTCATTTTGTGCTGCCTCTCAACCCACCCATGTAACAACTTTCGCGGCGGCATCAGGATCAATTTTTCTCCAGATCAACATTTGAGGCAAGAAGGTGGAAGGTCACACGTGACAGTGCCTGGAGTAGTTGCTTATTCAGTGGCTTACTCCTTGCCCCTCAGTTCTTTCCAACCACTGGCAGCAGTGTTGTCTCATGCGGCTTTGGGTCCCGGGCTGCTTCTTTCCAGCTCCCAAAAGCCTTCTCCAGCACGGCACACTTCCTGCGACTAGCGAGGGTCCATTCGGTCCTTGCGATCAAAGTAGTGCTTTCAAAGCGGAAGGAAGGGACTCTAACAAGGAATATTTTTTGTCGACCAAATGCTGGGCCTGTTCCTTGCTCAAAATATGAGAACCAATGGACGTGGCCGGGCAGGATAAGGAGATTCCGCTGAATGGTATGTCTAAACTGCCATTGGTTTTTGGCGAGGGCAACAATCACGCACCCTCTTTCCAACAATAATGGAGTCCTTCCCTGTCCGCTCCCATGATTGGAGGGAGGGTATCGTGAGGAGAAACCTTCCCCCGGTTCTCAGAAAGCCAACACTGGCCCCTCTGAATACCGGCAGTGCCCCACGCTGTTTTTTTTTTTTTTCCCTTGTGGATTCCACTGGCCAAACTCGCCAGGAGTCCGGCGCGGTTTGAGGCGGGAAAGCGAAGCCTTTCGGGGCCTGTTGGAGGGTGCTGAAGGATTCTCTCCACGCGAAGCTCGCGGGCAAAGGAGGCAGTCAGTGGTTCTCAACGTGGTCGTCTTTCCTTTTTGGTTTCCCTTTAAAACCAAGCCTTGACAGGGTGCCCTCAAGAAGACATGCCCAAATACACCAGATCCTTTCCATGGCCTACCCTTTTCGGACCATTGCGCCAGGTACCTTGAAACGGACGACGTCTCACCTCGAATTCGAAAGGCATCGGTTCCCTGCCGCACTGCACAGGAAACTTGTCCACTCGCCGCATAAACAAACTGGCGGCTATGTGGAGCTTGAGCTTCCATTTTTGTGGACGAGAGGTCATTTTTTGCCAGATTCGAACTGCTTTGGTCAGATACCCCTTTGGGGATTTCAACCCCTGGTTCTTGTGAAACCAACAATTTCAGGGAAGCTGCTTTCTCAGTGGTTCAAGGCTCCTCCGCGGATGTGGCGTGAATTTGGCAGACCGGCCGTGGTGCGCGCGGGCTGGCGATCGCCGGCCCCGGCTTCTCTTGCAAAGTCTCAGCTGGGCAAGCTGGCTGCGCGGCGAGGTTTTCGGTGGCGGATGGGACTTGCATTCACGTTCATGGGATCCAGGGACCGGAAGCATAGGCGTCCTTTTGATCGGTGAGTTGGGCGAAAAGTCGATGGATTGCCCACCTTGCCAGGGCCATCTATGGCTCCAAAAGGCCACCTACCACTGGAAGTCGCTCAAGAGGCGGTTTCTGAAGCATCCAAGAGTACTTGTCATGTTCTGATAAGGTAACCTTCACAGGCGCCAGACGAGGGACTTTGACTCCTAGCCCCCCCAAATGGGGGCGGCAGTCAGTCCTGGGGATGCGGTGCATTGACCGCGGAGGTTGAACATGGTGGTGTTGGCAGTGCTCTTTGTTGGCATGGGTTGTTTGCCCTTGATACTGTGGATGGACGAAATCCTGCACCACCTAAAAATGATGCTTCCCCTGTAAAAAACAAACAAACTAACAATGGGTTCTAATGGTTTGACAAGTGGTGCGAAGCGGATGTTGTCCAACCACAGTAAATGATCCCTTTGCAAAAAGTTTCCATCCCATCCCCAGCGTTTTGAACTTTTGCATGTCTCGTGCAGGATGCGAGGTCCGCGCATTGGGCCAAAAAGGACGCGCCTGCCCCGAGTCTCAACTTTCGGGAAGAGTGACGACGTTTTCTTTTCTTTTTTAAAGCTGCAAGAGACTTCCTGCATTGTTTCGGTAGTTTCGTTTGAGTTTCTTTTGGGAAGCAACGGGTCCGAACCAATCTACGAGGCTTGCGCACCTGCGTCTTACCAGGACGTTTTGGCATCTGAGGCACTTGCCCAGAGGTCTTGTGATCCTGACTCACTGATTCTTTTTTCACCTGCTGATTCTTTTTTGACTACAGACACGATCCAAAATGATTTGGGTGGGCACTTTTGGGACACCGCATGCTGGAAGCGATTGGCATGGCTCAGCGATTGGCATGGTGAACTGGACGGAAGGTTTTCCCCTTATGAACCGGGCCTCCCGAAAGCCGTTATCGAACGCTGACTGACGTTTGCGAGCCAGCTCACTTCAAGATTGCTCGGGGCACACCTTGCAAGTCTGTCCCGCAAACCAGCCAGCTGGCTCAAAAACAGCCCCAGAATTCAAGGAACCAAGCCGGCCAGCCACTCATTTCTCGGGCGGTCAGCCATTCATTTCTCGGGCCAAACCATTCATTTTCCAGCCGGACGAAAGCAAATGCAAGCGAGCTCGACCCGCAATTTTCAGCCGATGGCCCGAACGATTTGAGATGACGATGGAATGCATCCACGAGGCGGGGTGCAACATGGGCGAAATTGCAGTGAATAAAGTGTTCCGTCCTTTTCTTTTTTGGTTCTCAAGTACAGATCTCCATTTTAAGTATTTGGGCATTCTTTTTTGCCGCCCAACATAGGGTATCAATTTAAAACACACACACACACACACCCGTGTGGTTGCCAGCCTGACGTCAACTGGAGGGGGGGGGGGGGAGAAAGCCTCCAAAGTGATGCAGGGGGGACCTCCTCCCAACTCGAGCGATTTGGAGGACCGCGAGGTCTCACCCCGAGCCCGATCGGAAGAGCAGGCGGGCGCGTGGGGGGAAGGCGGGGGTGGGGGGAGGCCGCAGGGGGGGGTTGGGGAGCGCAGGAAAATGCTCAGATCGCCCTTAATTCTGAGAAGGCATCAAAGGGGAGCGGCGGAACCCATCCATCGCTTAAACAAAATAGTTTGGATTTGGATTTGAACCGCTGGCTCTTGTAGGGTGCAAATGGGAAACCCCTCCATTTCTCCACCAAACCACAAATCCAAAACTACCAATGAGAGAAAGCTGAAATGCGGGCTGCAAGGCCCTGGCGTGCCGGAAAAAATGCGAAGAGGTGACGTCCCTTTCCTTCTTTGGCTCGCGGCCTTCACTCCCGGGACTCCCGTTACCAGGGTTGCCGCAACACGGGTGGCTGGAGTCGTTTCATGCATCACCCCGGGCCAGCAACCCAAGAAGGGGAGGCACAAAACCACGTCGCAGGCTGGGCGGCTGGGCGGCTGGGCGGCTGGGCTTTTCGAGCTTTTCGATTCGGATGGTTCCTCTCAAGACAGTCGGAAGATCCACCTGCCGCTTCAACCCTCTTGGTGTTGGAGCCTGAGGTCGTCGCCATGTTTTTGCAGGATCACCACCGGGGTAACAGGAACGCATGGCGGTCTTTTCACCTTCAGCCTGCAGTGTTTTTTTGCAGTTCGCAGGCTGTGTCTATTGAAATGGTTAAAGGGGCTGTATTTTTTGTGGTGGAGGTTTCATAGTTCGCCCCTGCCACGGATCCAATGACCCAGGGGGAGAAAGTCTGGACACAGAAGGTTCCCCCTTTTTGGTTCCAACAGGAAACAACCACCATCTGAGATGCGCCGAGCTCATTTTGGATCCCAACACGATTGGCATTGTTTTTGTTTTTCCTCTTTTCCTTTATCAACTCAAAAAAAGGGGGCTCTCAAGAAAGCGCACACAGAAAATCGCACATCTCCTTTATCAACTTAAGGGGCTACAGAAAAGCCCACATCTCCTTTGTCAACTTCAGGGCCTCTCAAGAAAACGCACACCCAACAAAGCGCACAAATCTTATGGTTTTGTTTTTTCTCCTCATTTGTTTTCTCGCACACACACACACATACACACAAAAGCGCACATGTTTTTTTCTTCTTTTTTTCTTCCCCTCGTTTTCCCCATTTTTGGTCGGCGCGAAACCGGGATCTCCAAAACCGTCCGTCCGCTGTGACGTGGATCAGTCGGATGGGGTCGCAGGAGAGCGACTTCTCCTCCGTGGCCTCGCTGAGCCGGCAGTGCACGGAGTTCAGCGATGTGGTGGCGCAGGAGCCGAGTCGATCCGATTCGGCCCAAGCTTTCGCTTTGGAGCGAGCGCGTGGGTTTTGTGGCGATGGTTGTGGTTTGTGGTTCGTGGAGGGAGGGTTTTAGTGTTTCTTTCATGTGGAGGATTCATGTGCTAGTGATATTTTTGTTTTTGTTTTTTGAGGAAGCTGAGGAGGATCTTCAGGTTGGCCGGAAGCACCGGATGCGATGCGGGGGCATGCTGCAAGTGCACTATTTTCTTCTTCCTTTCTGCAGGAGTTGGGAGGGGATGGCTGGGATTTGGTATTTCCCTCTCCGAAAAGTGGGATCGCTCGGGCAGCAGTGGCACCTTGGGATCGAACCGCTTAGTGAACCCTGCATTTTTTTTTCTCGACGTGGCTGGCCAGTTCAGATTGCGGTCTGCCAGCTATGTGAATGGTTGGCCACTTCTAAGGTTGGTTGCACTAGGCAAGTAAGTTGATAGCAATCCGAACAGGACCGGTGAAAGAGCTTCCAAGGAGAAATCAATAGCTGCATAAACGAGCACAACACTAGGCCAGTACATTATTTGACCGTTCTTGAAAAGAATAGTTAATTGACAAGAATTCAAGAAAGGCTGTGAAGATATCGCCTTGGCCTGTCCAAGCTCCACCCCAGTGCCGCTCACTTGATTCACCAAAGTTCTTCGGCCGCTGCAAGGCGCTTGGCACGGAGCGAGAACTGAAGGATTCAATTCTGGAAGCTAGCTGGGCGAATGGCTCAGCACGGACTGGGCGGGACAAAACGTAGGTTGAAAGAAAGAGCAGCAAGAAAGAAATGTAAAGGAAGAAAGATTGAAAGAAAGAAAGGGAAGCAAAAAGAAAGAAAGAAAAAACAAATACATATGTAAAGAAGAGCACTTCAGACAGAAAAAACATAGCGACAGAACATAAAGAAAGAACAGATGACGAAATAGACCGAGGCTTTTCAATCCACTGCCGAAGCAAGTCTGCCAAACTGCGGACCTGGCAAGGTTCTGCCCTTGCCAACTTGCCAGGGTTCAAACCCTGCAGCGCTTTTCAACTTTCAGTACGAAAGTAGTAGCAAAGCAAGCCAGCTCCAGCTCAAATCGTAGCTTGTCACGAATGTGTGCAAAGTACACTTTCTTGAGCTCCGCCCCGAAAAAGTCCCAACTTATCAGCGAATCAGTGCAAAAGTGGCTCACGAGGTGCGCTTTTCCGGCTCCGGCGCGAAACATGAATGCATGCGAATTCAGAGAGGTGGGTAGGTAAATCGATCTATGGAAAAAATACAAATCAGACGGGCAGAAAGATACGTAGATAGGAAGGGAGATAGGTAGACAAATGTAAAGGAAACACATAAATCATGTCAACAAGTAGATAGACAGATGGATAAAGAGACGGATACTGTAGATAGATTGATTGATAGACAGATAGACGGATGGGATGGGCAAATGGACATGTAGATACTGTAAACAGATTTGTGCACGGATGAATAGGTGTAGGATAGATACACAAATCAATATGGCAAAGTGGATAGGCAGAGACATGCACAGATATATTGTACTTGCCACCATTTGCATTCGGGTTCGTGGCTTCTATGAGCTTGCAGCTTCGGGCTGATATCAAGAAATCATTTCACCGTATCAACTGCTACCCTCCCGCCAGCTAGCAAGAAAGTGCACCGACCCCTGTAGAAAGATGACTTTCCTCTTGGAAAGGACCTTTTTGCACTTCCAGGTTAGTTGGTGGGAGGGTCAATCTTCTATATCCCAGTTGCCCAGTGCTGCCCTTTTTCCTCTTTTTTTCTGGCAAGGGTTCCCCTTTAAAGTCAACAACAAAATATGCCCTTTTTTCCCATGGAAATCCACTGGGCATCTGAGATATCAAAGATTCTTTTCACAACGCCAAAAGCGACTTCTCTCCTTTTGGGGGAACGTCCGGGTTGCCTCGGTCTGGCTCTTTTGTTCTTTTTTTCTTTTTCCGCTTGCAGTATCGACCCGCTTTCGGCGCAGGACCTCATGTCGCGGCAGCTCACCGACTTTGCCACGAGGCATCGGCCGCCTTTTTCCTTTTTTTTCTTCCTTTTTTTTTGGTTTTTGAAGTGAGGGTCTGATGTGGTTCAGGAAACCCGTTGGTTGTGTGGGTTGGCTTGGACTTGAAGTTGAATCCTTTCGAATGGTTTTAAGCGATCCTGTCGTTGTTGGATGGGACTAAGGGGAACTGGTTGAGTTTGATTGGGGGTGTCCCCCTTGTGGCTTTTGAAGGGGAACTGCATAGCACGCGCACAGCTAAGACTATGTTAAACCTCTAGCGCAAATACACCCGACACGCGGTCCAAATGAGAAACGGTTGGGGACGCGAAGAGTTGAGTTTTAAGGCCAACGTTGACCGCGGATTTCATACATCCTTATGATGAAGAGCCTCTCAATGCAAGGATGCAGTTTTGAAAGGATACTATGGCCTTGCCACGCCCTTTTTTGTTCTGAGTTTGCCGATGCACGCTGCCCGTCTCGCTTTCAGCGTACTCTTGGTCAGCCGTGGGTACTCCCTTACCACGCCACTGCCTCTTGGGTCCCCCAGCGATTGGGTAGCGCACAACTCTCCTTTCTCTGGCGGCTGACCGCGAGAAAGCCCCGGCTCCAGCCTGATTGAAGCCGCTTTGCCCTGAATCCAGGGGAGAGATTATTCACAGGATCGCTGCGATCCCCCCCAAAAGATACCTCCCAAATGTGATCACAGGGTTGGGGGGGGGGATCACGGGGATCCTGTGAGTTATCTTCTGGCTGTCTTTTTCAGCAAGCAGAAGCAAGGGCGAGAGGAGCGATGTTCCCCGCATCCCGTCGCTCGCATGAAGAACAAAACACCCAAGCAGCTGATGGGACCCAAGCGGAGAGGTTACCAGCTCGAGCCTTTGGCTCTCTCAAGTCTTGACCAGTGGCCTTGGCTCGAACCTGGTAACCTCCACTGGTTTGGATTGGCAAGGGTGTCTTCCTTCAAAGAAGGGAATCAACAAGTCCAGTTCCAGAGCGCTCTCGAAACCAAGCCCGAACAAGAAAGCTACCTCCAAAGCAGCGACCCAAACCAACCTGAAAAAGCGCCAGTGATTTCCCCCAATGTCCAAAGGGAAAACAAGACACCGACACAAAGGTCTCCCGGTTTTCACCCTATCTGGGAAGATCCACCATCTCTTTGCGGGAACGCCTGCAAGGATTTTCTCATTGCGCTACTTGGATGTTCGTTGCCAAGTTCGTAAGTGGTTCGCCACCTGCCCACTTGGGCTAGCTCTACTGAACCGGGGGATCTACACGTGGGTGACGTAGCGTTTTTTCACCCAAGTACCATCAAGGTGGGGTTTTCTTTTGGGTTGGGCCCCCGCACAATAGGTGGTTTTCTTTTGGCTTCCCTTTTGAAACCAACCAAAAGGGGGGTAGCCTCAAAAACAGACACCCCCAGGTGGTTTGTTTTCCACCCAGGGTTGCCAAAAACGAACTAGGTGTGTTGCCCCTGTTTTGGTGGTTTTAAATGAGAAGCCAACCAAAAACACATCATTCGATTTTTGTGTGGGGGTTCACAAAAGAACAAAACAAACACACCCGAGTTCGGTCGCTGCCTCCGCTTTTCGGGAGGCAGGGGGACTTCTGGCTCCGCAAGTGCACGGAGCCGGTGCCTTTCCGGGGCGGGCGACACCTTGAGCAAGGCGCGAGAGGGCACCCGGCCCGCTTAGAGCTTCGCGCAAGGTGAAGGAAGGGGAAATACAAACACAACTTCTGAAATGGCCGTGGCTGAAAAAGTGGTACCCAACATGGTCTCTTAGTAGAAACCAAGACCAAAGCCTGCGTACGCCCGGCTCTTTGATTTTGAGCCACTTCTGAAATGAGGCCCTCAGAGATCAGAGGACTTTCTCTACTCGCTTGCATCGTAAACCTTTGAGAGGCAGACTTTTGCGCATATACATTTGCCATACGATCTTTTGCTCCTTTGACCGGCTCCTCCGGAAACCCGAATTTTTTGTTTGTTTGAGGAAGTAGAGCTAAGCGAAGTGTGGACACAAAGGGAGCGCGTTGCAATGGTGGCCCCTTTTGACCCCAGGAAGACAAGCAACGCAGCGCTGTGATAAGCATTTGGTTTGACTTCAGCGATCAAGGTTTGCGGAGCAGAACGCCTGTAACTTGATGCAGGATGGCGTGGATGAAACGCACTGCACAGGAACACTCTGCACCTGGAGCTGTTCCGACATTCTACCATGTGTTCCTGGTTTCAACCCTCTTGTCATGATCCAAACCGGGTTCAGCTCTCCAAGGATTGTTTGGGACATTGAGGGTTCCCATTTCCGTCCACCTTGCCATATGCAGTGCGCGGAGGTATGTTCCACATATGTTGCCTCACTAGAGCCATTGTCTATATGTGGGAATCTCAAAACAAACAACAGCCTGGGACCCCCCCACCCCCGCGTCCCCCCCCCCCCCCCCCCGAAATTGGTTGTTTCTTTTCTTTTTTCTTTTTTTCCCGTGGCATCTTTCCTTGGAACTTCTTGGAACCAACCAAACCTTCAAACCTTCCACCCGCGCCGCCCTCCGAGCAACGACGCACGACGCAGGACCCTCGAGCCTCGCCGCTCGCCGCGAGCGCCGCTCGCCGCTCGCCAGGAGACTTCCTGCGCCAGAGCTCTTGCCCGCCGATCGGCCTGAAGAAGGCGCGCTCGCGGTGGTTGGCCGTGGAGATGGGCAGAGCCTATCCCTCCCAGAAAAAGACAAACGCTTCTCAGAGCTTTTTGCTAGAAGGCCCCCCTCCAATCCATGTGAGGAAAAGTTGCCAATCTTAGCGGGGGGCTCGATTTGGTCATTTGGTCACGCATCATGGTGTGCCTTGAAATGTGTCCACTTTCGGGCCCAAGGTTGGACAAAGACACTCTACCTGCCTACTGCTGGCCGCGAGATTTTTTCGCCTGGCTGAGTTCCGAAGGGGATTTTTCTTGTGATGCAACGAAGATTTGTTCAGCCCGGTGCAAAAACAAGGCCGGCAGTGGATCCAAGATTCACCTTTCCATGGCTCTGTTGGCCTCGTGCCTTTTTTTTTTGAAGAATCCAAGAGGGTGCTGACAAAGCCGCGTTCTTGCACTTTCTGTTGCACGATTGGTCCCAACTTGCATGGCCAGTGTGTTCCTCACCAGCTGAACCGGTTCCAGGCATTTTCAGTTTCACCACTCAGAAGCTCTCCGCTGCGGCATGGTAGTGGCTGATATTTCTTTTTTCTGCTCCATGGGTAGGGATGCCGTTCGCCGAGGCCCGTTCGGCGCGGCGCGTTGCTTTTTTTTTAAACATTTTTTTTTCTGCGGCGGTTTCCCAGGAGAACGGAGAGTTCGCGACGATCCAAGAGGCCATAGTGCAGGAGGAGCCAGAGGACCTACCTTTTCGCGAAGACACGAACACGAGCGAGCGGCCGATCGGCTCGGAGCGATTTCTTTTTTGAGCGGATCTGGTTTCGTTGAGTTTTTTTGAGTTTTTTTTTTTTTTTTGTTTTTTTTTTTTTTAAATATTTATATTTTGTGTGTGTGTGTGTTCCTTTTTTTGCGGGTGTCGGAAGAGTGGAAGATCAGAATTAGGAAATGGACAGGGAGAAAAGTTGAAAGTGCGAGGTGACCAGGTTCGACAGGTTCTCAGGGCTGGATGGAGGAAGCCACTCGAGTTGAGCCAGATGTCGTCTTGATGTCAGGTCAGCAAACGCTTCTGGTCGTCGATTTGGTTTTAAGCCGCAGCGGTTTTTAGTTGACCTCACGGCTCGGGACTGGATGATTGCGTGTCGATCTTCGCGAACAAAGTACTCCTTGGCCCGCTTGGATTCAGATTTGGGGGGCGGGGGGGCGGGGGGGGGGGAGACATTACATTGTCTACAGATCAGGCTCTTGATTTGACACTCTGAGTTTTGTTGAGTTCGGAAGAGGCTGATTTGACACTCTGAGTTTTCTTCGTAGGGGGAAGCACCTGAGAAGTGGCTGGAAATCGGGAATGCCAACTCCCAGCAAGTGGCTCAGGGGTCGCCTTGTCCGAGCCGACGGCTGGGAGTTGATTGATCGCTGGTGGGGTCAGTGGTGGGTTCGGCGCCGCAGGGCAGCTTGGACCGTTCGAGAGGAACTCTACGAACCCTTTGCTCCACGGACGTTTCTGGTGTGATTATGGGGAACCCTTTCCCCCCAACATTTTCCGGAGCAGCGCCAACAAAAACATGGGCGCCCGAGGCGAAATGAGTCGTGCCATACGCTCGCCCACGCCAATTCGCGGCATATTTTTTCCCGATCCGACCCCAGAAGTGGCACGAGAGACCTCTGCGCAGGATGTGGCGGCGGAGGAGGAGGACGACCTCATCTCGCGGGCCATCTGTGCGGCCGTGGGGGACTGCCCATTTTCGGCTGCTCAGCGAAGCAGGAATCGAAGTTGGGATCCCGAAAGCTGCACGCCAGCGCGCCTGGAACTACTGAAGGGTTCGCTCGTTCCGTCCTCGGAATTGGTGTTTTGTCTTGGAGCTCGTCTTTCGAATTCCATGAAGGGGCCGAGTTTTCAGTCAAGCCGCAAGAGTGGCACGAGTCCATGCTTGGGGATGGATCTCGTTTGCGCGGCCAGTCTTCACTCGACCTTTGCGATCCGTTCACCCCCCCCCACTATGCAAGAGATCCCCCAAAATGAAAGGCCCCACCCCCCGCTCCACTATGGAAGATACCCCTCTAACCCAACCCCCGCCGCCCCCCAAAAGCGGCAAGGAACGGTCTTCTTTCGCATCAACATGGCTGTGGCTCAAAATCGAACAGGAGGGGCAGACCGCAGGTTTTGGTCCATTCCACTTAGGGCAACCCATTTGGCTGTGGGTCAAAACCAATGGGATCCCATTTTGGAGTAGGTGAATTCACCACCCATTTTAGAACCTATTTTAGTGGGGATTGGTTGATGTTCACTGGGGGTACGATTTGGAGTTCGCCCCATGGCCATGTTGGAATGCCCGTCCGTTTTTTTTGGGCCACAGCCACAGGCCGGGAGCTGTTGGAATTCCGGGGCCTCGGGGCTCAGGTGGCCGCAGCGGATCCTACAGGCTTGGACTCCGAGCTGATCGCCCCTTGGGCCCATCCGAGGGGGGGGGGGGGCGATGGGCTGATGGGCTGGGACCTGGGAGGTCTCGAGGGCGGGAGGGGGGAGAATGTTGCGATTGTTTTACTTCCTGAGGAAGGAAGTAGATGAACAGATGAAAGGAGGAGGCCTTGATGTCGAAGTAAATTTTGGAGAAGGTCCCGTGGCAGGGAATTTTCAGGCAGAGATCTTGTTGATATACGAATTGGACGACTGAAAAGGTGCAAAACTCCCGGCAAGCATATCGAGATTGCCTGGGCCCTTTTTGTGGGTTTTCTTAGGACACCGAAACGCCCCCTGCTTTGGGCTCCCCCACCAACAAAACATGTACCAGGCGTCCCAATTTGGTCAACACTTTTGGTTTTCCCAAAAGCAACATAGCCCCACGTTAAAAAAGAAAAAGACAAGAAATGTTTAAAAGAAATGTTTAAAAGAAAGCAAGAAAAAAAAAAAAAAACAATGACCAGGAAAAGCCCAGACCTTTGGCCCTTCGCTTCCCAAGACCTTGGCTCATATTTCGCCCCCGATTTCCGCGGAGTGGGGACTTTGGGGGAGCGGGCGCGATGGATCGAAGGCTGTGTCGGAGGGCTTTGTGGAGCTCAGCGGTTTCGACCGGGAGGAAGCCGTGGGCCGGGGGCCCCGCCGTCGAGCCGTCGAGCCGTCGAGGTGTCGAGGTGTCGAGGCGTCGAGCCCATTCTGAAAGGGAAGCACGGCGTGCGTCAAAACTTACGGCACGTCTCAGCTGCTCAAGACAAGCCTATGTGTGTGAGTCACTTGGGTGAGGGTCCAAATTTAACCACCAGGGCAACCCATTCTGGGTACCCATTTCTGACCCGCGGACATGTGAGACCTTGCGCATCCAAAAAAGCACCTTGCGCTTCGCTCACGTGGCAAGTCCTTGCCTCAAGACCCTTGAGACAGCCTTGGGCACTGCCGTACCTGCAACTTTCGTTAGTTTTTATCGGCCAAAGTTGGGTGTGTCTTTTTTAAAGATTGGGCTACCCCCAAAAATGGTGGGCTCCCCCTCCTTTGGTTTGCCTTTACAACCAAGCTCAAAAAAGACAGACCCGAGCAGCACCGCGCTCAAGCGGTTGAGTATCTCAATTTGAGGCTTTGGTTCCGGGTTCAGTGGAGGCTTCCAGGCTTTGCTAATGTCACCCATCTGGCATCTTCACCCTAGACCATTTTTATATATTATATATATATATATATCTATATAGTTAATACCATGTATATATGATTCCCTTTGAAACAATGAGCCCAAACTCATAAACCGATCCTATGCATCCTGTCGGGCTCAACAGCTCAGTGATCCGGATTCCACGACCTAAAAGGGGCTCCCCTCAAAGGCAGGCCAAAGGGGAACCCCCCCATAGGTGGTCGTTTTTTTTGGTTTCCTCTCCTTTCCGGGCCTCAAGCAAGCAAAAGCTGATGCACCAATAAACATATGTGTATATATATATATATACAATATATATACACATATATATATATATATATGTATGCTGATGTTTGTAGATCTTTCCCCTTCGCCCCGTGCTTTTTTTCTTTTTTCTTTTCTCTTTCTTTCGGAATGCGCGGATCTCCGCTGCCTCCGATGTCTCTTCGGCTTCGGAAGCCTCGGCTTCGGAAGCCTCGGGCCTCGGGCCTTCGGACTCCGAGGCGCCAACTGCCGGTTCCTGGGGGAGGGCTGCCCCGCGAGCCCCGTGGAGCTGCGGGAGGCCTGCGACAGCGGCGCGCGGCTCGGCGAAGCCGGCGGCTTTTGGGCTGGTGGGTTGGGGGGTGGGTTTGGGGGGGTTTTTGAGGGGTTTTTGAGGGGTTGGGGGGTGGGTTTGGGGGTTTGGAGTCTTCTTGTTTTTCTTTTTCTTTTTTCTTGTTCTGTCTTTGTTTGTTGGTTTGTCATTGTTTTCGTTTTGGAGTGCGTTGCTCTCGCGCTTTGTGTTTTCAGTGTTCTTGTCTTCAATTTTGCTGGAAGCCAAATTGGCCGAAAACCCTTTGCCTTGTCTTCGAGGCGGTGTCTTGGGTCGCCCTCCCATGTCGCAGGCCGTAACCATATGGCCGCCCGCCTGCTTGCCCGCGTGCGCCAGCCGAGCAGCCGAGGCCTTTCACGTCAATCCTGGTGAACAAGCGCAAGAACGGCCGCTTGCTACGGTGGGCCGGGCGTTTGTGCGGACAGAGGTTGTCTTCCGTTTTTTTGGAACAGAGAGATTTTCTTCGTGAACCTTGGTTTGCAAGAGGCAGTCCTTGAAAAACGCTCACAAGCTTGCGGGGCAGCGGTTGTGACCGAGCAAAATTCCCATGTCGCTGGCACGCGCCAAGTTCCCGTAGGTGTCCTTTTTGGCAGAAGAATAGGTGGCGATTCCTGGTTTATCTGGTGGTTTAATCATCTTCCATGTCTATCTATCCTCCCCTGAAAGGACACCAAGTTCCCGTGGCGCGGCTGCAATCTGAGGCGAGTTTTTCTTGAATCTTCTGACTCTCCGGGGCCTGGTCTTGGCGAGAAATCCCCAGTCCGGCGAGGAGCGGAGCGCAGCCCGAGTTGGTACTTGGCGAGATTTGGGGGTGGGTCCGGTCAAAAATAGGGGAAACCCCAAAATGGGCTGCCCCATGGTAAATGGAAACTAGCACTAACACCTGTACTTTTCTTGTGGTTTCATGTTGACCCATAACAGGTATGGGTAGGGTGTTGGGTGCTCTTGAGACACCTGCCTTCCTTTGCTGAGAAGGAGCTGGGCGCAACATGCGTCTCATGCTGTAAAACGAGGTTGAGACACGGTCACCCTTTCACCTGCGAGGAGCTGTGGATCCTGATGTCAGTTCAGCAGGACGTCACCGGCATAGCCGCAGACGCACTGCCGAGCAACGACGCGCTCATGCAGAAGGAGGGCAGAGTCCGGATCGATCCTGTGGCTCAAAAAACCGGAATTCCAAAATGGAACCCTGGTAAGTGGAAACATGGACCAAATCCTGCGTAACCCCTCCTGTTTAATTTTTAGCCACAGCCAGATCCTCCTTGCCAGCCTTCCTGGAACACGCAACCTCCGGCTTTCAGGGTGCTCCGCTTGTTTCTCCGCGATCTCAAGAGGCAGTCCTCTTGGTTTCCGCGAGCCAAAATAAAACCAGCAGGTTCCCCGGCGCGCCGCCTCTCTTTTCCTCGTGGCCTGGGCGCGCGAGCGCCACGCGCGCCAGGTGGCTCAGCGGGTTGGCCGACGGCTGCTGAAGTATGCCACAGAGATCGGCATCGCGCGGCTGGTCCTGTCGGGCAAATGCGGAGGCTCGCGGCTGGATCCGATGGGATGGCGGGAGTGCGAATGCTTTTGTCAGCTCCCTGCCCCATTGGCGAGCTGACATGTGGCTTGGGGAGGTCCTGTGCTTGGGGAGGTTTTTTCCCTTATTTCAGGTCTCGGACATATTGCAAAAGTTTGCCGAGCAGATTTTTGTGGATTCCCGTGCGGCAGTTTCGGAGGGCTCGGAAGCTCTGATTTCTGTGGGGGATCGGCTGATTTCTGGTACTGGATGATCCAAAGCAGATGCTGGGAATTGATGTTTCACATTTAGTCCACTGAACGCGGGGGGGGGGGGGGAACTTTGACCAGGGGAAGCTAATGGGGCTAATTCTTCGCGGTTCGTTGATGCGCGGGGTTAAGAAGTTGTGTTTTTGCGAGTAGCGTTGGGCCGAAACATGTTTGGTATGTTTTGAGCTTTCCGCGGCTTGTTTGCGTCGGCTTTATTTTCATCAGTGTGGGGCCTGCCGCGCGGTTTACGCGGAGCTGTTGGCACTTGCACCTACCAGTTGGTTACGTGTGTTGACCGGAGCTGGAAAATTGCTCCCACCCTGCAGGAGTTTAAACATTCCGTCTTGAGCTTGGTGTCCTGATCAACCTGCCAAACGTTAGCGCCTTCGGAGCAAAAGGCTTGAAAAATATCTTCCAAAAGCCAGCCGCCATGATCTTTTCCCACCAACTTTCATGGAACTTGACAGGGGAGTCCTGGAAGACCATTTTCCAATTAAAGGGACCGGGTCGTCCGGTTCCATTGGTGGGAGGGCATCCGACCTTCCCTGGTTACCATCCAGCACGAGCTTTCAGCGCTTTTGGGGAAGAATGTTTCGGCGTCGCGGATCGAATCCGGCCAGGCGTGATAGATCGCCACGAGGCCGGGGCCGAGTTGCAGCCTGACTGGTGGAGGCGTGTCTTAAAAAAGGGACTCCCCAAAATGGAAGTCGGCTTTCCTTCTTTGGTTTCCCTTTAAAGAAACCGAAGGGTACCCGTAAGAAAAGACAGACCCAAATGCAAATTTGCTGATGCCCATCGTGTAGAGTTGGGAGGAATTCGTTTCCCCCTAAGACCGAGGCCCAAGCTCTGGAGGGCCTGTGCCGCTGTGCCCCACCCACAGAATCGGGGCCTTCTATGGATTTGATCGCCAGACGGGAGAACAACTTTTGGTTGAAGGCTCGAGTGCTTGAAGGGATGGAGTTGCCGACTTATGCCGATCTGTCTGCAAGTGCAGGAGCATGTTGCTTTGCGCACGCGGCAAGTAGATTCAGCCGCAAGTTGGTTGAGAAAGCCCTTGGTCATAGCGAGCATTTTAAGAAGTGTGCGCATCTTGTTTTCAGCTTGCCCTTAACTTGCGACAAGGTAGAGGCGCATCCCCCAAAAGCAAGCTACGCCCTCCGCAAAGTCCGGGCCTTTTTTCCTCCGTAAACGGGACCCTGTCTTCCTCTTTTTTGTTTGCGGGGGGTTGGCATCTGGCGGATTGCTGGTGGTTTGTTGAAGCAGGCCGTCGACCCGACGACCCGTCGACCCGTCGACCCGTCGACCCGTCGACCCGTCGACCAGGGCATGCAAGTGCTGCTCGATGTGGTGTGGAGAGCCGGCAAGCCCACAGGGTTTCTTGGCTTAGGCGCAAAGCCTGGGATTTCGATTTTCCATGGGAAAGTTGGGGGCCGCCAGCTTTTGCGTGGGCATTGGCATTTCTCCCCCTTGTTTGGCGGTTCTTTGAGGTTGGCGAGCGCGAAACGGTTCCATGCGACGCAAGTGCCGGTGCTGTGAGCTACTGGGCTGTTGCGAAGCCCATTGCTTTGCCTGAACCGTCGATCAATTTTAAGAGTTGGAACCACCTGCGAACTGGTTGGCGGACAAAATCTCCTGTCCAGCAAGGATTTGGAACTCCTGCGGCATGAGGCTTCTCCCATGCTTATCCAAGAATCGATCCTCCAATCACTCTCCAAGGGTCAAGGGTAAGAGCCAGCGAAGCCGTTGTTCCTTTTATGGAGGTTTGATCGGACAATCAGCGAAACAGATGATCTCGCAGCTACACATGTGATCATGGGGTCATGTGTGTATGTGTTTGTCCGAGCTAATGGGACCCCCGTAATGGCAGCTTTCTTGATGGTTCCCTTTTCAATAGCCACCAACCTGGCCTCCTTGACACATCGCCATGACTTCACTTATTTGGCAAGGTCATGTGGGATGACCCCTGGACTGTCATGGTCACTTCTGCAGCAGAGAGGGTGGATGCATGGCATCGCGCCACTTTCATCTGCCCCTTGTGGTGTTCATGGAAGTTCGACGTCGTCCAACGCAAAAATGCAGAGATGCGTTGAGTCGACGTCTTTTCCTGCCTGCAGTTGCCTCACCAAGGAGTCAGGACTTATTTTTGCCGCAAAGACATGACTCAAACACCCGCAAACGGACACCCTCACAAGCTTCGGGCAGACTCCTTAATGTCAGATATGCTAAGGCTTGGTCTTCAACATACCTAGTACGGCTGCTACTGTTGGAGGCCCCCAACCCCCAACTGCCCCCCCCCCCCTAGCAAAGAACAAACACAATCAAACAACGGATAACAGAACAAAAAGAATCAACGCACACCACGTTTTTTTCGCTTGTGCAGCCCCCCCCCCCCCCGGAGACACAAAAACACACACACACACACACACAAAACAAAACCCGGAAAAAATGAAGAAACTAGCACACGAAGCACGGTGTTGCGCCTCCTCTCGCGGCAATGATCTCCGAGCAGAAGAGCCGGTGGTACACCTCCCGGATCTCCGAGAGCAGCTGGCGGGAGGCGATAGCACTCTTGGCGGAACTGGAGGAGGAGCATCCCATCGCACAACCTCCGCACAACTTAGAGCCGGGAGCACATTAAAAGGAATGGTCCATCAAAACCTGGGTAGATGAAGGTTAGGGACAATCCCCTTGCCATGAATAGCTGCGGATATCCGCCTTCTTGATTCTTGAAGCATGGTTCTTGGTCGACCATTTTCATGGGTTTTGATTGTGACTCACCTGACGTTTGGGACCCGGTCCAATTAAAAAGGAACAAGGGTCCAAGCCAGGACCCTTCGAGGAGATCCCGAATTTCTCCATTGAATCCTGGGGTTGACCTCAACGACGCAACGAATCCCATCTATTTGCTCCTGACGTTTGAAGGGGTTGCACTTATCTTGGTTGTCGTTGGGAAACATTTTACATTTTTGCTTGTTGTGGTTTAGTGGGAAATCACTACTTAACTGCTAAAATTTAAATTTTTGCTCCCCTTCCAACGTCAACCATGTTATTGGCAATTGCTTGGCAACTGGAAGGGTACGCTGGAGGGCACCTGACGAAGATTTTCTGCTTCACTCAGTCAGCAGGGGTCACTTTGCATGGTTTCGATTTTGTCAAAGCTGTGCAATCGGGGCACGGGTTTCTGGGTTGGATGAGTGGGGGTTGGTGAAAGCTAGCAATCAGCCAACCAGGCTGAAAGCCGTTTCCGAAAGCACGGGGGATGAAACGCAAGGGCCTGGAGTGCACAATCCCCAGAGTGACAAAAAAAAGGATAGACGATTGTAAAGAGAGCATCAATGGAGAAATCGAACAGACCATTGCACCTAGTGAGAAGGTTTTGCAGCACGACCTGCACCGACTTTCAAGCAACGGTCAGTCTTACGCCGACAATTTCGCAGCAAACACCGGATGGCGAGGAGCAGTTGGAAGCTAACACCATCACCTACAATGCGGCTCGGCATTTCAGTCAGCGAAGGGATCATTTTCTCAGCTTAGAAGTTATGCCAAGGCTCAAGTGGCTTCTGCCTGGGTGGTGTTTTTTCATTTTAGACTTGTCGGTCTTTGAGTCTTTGAGCGTGCCAGCTGCTCTTTCGCGTCTGTCACCGCGGGCTTTCATACTTTTGGGGAGCTCTGACATGGCAGTTGGCAGTTGCAGAGATACAATCCGAACTTCCAGTTAGACAAATTCTCATATAGCAAGTTCGGATTGTATCTCTGCAACTGCCATGTCAGCTTGGGAGGCAAAGTTCCGGCAGGGATTTCTCTGGTCTTTTGCGAGACGTTTCCTGGTGGCCACATGTTGTTGGACCACTTCGACGATGTGTCCAGCGGTGAAAAGCGGGGATTCAGCCTTTCTATTTGGGCTCCTCGTTTGATGTTCATTAGGTTCACCACATGCGCCTAGATGTAGCGTGGCTTGCACTAGCATGTATCCGCCAAAGTTTCCAATGACAAAACAGTACTCGGTATATGATGGCCCCACCTGAGGTTTACGACACGCCAGGGTTGCAGAGGAACAGCTTGTCTCCGGTTAGCCGTGGGGCGGTAGATGCCTTCTGCGGAAAAACCCGGGGGCCTCGGTTCTCGTGCTTTTTGCCACCAATGGGTTGGGGCGTTTCTCGTTTTTCCGCGCTTTTCCCGCGCTTCTTCAGTTTTTTTGCCACCGATGGCTTACGAAGCTTCTGGGTTCTTTCCGCGCTTTTTCCACGCTCCTTCCAGGTGTTTTCCCGCGTTTTCCCGCGTTTTCCCACGTTTCCCACGCTTCTTCCGCGCGTTTTCTCCACGTCTATGTTCCACGCTCTTGCCGCGCGTTTTGGCTTTTTTTCCCGCGTTTTTTTTTCTTCTTCTTCTCCACGTGTTCGCCACGCCAAACTTCCACGGGGGCGGGGGGCGCTGCGGCGCAGAGGCGGCGATGAGGAGCTGCGGCTGGCCGAGGGCCTTGCGGGTCCTGCGGGCGATGCAGGCGAAGGACTGGAGGGATGGGGGGGGGATGGGGGGTGAGAGGGGTGGGTGGTTTTGGGGGGTTCCGGAGAGGTGAGGAAGGGGGAAGGGGGGGGGGGGAAGGGGGGCAAGGGGGAGGTGGGGGGGGAGGAAGGGGGAAGGGGGAGGTGGGGGGGTCAAGGGGAAGGGGGAGGTGGGGGTGGGGGTTTGGGGTTGCGGAGAGGTTTGGTGTTCAACATGGTTCCAAATGGGTTCATGTTCAGAATGTCAATATATGTTTTTTCTCTCCATTGGTGTTAGAATTCCATTTTAGGTTTTGGAGGCGCGTGTGGCAGCTATCCGCTTTCGCTCCCTCGATCGATGCTTCAGGACGTGGCCGCCAGTGTGGTCACCCACAACAGCGCCGCAGGGCCTCGTTGGGCCTTCGCCCAGAGTCTGCTCGCCCGGCTCCCCGAAAAAAGGCCGGGGGAGTGGCTTCGTTCTGTTCTCCCTTTCGACCCAAAGAAAGGCAGCGAGCCCGTGCCCAAAAAAAGGACACATCCAAGTCTCTTCCCCCTAAACCCCCCCTAAACCCTCCCTAACCCTAAACCCCCCTAAACCCCCCCAAACCCCCCCCAAGCCCCCCTAACCCCCCGCAACCCCCCCCCCCCCCCCTAACCCCCCCAACCCCTCGCAGGTTGGAGCCGAGCCTCGTGTCCTCCCACACGCTGCTCCGCGGCTTCGCGACGTCCCGGCGCTGGGAACCCGCGCTGGCAGAGCTGGCGGCGCTGAGCGCGCGGGGCTGCCGCAGGGAGCGGGGGTCCAGGGGGTGGAGTGGTGGCTGGGCGCGCTGTGTGTGGGTACGGCCGGTCCCGTTTCCCCTTTGCCATTATATATTATCATTATTATTTTATTATGATTTTATTTTTTTTTATTTTTTATTATTACTACTATGATTATGATTATGATAATTATTTTTTGATTTGGAGTCCCCATGTCATGGATGGTCCTTTTCTTTTTTTGGATTTGGAGCCCCCAAGTTCTGGATTTGCGGGGTTTGGCTTTTGTGGCTGCCCAAAGCAGACCAAAAAAGGTGTAGCGGTGTAGCCTTACACTAAAACAGGCCTCTTGCTTGGCTTCCTCACCCTGAGCACGGCCCAGGAACTTCCGCCTTTGTCGTTTGCAGCAACTTCTGGCTGGAGACCATTGCGCACTTCTTGAGTTTGTCATAGGCCCAGAAAATTCAGCCTTCTTGCGGAAAACATTCAAAAGGGCAATCCTGCTCTCGGGCTGGCCGATTTATTTTTCTGCAACACATTCCAGTTGGTTTTCAGGTGAACACGCGCAGTCAAGTCACCTTCTCCCAGTACCGGCGGGATGCCTGCTCCGTTGCTCTCGTCATTTTTTCCTTGTCCCGAGTTCACCTCCGTCGGGCCGCCCCCTCTGAACTCTTTACATTTCGGGTTGACTCGTCCCAAGTGTTGATGATAACTCAACGTGGGCATAAAGCCAATGACACAAAACCATCGTCGGGTCGCATCTTTTTGCTCCCTTGGAAAAAATAACAAAAACCAAACCAAACAGGTTGTCTTTGTTTCAATTTTTCAACGCTTTTTGTTTTTCACAACAACACCACCCAGGCACAAAACACACATAGAACCCCCTGGAGCCAGGAGGTGCAGACCTTCAACTCCGTGGCCAGCTGCTGCGGCGCCGTGTGGACGGCGGCCTTCCGGGCGCTCCGCGCGCTGCGGGCGGCGGGGCTGGAGCCCGACGGCTTCGCCAGCGCGGGGATCAGCGCGGGGGGCCCAAGGGTCGGGCGGTGGGCGGGCGGTGAGGTGCCAAGGTGGGCGGGCGATTGGTCTGGGATAAAAGACGGCCAAAAACACGACCGAATTCAGCCCGAAGAGGCTGGTTTATGTGGGGAATGGCCTTTCAACCACCTTTCAGGTTGGTGAAATATGATTCACCCAGATTTGTTCGGCAGGTGATGCGCGGGCTTTGTTTTCTTGGGGGGCTCGCGGCTGGGGGAGGGCGCGTGGTTTTTTTTTGTTGTTGTTTTTTTTTTTTTTGAGGAGCCCAGATGGCGGGTTGCAAAAGGAGTTGGGAGGGCGCGGGCTTGGCTTCTTTTTTTTAATATTTTTTTTTTTGGGGGGGAAATTGGATTGTTTGGGGATGAACTGGGTAAACCTAACCCTGGAATGATTCGATTCCCGAACGTAAACACCAGCAAGCGTTATGGTTTCAACCATGTTTCATTTCGTGGCGCGAAGCAGATTTCGCCACCATCCACAGTCTCAAAACGCCTTCCGGCGATTTGGCGAAGCCTCTCTTGTAAGAAACTATATCCAGGACCTACTCCACAATAAAGGGCTCCCCAAGCCCCCGCCACTTTCCCTTGTCTCTTCGAACCTGGCGCCTGGGGTGGACTTAGGATACATTTTACATTTTACCAGTCACTCAAAGTGAAGCACAGAATACAATCTACGTTCTACAACTGGGCCTAACTCTAATCATGGTTCATTTCCCGCTATCTTTCTGGCCCAGGCGGCGGGGCTGTCCGCTTGGCGGCAGGGCGTGGGGCTCCTGCGGCGCTTGGCCTTGGGGGGCCTGGAGCCCAACGTCTACTGCCTGGGGGCGGCGGTAGCGGCCGTCGCGGCGGGGGCGAGTTGGCGGAGGGCCTGGGAGATGCTGAAGGAGCCCAACCTGGTGATGCGCCCCGGGCGCCGAAAACATGGCGTCCTTCTTTTTTTTTTTTGGGGGGGGGCGGGGGGTTGGAGGGAGGGGGGGTTGCCGAAACGGGGGGCATGGGGGGGGAAGGGTGGGGGGAGGGGGGGGGGTCGAAAATTGTGTCTTCTTTTTTTAGGGTCGGGTTGGGGAAATTGGGGGGGACGAGGGGCGGGAAGGGTCGAGAGAAGACTCAGATTGCCGATCCAGCACGATCTACCTGATTCACCGAACCTCATGTGCATTGACTCGCAACAACCTCTTACCTGCACACCTTCCTGTTGCTCAAAAACTAAACAAATATGCTCCTCGTTTTTCTTGGTGGAGTTTCGCAACAGCACCTTGCTTTCGCTGGAAACCCGATCGTTGGCGTGCGTCACCTGTCGGGGCTGCGCGGTCTGTCGCTCATGGATCATGGAGTTGACTCTAGACGAGCCGCAGAGGTCGGAGATGAGCCTTGCTTTGGCCCTACCCGTTCCCGAGACTGTGGCTTCCCCAAGATGTGAAGCGAACACAGTCGCGCTTTGAACCCCTGGCGCCAGCGCCCCACTGTCCGCTTTTCTTGTTGTTTTTTGCCCGCCCCACCCCGCTGCATTCCACTCCCATTCCCTACTCCCACCCCCACTCCCACTCCCACCTCTCCCACTCCCACCTCCCAACTCCCACTGCCACTCCCACTCCCACCTCCACTCCCACTCCCACCTCCACCTCCACTCCACTCCACCCCACCCCACCCCATTCCACTCCCACTCCCAGCATTGTTTGCTTGCTTCCTTGCTTGCTTGCTTGCTTGCTTGCTTGCTTGGGACTGACAGAGTTTTCTGAGGACGGACCCCTACACATTCTGACAGTGATGATGATGATGATGATGATGATGATGATGATGATGATGATGATGATGATGATGATGGTGATGGTGATGGTGATGGTGATGGTGATGGTGATGGTGATGGTGATGGTGATGGTGATGGTGATGGTGATGATGATGGTGATGGTGATGGTGATGATGGTGATGGTGATGGTGATGATGATGGTGATGGTGGTGGTGATGGTGATGGTGGTGGTAATGGTGATGGTGATGGTGATGGTGATGGTGATGGTGATGGTGATGATGATGGTGATGGTGATGGTGATGGTGATGGTGATGGTGATGATGATGATGATGGTGATGGTGATGATGATGGTGATGGTGGTGGTGATGGTGATGGTGGTGGTAATGGTGATGGTGATGGTGATGGTGATGGTGATGGTGGTGGTAATGGTGATGGTGATGGTGATGGTGATGGTGATGGTGATGATGATGGTGATGGTGATGGTGATGGTGATGGTGATGGTGATGATGATGATGGTGATGGTGGTGATGATGGTGATGGTGGTGGTGATGGTGATGGTGGTGGTAATGGTGATGGTGATGGTGATGGTGATGGTGATGGTGATGGTGATGGTGATGGTGATGATGATGGTGATGGTGATGGTGATGGTGATGGTGATGGTGATGATGATGATGGTGATGGTGATGACGATGGTGATGGTGATGGTGATGGTAATGGTGATGGTGATGATGATGATGGTGATGGTGATGATGATGGTGATGGTGGTGGTGGTGGTGGTGATGGTGGTGGTAATGGTGATGGTGATGGTGATGGTGATGGTGATGGTGATGGTGATGGTGATGATGATGATGATGATGATGATGATGATGATGATGATGAGGTGGCACTGACATGGAGTTGCTGAGAAAATGATACCTTCCTTGCAGCTTTTGGCTCAGCAGCTCCTGCCCCTCTGTCCCTCCTGGCCCCACCGGTGAAGAGTAGAAGGGGGGCTAGGAGGAAGGAGGCCACTGACCTTGGTGCCTTGGGCTGACTTCTGTGTTGCCGCCTGCTCAGGCAAAGCCAAGAAGGCCAGCTGGAGCAATCTTGCAAAGCTTGACAGAGGGGCATGGGCTTTGCCTTGCTTTTGTGCTTCTGCTTCCCCTCTCTGGCCAGGCGAAGACGTGGGAGGGGGATAGGAACTTGTTCTGCTACAAGTCCTAAGACGGGTCAAAGGCACCGGCCAACGGTGGAATCCAAAACCACGACCACCTGCTTGCAAGGTCTGAGCGCTTGAGGATGGATGGTGGGGTCAATTACCTTGTTGATCGGCAGCACGTAAAGCATTTTCGAGTTGCTACCGCTGCAAAAGCAGGGGGCAAAGGAAAATCCAGTGCAACAAGGTTTGGAGAAGTGCTTGGCAAAGTGTTGCCAGGTGGCTCAGATCAAACTTGGATTGGAGATGGCCGACTCGTCTACAGGCCGAAGAAGACCATTGGCATTTGGAGGGTTTGAGAAGGCACCTGTACAGAGGCAATTTTGATGAGTTCCTAAATTCATCACATCACAGTGGAGGGCCAGTGGTCAAATTGAGGGTTGGAAATGGCTGAGTTGGAAGCAGACGAAACACCCCCAATCCACTCCCAACCCCCACTCCCGCCCCACTCCCACCTCCCACCTCCACTCCCCCACACTCCCACACCCCCGCTCCCACTCCCACCCCCACTCCCACCTCCACCCCACTCCACTCTACACTTCCCCCGCTCGGTTTCCGTTTGTGTGTTGGTTGGATTTTCAGGTACAACGCCGCAGTGGCTGCCGCCAGGTGGCCACAGGCGCTCTGGCTGCTGGCGGACGCTTCGGCGCGGTTCTCGCTGCGCGCGGACGCGGCCGGGCGAAGTTTGGCGCGGATCTTCGTGTGATTGCGGGTTTTGATCAAAAAGTCCTGGGCCCCAAAATGACCATGGGTGATGTTGGCTGATCTTTTTTTTGCCGATTGTGACTGATGTTGACGTGATGTGACGGGATTTTGCCCAGGTTTTTGCGCGTGAGCAACTGAAGTTGAGAGGGTTGATTCGCGGCCAGAGTTCCGATTTGGGAGTCGTGTGGAGCCAGATACAGGCCCAGATTTGGGCCAGCAACAACCAACGCAAAGCAAGATGTCCATTATTTCACAAAAGGGGGCCTTGCACCCTTTTTGCCACAATCATGGAAGTGCACAGAGGGTGTCCTTGAGAGGAAAGTGGTCTTCCTAAGATCCTCCTGTCAGCTTCCATGATTTTTGGAGGGAGGGTAATCAAATTTTCTCAATGATACTTGCTTGAGTGGGTCTTTGCTTTGGTTTCGCACTTCGGCCTCGCCGATGGGTGTGTTTGTCTTCTTTTTTGCTTGGCATTGTGTTAGCTTACGACGAAGGAGAGGGCCGTGTTGAGCTCAAGAAGATGGTTTTCGTTTTCTTTTTCTTTTTCGCTTGGCATTGTCTTAGCTTTACGAAGAGGATTCGACTGGATTTATCCTCACTTGAGACATCTTTCGCTGCCCCGGCTCTCTGGCACGGGGTTTGGGTTTCCTCTAAAAGCATCACCCACGAACAGGAAGTTCACTTTCAATGAGACGCATAAGAATGTGCTCGCTTGAAACATTTTTCAAAAAAAGGAAGGGGGGGAAAGAAGGGGGGGCCACGGGGGAGGGTTAGCGGGGGGGGGGGGGCGCCGACGCTTTGGCGAGCTTCGTGGTGAGTTTCAGGTGGTCACCTTCAACTCGGCTGCCGCTGCGGGTGCGAAGGCGGAGTCCTGGCGCAGCGCGCTGCGGATCTTGGAGGACCTGGCACGGCAGCGCCTGCAGAAGAACGCGGCCACGTGCGGCATCGAGGTGGCCTGTGCCTCGGCGTGGGAAGCGGAAAACAATTTGAGGCGTGGGTCGGAACTTTGGACAGGCACTGGGTCCTCCAGTAGTGCCCTGTTACCCTTTTTTAGGGGAGGGTTCCCCTAATAAAATACACGACTAAAATAGACAACAGCAAAAAGGGTACCCTTATTTCAACCTCTCTACTGGAGGACCTAGGGCATGAAACGCCCTTCCAAGGAAACTAGGACCACGACCCAAGAGAAATCGACGTGATAGATTTTGCTGGCTGTTCCCCCTATTGAAAGGACGATTCCCCTTCAACATGGGATGGGTTTCTCCTGAACTTTGAGATGCAGCAAAACCTCAACATGCCGTGGTTGACTTCACGCAGAAGAAAGTTGGTGTGTGGGGGGTGGTGGGTGGGTCGAGCGCAATCCCCCCCCAAAGAAAAGCAACACCGATTTGGGAATTACGCTCCGCCCCCCAAAAGCAAAAAACGAATCCAACTCCAGGCCTGGGCGTGGCCTCCGCCTGGCGCCGGGGCCTCGTCCTGGCCGCGAAAGCCGACGCTGCGGCCTGCGGGGCGTTGGGCGCCGCCTTGGCGCGGCGGGAGCTGTGGGCTGCCGCGGTGGGGCTGCTGGCCTTGGCCCGCGCCCAGCGCATCCAGGCGGATGGCTCGGGGCTGGCGGATGGCTCGGGGCCGGCGTGGGGGTCAGGGCAGACACGGGGAATGGAGCCCCTCGGCTTCTTCTTTTCTGCATAAATGGGGGGGGGTTGGGTGGGTCCCTGCTTGGTTTTTTAGTGGGAACATTCCCCCCCCCAGACAATTACAGGGGTGGTTTCTGGAGGTTGTTTTTCCTTTCTTTTTTGTCTTCTTTCTTTTCTTCTTTTCTTCTTTTTTCTTCTGGAGGCGATGAAGAGCGGGATAGTGGTGGGAGGTCTGTTTTTTTTGGCAAGTTTTACCTGCCCCGGTTTTGGAATTTGGTCTTTTTTTTTGTCGGGGGGCAACCAAAAAGGGTTCCCGGAAAACAGTCAGACATCCGGGTTTGCATTGGATTTGCTGCCTACTTCCCTTTACGATTGGTGTCGCAAATCTTGGAGTCGGGAATTGGGAATGTTCTGTTTCTCGGAGGCCTTTGGCAAGCGAAGGAAGGTGGCCGGTGTGCAAAAGGAGTGGAATCAATGCTTAAGAGTGGAGGTTTCAACTTTGGCAAAATAGGGCGAGGCATCTAATTATGCTAATTATATATCCAAGGCTAGCTTCTAGTTCATTTCTTGGGCCATGCACCTCGGGTGCTTAGCCGGACGCAGGGAACTCTAGTCCTAGGGATGTCCAGCACTTCCTCTCGGGCGAGTAAACCTTTCGCCCTCCCCACAAGCCTCAGATCTACAGCTTTTTGGAGGGATGGGATACTGATTGAGATGGAAGATTTTGCTGGATCTTTTGCATTTTGAACGGGACATGGCCTTCCTGAATGATCTGTTATGAGCTGTCTGACTTGCCGTGACTTGCCTTGACCCCTTAGACTCCTCTCACCCTGCGGCAGATTTCCCCGGCCCCTGCGCCTCACCAATACGCTCCGAAGCCTTCCGAGAATCACAGCAGATCGTCAGTGACAGATATGCGAGTGTTCTTTTTTTGAGGATACCCATATGTTGTGATTGTAAAGGGAACCAAAAGGAAAGCCATCATTTGGGGGTCCCCCCAAACAAAACACCCATATCATCAGATATCGGCAGGGCACTGAGCAGGGGCCTCTCATTGGGACCGGACCCCTGGCGCCTTGAGGAGCCGCCTCCAACACCTTGATTCGCCTCCTCCGAAATGTATGCAAGCGAAGGCCTTCTTCTTAGTATTGGGCATTCTTCTTGAGGGCGCCCTTAGTCTAAATCAAAGATGTCGACATAGGGTGTTTGTTGTTTTCTTTGCCTCTCACAGTAACCGGATACGTCGCAGCCCCCAGTCATACCCCGAGCTACTTTCTTGGTGGTTTCCTCCAAAAAGAGGCAGAAAGTCCCAGATGCCTCAACCAGAAAGAAGCTCACTGTCACTTGCATTATATATATATATATATAGAAACACATATACATATACATCTACATCTATACATATATAATATCAATCCAACAAAGAAACCTACGCCCCTCGTGTTCCTCGTGTTCGGTTGATTCCTCCAGGCCAACTCCTTGGTCTTTCTGGGGGCCATCGCCTCCTGCGAGAACTCGGGCCGCTGGGCGCGGGCGCTGCGGCTGCTGAGCGCCGCCCCGCGCGACCACGAGGCGATGGGAGACGGCGGCCGGGGGGGGGGGGGGCGTTTTGAGCGGGGAGCTGCCCTCCTGTTCTATGTGTTTGTTTGACACTTTGTTTGTTTCTGTTTCTTTCAGCTTGTTTTTGAAGTACTTTTTTTTTACAAGTTATTTGTGGTCCGGCGGATGCAACCACTGGATATCCACAAATAAGCACACTAGAATTTTCTCAGGTCCTCATTGTCCTCACAGAAGCGTTTATATATTTCTTCATCCTTGAACTCGATCCCACCCCCACTTGAGTTTGAGGCTGAATCGGGAGTCTTCCCAGGTTGGGAGTTTTCCTGATTTAGTTTTCGGATTGAGTCTCGATTGTTTTTTTTTTTTTTGTTTTTTTTGTTTTTTTGTGTTTTCTTGAGGGAAAACTGCAGATTTCCTCCCCAACCAACCCCCGAAACAAAAGAAAAACAAGAAAGAGGGACAACAAACAGAACATACTCAGAAAAAAAACTCAGCTCCCGACTCAGCCTCAAAACTCAAGTGGGGGGATCGAGTTCAAGGCTGAGTTTTGTCTGAGTCGTGTTTTTTTTTTAGTTGTTTTTGAGTCTTCCCAGATTCGGACTTTTTCAGATTGAGTTTTTTGGATTGAGTTTGTTTTGAGTTTTTTTGTTTTGTTTTGCATATTCATGGATTTGCGGCCTGTGTGGGCGAGATCAGGTCTTCACTCTAAGTTGTTTGATTTGATTGTTTTGTTAAAATTCGTGCCCCATGAACTCATGCCAAACGCGACGCGGGACCCGCCTTTGGCTGGTGTTCAGTGCTTGGTCGCCATGTACCTGGCAAGGACCATGTCCTGTTGGGTTGGGGCCCCCGACTTCCTTTTGGGGCAGTGGTTCAGGCGGGCCGCGGCCCGGTGAACGCGGCGATCAGCAGCTGCGAGAAGGCGGCGCAGTGGTCCCTCGGCGCGAGGACGTGGGAAGTCGGAGGAGCCTCTCGAGTGTGTTCCGAGCCTAGGTCCCCCAGTAGTGCCCTGTGATCTTTTTTTGGGGGAGGGTTCGAACCCTCCCCTACTCAAATAGACTGCAGAAAAAAGGGTACTGGAGGACCTAGCTTTATAAGACAGAGCCTTGGACAGTGTTTTCAAAATAAGCTTAGTAGGCTGTTTCTTGAAATATCTGAAATGGAAGTGAGGTGAAGCAAAAGATATGAGAACACGTCATGTTGCAGCTTCGGACACGTCATGGAGGCATCCTGGACTCTTGGAAGCATGCTCTCTCGTTCATCCTCCCGAGCATGGCTCTCAACACTTCCAGCCCTTCCCCCCCGTTCCCCCGTGTTTGGGAGTGATACTCATTTGCATTTGCACGACAGACTCCTACAGAACAGCATGTGATTTAGAGGGGCACAAGTGGTACTTCGCTGCCAACTTCAACACATGTCGCGCTTTGAAGGAACTGCAAGAACACAATTCGAGGGACAAAACACATTCTTCAACAGATCTGCAAAGTCTTGAAGACGCAAAAGTGGAACAAGACATGGAGCCCGGGCAAAACGCGCCAGACGATATTCATTCCCCGAGTCGGGCTTGGGTCCAGAGCTTCCGTCAATGCGACCGCTTGGCTTCCGTCAATGTGATTCTTGGCTTCGGATCCACTCGGGGTCCATTTGTGAGAGAGCGAGATCCTTTTTTTTTCCCCCCGGTGTTCACCACGTGAAATTGGAAGTTGCGCAACCTCATTAAAAAAAAGAGAGGTGTTTTTCAAGCTCCATGTTCATTCGCAGTTGGTAGGTTGGTAGCTTGACTTCCCTTGGCTCCCAAAGTTGTTGTTTTAATTTCCCCCCGGTCCCTATCACTTGGCCAGGACCGCCCAAGGCGTTGTTTTCTTTCCTCCTGTCAAGGCCCCGCGTTTCACCCCAGCAACCTGATTTGGGGCGAGGCCGTGGGCGCTTTGCGCGCTGGGGGCGCATGGCTGGGAGGCGGACGTTTGTTCGTCTTTTCGAGGCTGAAAAGGGAAATCAAGAGGAGAACCGGGCAGCGCAATTTCAGGTACCCCTTAACTTTGTGGCTCCCAGCAGTGGTAGTTGGCCCACATATCCGTGGGTCAAACGCCAGGTTTGGCACGGCGGTGACACACTAGCACGCCATGTGCGGCGCCTGCCAAATGCCAAGCACACCCGCTCACGCGCAGCATGTTCGCACTGCACACACACACGCCTGGCACATGATGAGCACACCCGCTCACGCGCAGCCTCTGCTCACGCGCAGCAGGTTCGCACTCACGCGCAGCCTCTGCTCCCGCGCAACATGTTCGCACTGCACATGCGCCTGGCACATGGTAAGCACACCCGCTCACGCGCAGCCTCTGCTGACGCGCAGCATGCTTGCACTGCACATGCGCCGGCCAAATGGTAAGCACACCGCTCACGGGCTGCATGTTCGCACTGCACACGCGCCTGCCACATGGTAAGCACACCCGCTCACGCGCAGCATGCTCACACGCCTGCCAAATAAGCACGCCCGCTCACGCGCAGCCTCAGCCCTAAGCCCTAAGCCCTACTTGAAGGCTCCCAAAAGGTAAGCAGGTAGTCTTTTTGCAAAAGTCTAAAGTAGTTTTACAGGAGCCAAACGTGCAGTTCAACCTGCAAATGCCAATGTGAACTTCCTTCTCCACTGCAACTGACGCGCAAAAAATATGTTGAGAAAACTACGCTATTTGCAGCGAAAACAGGGTTTGTTTCGCCCGGAATTATTGAGTTGCCGACTTTGACCCACGGCTGAATATGCGCCGTGGACCTGGTAGTTTTCATTTAACCCACCAAGAGTTAGTCACTTTTCGCGGGGGATCTGAGGGCAGCCCAGTTCAGGCGGTGACACGTAGCCATGTAGAAGCATCAGATACTCTCTACCCCCAATTAACATGGAACCTGACAGGGACCCGGTCCCTTTAAAAAGAAGATGGTCCAAACCAAAACCCCGAAGCGTCGGGCTCGTATTTGGCATTTGAAAACCAGAGAAACATGGGGAACCAAGGCACCCTCCGGCTTTTACAGTGGTTCCGATTCCCAGCTGAGGATGGACGAAATCCGCTTCGCACCACGAAACGAAGGCCACAGTTGAAACCATGGCTTGTTGGTATTTACAAGGGAATCATCATCTCAGGCTTTCTCGGGTGTCAGCTTCCATCTTGGTGGTTTGGATTGGTGGGTTTGTGGTTTGGGTTTTCCCAATGTTGGACTTGCAAGCCTTGAGTGCGAGAAGCAACATGGATTTCGATTTCCACCTTGTTTTCTTGGGCTTCCTGTGTTTTGGCTTGCCTTTTCTCCGGTTTGGCGTCCGAACCGGGAAAAACCCGTGTGGTCTGGGATTCCATGCGCGACCCTTCCGCCCGTCCGTCTGCCCTTCAGCATGGCATTTTACATTCTTGCTTGTGGTTTAGTGGTTGAAATCCAAATCCACTGAACTGTTTTTTTTTTGCTCTTCCAATAGTGAGAAATCCAACCACTTAACTGCTATTTTTTTTTAAAATTAAATTTTTGCTCCCCAAGCCCAACGTCAAGTCAGGTGGTGGGCTGCAACTCGGCCTTGGCGGCCTGTGAGAAGGCGGCCTGGCGCCTGGCGCTGCGTCTGCTGGCTAAGATGCAGGCGACAAAGCTGGGGACGAGCGAGCGATGTGAGGGGCGGCTGGAGGGCTGAGGGCGGCTGGAAGTCTTTCTTTTTTTGCGTGTGAACTTCTGTTTTTTGAAAGGGAGACTCTTCGCACTTCAGGAGTTTTTGTTTTGTTTTGTTTTCACGTTTGAGTTGGAGAATACTTCCAGGTTACCCCGAGTTGGTTTGCATTGGTCTGGCTTCGGATTTGAAGCCCAGCTTCCTGTAGAGGGCAACTGGGAAACCTCTCCAAACCGCCAAACCAACGGGCTCCAAACCACCAGTTAGAGGGAAGCTGAAAACCGAAGACGCATGCCGTGGCTGTTTTTTGAGGGTACCATTTTTTTGTTTTAAAGGGAAAGTCGAGAATGACCAGAATACAACATGTTTGACATGACATATGAGACTTCAACAAATGCAGCACGTGAGTATATGGAAATGACATACACGGAATCCGTTTGTGACAAAACACGGGAGCCAATGAAACACACGCCATTTACTTGCAAGACTAACAGGGGCTTACTAAGAACTTTCAAACTCAAATACACCAGGACAATTATTTGACACACTTGTAAGCAATTTAAAATGCAAGCCAACAGGAACACCAGCATCGTTGGGGTCCCCAGCCAGGTGCCCTCTCTCACCAACTTTGTTGGGGGAGGGTTCCCCTACTAAGATAGACCAAACAGTCCCCCTACTTTGGCCTAGGCCTCCCCCAGTAGTGGGGAGGGTATTCCTACTAAGATAGACAAATCAGAAAAACAAAACATCGGGTACCAACTTGTTCTAACCTCTCAAATCTGGAGGACCTAGTGGCACAACGTGTTACTTTCGGGAGCCCTTCGGCGGGCTTCGGAGTGGTCGGGAGGAGGGGTTGGAGGGTTGGGGGGGCGGGACACAGGGGCGCAGGTTGGACGTGCTTTGCTTCATGTTGAGCATTGTTCGGTAGGACATGTTTCAACATTTGGTAAGTTTAGGTGTTTTCTTGATATGTCAAGAGTAAAACTGGCGCCGATGTATATGTTTGCATGTATGATGGTGTATCTCAACTTCACTTGAAGCAGGTGCATCGTTCCAAACAGGGGGTGAATGGATGGCAAGCATTGAATGGTGACTTCCAGGTGTTGCGCTGGTTGGTACGGGTTGGAGGTCTTCCCTCCGTGCTTCAATCGGCATCCTCCCACGCCTGAGCCTCCATCAATCCGTTGAATCTGGCTAAAGCTGCCGACTCAAACCAACCGCCCAAGCCATGTATTGAAGCCCACTCGAACCACCCAAGCCATTCGTTGGAGCCACTCGAACCACCCAGCTTTGTGCTTTTGGGACCTGCTTTCTTCTTCCTCTCCCCTCGGCTTGCTTGCGCCTTTTCGTTCCTGAAACAGCGCCGCCGCTTCACGCCTTTGGCCGTTTGCCCCGCCGAGGCGGCCAAGGTCTCGGGGAATCTGACCACCTACAATGCGGCCATCACGGTTTGCGGGCACCACCGGCTCTGGTTGCAGGCCTGGCCCCAAGGGCCGTAAGATGTGCTGCCAAGGGCCTTAGTCGCAATCGATTTCGCGTGGGGCTTGCGGCGGTCGCACAGAAAGGACTCTCAAGAGAATGTGGCCATCAGCATCATCAGCATTATCATCATCATCATCATCATCATCATCATCATCATCATCATCATCATCATCATCATCAGCATCATCAGCAGCATCATTATCATCATCATCATCAGATGGTGTATCTGGGTCGCAGCCCCAGCATCGGGCTCAACCTGGGTATTGTTGGTCCCTGTCCCAAGCAACAAGTGTCCTTCCCTCGCGAACGCGCCGAACGTTGCGAGGCAGTGGCGCTGCTGCCGCAACTTCCGGCGCCCGACGTCATGAGCTACTTTCAGCTGACGCGCTGCACGGAGGGCGGGGGCGGTTTTCGCCAGGCCGCAGGGTGGCTGGAGGCGGCGGAGCAGCGGGCTGCGGAGGGACTGCGGGGAGCTGATGGCACCGGACGGGCTTCTCCAATTTGAGCGCAAATCGAAGGTGGGTGGCTTGTCCATTGAAGAAGCCGGTCCGTCCGAACTGTTTTGGAACTGTTTTGTTTGTCTTTTGTGACGTGCAGCGTCAAGAGCGGTTTGGGCTGCCCATCTGTCCTGCGGGAAGATGGGCGGCGCAACTGGCGTTTTGCGAGCGCGCGAGGGACAAAAGGGGGACCCGTGCGGAGCCAAGCAGCGCGGAAGGGTCAGAGAGACTTGGCGCGGCTAGGGATCGATTCAATTCCATGCTCGCCCGAAGGTTGGCCTGTTATCAGCGATCGCTTGCATCTCCTGGAGCAAGGACTCAAATTTCACCATGAATGTTTGGTCCCGCGCAAATGGTTGGCCACTCCAAACTCTGAGGTTGCATCCCGTGCAGGCATTGGAGCGCCTTGGCAGGGGTCCGTTCCGCCGATGTTTGCCGCATGTGTGGCGCATGTTGCCCTTGTCCTGCAAGAACCTGAAGAAGCGGTCAGGGCAGGGTTTTGTGTGTGGGATCGTTCTTTGATCTTTCCACGATCTTTGATCTTTCATCACTTGTCGGAACAGTTGAATAGCTCGACGAGAACCTTGTGGTGCCAGGATAAATTGTTGACCAAATCGGGCTGAGTCTGGGGTCTTTGGTGGTTCTTGACGCACAACCAGCAAGAAATCCAAGCAGAACTGGGAACCGGTGCAGGCGAAGCGCTTGGGTCCTTGGTCCTCGTGGTTCCGAGGGTTTTTCTCACGAGAAGCAGCCAGGCCTTGCGAATCTTTTTGGGAGCCTAAACCGTTTTTTTTTTGTCTAGGGGTTGATTCCTCGTCCATTCTTTTCAGCCATGGCTCTTTGCAAAAACCAGATCCATTTTTCCAGGGTTTTTGGTGGTTTTGTAGAAAGAAGGATCCGTGGAAAGAATGGAAATGGAAGTTACCCCTAGACTTTTGTTGCGTGGTGTGCATTGGTGGTTTAGTTCTAAAATGGAGGGGTTGTCCATCTACCCTCTAGAAGAAGATGAGGATTCAAATCCGAATCCAAACCAATCCAAAGCGCCAATTCAGGGTAACCTGCAGCATTGGCACGCCGTGCTCGAACTCTTTTTTTTTTTTTTAACACTAGGAGAGTCGCTGTCGCCCTTCAGGTTCGGTGTCTTACAGGGGCCTTTCGGCGCTACCGATCAGAGTGCTTTAAGGACATGCTCGGAAAAGCATCCCAAGAGTTGATGGGAGTCGTTCTTCAGAAGAGCATCTGGAGGGCTTCTCGGATTTGCTTTTTGGGTGGTGGAGTCCCGTGAAACCATGTAGCTTGGGTCAGTATGTTCCTAGTTGCTGGCCCGCCAAGTGGAAGGGGACCGCGTGTAGAAAGATGCATAGTCCGTGAAATCGGCCAATGGCCTCGGGCAAGGAGTCCGAGGCAACTCGCGTCCCCTTTAATGGCGGCTCTTGTTGTGTTTGGTGTTGCGGCCACACCACAGCTCGCGCCTTCCCCCCCCCCCCCTTTTTGGTTTTGTCTCCCAAATGGGACGGAATTATCTATATATGGCAGTGGCTCAAGATTAAAGAGCTAGGGTTACGCAGGTTTTGATCCATGTTTTCCACTTACCAGGGTTCCATTTTGGTACCGTTTTTTTGAGCCATATATACATCCGGCGAGGGAGGCTTAGAGCGGTCTGACTCAAAGAGATCGCGAGAAGCGCGAGACGCTGAGGCAGCTGCCTCCGGCCTTTCTGCACCTCGCGCCCGCTCGGGACCCGACTCCGGCAGAGCCGGCAGCGCGCGCCTGTGCGGGCGCTGAGCCAGCAGAAGTGGGCAAGGCAGGGGTGGGTTGCAGGGCTGGGTGGGTGGTTGGGCTGGGGCTGGTAGTGGTGGTGGTGGTGGTGCCGTTTTTTTCTCGATTCCCAACCTCAACCTGAATGGTCCGCGAACATCCTGGAGCTGTTGTGGTTGAATGGAGGCATTTGCGATGTATTTGGCTCAGAAAGGCACCCTGGGGCGAGTCTGCGCTGGTATTGTGTCGGGGTGAGAGGCACGGATCGGACGGCGTGATGGCAGCTAATCCCCCAGCAAGAATGTCAGCGAGCATAGTCAAATGTGTTTTGGAGCCATGCGCACGGACACTGTTCTGACATTCGAGCTGAGATCGAAGGCATCCGGGCATTGCCTTTTTTTCGAAGCCAGACGAAGGTTTTCTGCTAACACAAGCACTCAGGCTTTTCCTCCCCACTTAGAGCTGGAAATTGTAGGTTGTTCATGCAAGAAGCAGAGGCCCGATTTGGCCAATTCAGCCAGTGTTTCTACACAGGGAACAAGCCTTCTGCAGGGGTTGTGGCATGAGGTGCCAAACCCTCTTGGCCCGTACCTGTTCACCGGGTGCTGAACTTGAGCCGAATTGGCGGACTTGGTTTCGACGGCTAGTAACGCATAGCCGACCATGCGGGCCTCCCCCCTATGATTGGCGCCACCCAGCCGTCAGTTCGTTGCAACATCTCCATCCGCCGTCCCCCATCAACGCATGGACTTTGAAGCTCTTTGTTTGTTGTTTGCCTCCAGCTGTGTGCATTCGCACGATCTGGCCCAACTGTAAGGATCGCCCCCGGGGCAAATCGACCACATTGAAGGTCCTTCTCTGGGGGATTCCCGATGTCCAGCTTGTCCAACAGCTATTTGCCCCGGAGGTGCTTAATGATCTAGAGAACGTTTCAGGTGCGGATCCACAATGTGTTGCATTCTCCTAGAACTCTTTCAGAGCTCCTTCCAAAGGAAGCTCCACATCCAAGAAGCGACTAGAGCTCCAGCATTCGCAGGAACCTTTTTGGCAAGGGCCTCCAGGAGAGAAACACCTCACAAAGGTGAGAGGAAGCTCCCGGGTTCATGGCTTCATGTTGGCGTTCTGCGGCCTTCCCCGCCAGTTTTCCGCGCCGTTTTCAAGACACGGCCATGGCATTGCCTGGCTTCGGCTTCAGTCCTGACATCGGAATGGCTTGGGGTCCTAAAGCCCCCGGATCATGGGTTGTTGGGAAGCATTTGAGACCATTTTTCGCGCAAATGGTGGTTGAGTGGTGGAAATTTCCAAATCCACTGAACTGCCAAAAATTGGGAACATCTTTTGCTCCCCTAACCCAACGCCGACCAAGATGATTCCCTGATTCAGATCGGACTGCCTGACCCGGTGTGTCCTCAGACTCCCGTACCTGGGGTTGAGAAAGGGTATGGACTGATTGGGAAAGAAGATCAGGATTCCGAAGGAATGGCCCACATGAGCCTTGACCATGTCCTCCGCAGGACAGCAAGACGTTGACTTGGCCCCTGCTGGCCGGTTCCACAGCCGCCTGGCTGCCATGGGGCAACTGCCGGGTGGGTGTGTGTGTGTGTGGTACGTGTGTGTGGTGCGTGTGTGTGTGTGTGTGTTACATACATAGGCGTCCTTTTTAGGTGAGTTTGGCTAAAAATAGATGGGTTCCACTGGTTTAGACGGGTTTTGTTCCATCTATTTTTCCAAAACGCCATCTATGGTCACTTACTGGCCATGTGTGCATGTTTTGTGGTAACACACGCAGGAGGTGAAGTTCTGTTTTTCCACCGACGAATCTTTTGAGGGAGCTGCTGACGTCGATGAAAGAAAGCAGCGCCTTAAGACGAATGCACTCCGTCAAGTCTCCAGTCTGTTGCCTGATTTTATCGCCTGAGGAGAGGCCATGTGCCGAGTAGTCCATGCAATGTGAGGGACGCATGAATCGATTCATGTGGCACATGATGTCTTTTTTTTGAGGGACCCCCCAAAAAAACAGAAGTGGTTCTTGCATTTGTTTTCGTTTGGACCAAACAGACGAGCCCCGCTTCATATGCGGATCAGGTGGTCCTTATGCTGATGCTGCTGCTGACCAAGCGCGGCGCCAGCTAGTCGAAAAAAATCCGCCGGGCCGCGTGCGGCATTGCTCTGAGGGAAATGTGAGAGAGGGGTCTAAGATTTGGTCCGTTCCCTGTGTGGCTTCTTTTTTTGGGAGGGCAGTTGTTTTGTGCATCCAATCACGCATTGTTTCATATTCGATGCGATTTCTCTTTGGCACGCACCCACCTCCGGTTTGACCTTGGTGCACTGCACGTCTGAGTTTGCAAGGGGTTGCCTTCGACGGATCCCAAGAGTGTGTCGTGTTTTCTGATCAGAGTGCTTCGACCGAACACACCATCTGAGATCTGGGTCCCTGCAGAGCTCCAGTTGGTCCTCTTGCGCCTGCAAAAGCCAACGGGCCACAGGGAAAGCGAATCGGTGGCGAGCGTGGGAAGCAGAGACCTGGGGGAGATGAACGCAGCTCAGAGCTTGCACGGAGACTTTAATGAGAATGAACGAATCCCAGGTTGAAGCAGTGAGCTACATTCCCCCATTCACATTGTTGATGACTCCCTTTTTTCCCGACTGGAGCAAAGCCATAGGCCCGTCCAAAAACTGTGTCCATCCAAAATCGGACCGGATCCCAGCCCTGCGGGTTTTCCCTAAGATCCCGGCCCGGCCATGCGGCAAGCGGCGGCTTTTTTGCCATGGCGCGAGCCCCGGAAAGCCGATCTTGGAGCGTGGGTCGGGTCCAGTCTTTTCGGTGGGTTTGGGTTTTGGAAACCATAGGTAGGGCATGACCTTGTCCGGGTTTTGGGAATGAACCGTTTGGGGACTCCCTTAAAGAAGCCAGAAGGCATGGTTGAAAGGGGGCATCTCATTTCTCATTCCCTGGTGAGAACCAGCCCTCTTAGAGCAACCTGGAGTGAACCAGTGAAGCCGAACACAAAGGGAATGAGGGAATGACCCCACGGGTCCCCTCAACATGGTTGTTGGTGGGACACATTTGAGACCATTTTTTGCGCAAATGGTGGTTTAGTGGTTGAAATCCAAATCCACTGAACTGCTAAGAATTGAGATTTTTTTGCTCCCCTTCCAACGCCAACCAAGTTTGGATGGTTTGTAGGGGTCATTCCATTTCTCATTCCCTGGAGTGAAGCCAGACGCAAAGGGAATGAGGGAATGAACAAGTCGGGGTCCCCGTAAAGGTGATAGGGGTCGTTCCCTCATTCCCTTTGTGTTTGGCTTGAATGACCTCTTCTGGGTGTTGGGAATGAACCATGAGGAAACCACAAGGGACGGTTTGTAGGGGTCATTCCCTGTTTCCCCGTCTCTCGACTCAGCACGTTTTGTCAGGAGCCGGAACTCGCGGCAGCTCTTGCGCAGCACTTCCCAGAGGCTCCAAAAACGAGACTCGGAGGGCTCGGTTTGGGGCAAAAGGGGACACCCGCCCAGTATTGAGGGCGCCAAGAGACCAGAGCCAAGCCCATAGGTGTTTTTTATATATATTTTGTTTTTATTGTTTTGGTCGAAAAATAGATGGCGATGCCTGGTGTACCTGGTGCTTTCATCATCTACCAGGGAGACCCATCTATTTCCCCTAAAAGGACACCTAGGCTCCCAATTTTGAGGGCGCCAAGAAACAAAAGCCAGGCCCCCTACGGGTGGCTCGTCGTTTTGGTAGGACTCGGACCGGGACCCATTTTGGATTCGGCTTTCCGTTTGGTGGCCCTTTAAAACCAACTCCGAAAAAAGGGGTGCCAACGAAGAAAACATGGTTTCCCTTGAAGACCAACTCCAAAAAGGTGGCACCAACTCCGAAACAGACGTGCCCAGAACAATCCTGACAGACTAGAGTTCTTAAACTCACAGTATCCCAACTCTGTGTTTCGTCTTAAATAAGCTATTTCCCAAACAGTATCCTAAGGCAGACTGTTTGCTACATCCTTGTGCTAGCAAGCTTGGAATTCCGGTGTTTCGCCGTTTTTGGCAGCCAGGGACACTGAGTTGTTCCGATTGGAAGCCAATTCTCCATTCTTTGCATTCAAGAAGCCGTCAGAAGGCCCTTCTACGATCCTGTATCATGAAAAAGCATTGCCCGCCAAGCGACTTCACCGGGATTCGTGCTGTACTGGAGTCGTCCGCAAAACCGCTTCGCGCCACGCGAGGGTCGCCTGCGACTCAAGGATTTTTGGCTCAGGTATTTGCTGTTCTTTTGTAGCTTTGCACGAGCCATGGCTGTTTTTCTGGTATATGTGGGGCTGTCCCAAGTCAGACCCTTACTTGGTTGACGTTGGAAGGGGAGCAACAAATTAAACTTTAGCAGTTAAGTGGTTGGATTTCAACCACTCAACCACCATTTGCGCAAAAATGTCTTCAAATGTTTCCCAACAACCAGGTTAAGGGGACCCGTGGGGTCTCATTCCCTCATTCCCTTTGTGTTCGGCTTCACCGGGGAATGAGAAATGGGATGACCCGTTTCAACCATCCCTTCTGGCTTCTTTAAGGGAGTCCCCTGACGGTTCATTCCCAAAACCCGGACAACCTATCGCAGGGAGAAAAGGGACACCACTTCGAAGCTGACGATGGTTCCCTCCTGAGGGCTAGGGATCCGCTTCAAGGCACTCAAGGGACCGGGGGAAATCCCAAATGGATTTCGGTGCTCCGCGCGGTTTCTGGACCTGTAAAACCTCAAAGAATAAGGTACCCGTGCTTTAAAAAGAAGGGAAGACACACACAGACACAGACAAAAAAGAGGTTACCCGCAAAAAGAGACGCGCTCAACTTTCATATGGCTGTGGGTCACAAAACCGTTTTGGGATCCCATTTTGGTTGGTAGGTGAATTCACCACCCATTTTAGAACCTATTTGAGTGGTTGGATTGGTTGATGTTGGGGTACGATTTGGGTTTTGACCCATGGCCATAAAACCCCCTACGAGCAGCTTCAGGGCACTTCTTTCCTTCGCTTCAGGCCGGCTTCGTGGCCACGCTGCCCGGCAGGCTTTGGGACGGGTCGACGCTTCGGGAGGATGCTTCGGGATGTGACTCGCTTGCTTTGTTTGGCTTGGCTTTGGCTTTGCCGTTGGCTTTGCTTTGTGCCGTGTTTGTGTGCGTCGCGCATCTTCTGGAGTATGGACACAACGCACGGTTTGTCCTCCTTGACCGCCAAGACGTGGCCGACGAGCGGCACTTTGATTCGAAGAGGTCCTGTCTGGCTTGGCGCTGCTGTGTTGGACAGCCTTAATCTTTGTAGCCGTATGTGCCATAAGTCAACACACTGTGCATCTACTTGCCGGTGCTCAGTAGGGAATGGCCTTCCGGGTGTTGGGAAGAGGATTCCCTCAAAGGAAGCCACAGGGGACGGTCTATGGGGGTCATTCCCTTATTCCCTCATTCCCTGCTGAGCACAGGCAAGTCTATCAAAACGCGTGCCAGTGGATATGCCTTTGGACAGGGCGGCCATCAAATTGTATTGAAGGCACATGAGCCATAACACGCATGCCTGCATCACGTACCATCGTTTGGCCAGAATGTTTCTGTCGCGTTGAGTGGCGAAGAACCCCAGTTTAATAGGGGGGTGTCCCTGGGTGAAATGTGGGGAATCAGACCACCTTTGGAGGGGCCCCCGCCCCCCTATGAAACTGGGGTTGAAGAAAAAACTGTGGATGGACGACATCCTGCGCGGGAAACCATGGTTTGCCGGCATTTTCACACGGGGGAATCGTATCATTCCGTTGGGTTGCCATTCGGTGGTGCGACATGGATTTCGCCCATCCAAAGTATGTGGTCAAAAATTATCCAAGACGCCTGGAGGAAGCCAGCCAGTTTTTTTTTTTTGGGCCAGTCTCTCTGGCTTCGTGAGGCTGGCGGGTGTTGCGTCTTTTCAGGGGCCGAGTCCTACATTGCCATATATTTTTTTTTTTTGGGGGGGTTATACATCACTTTTTTTTGGGTCATGGTCTGCTGAGTGTCTTTTGGGGTGAGGTTTTAAGGGGAAATATCGGGAGCCGCGATCTTTTCGGATTTGTTGCTGGGCAGCGGTCGAGAGCGACCTGTGCTTCGGGTTTTTTAAGGGGCCACTCTTTTTGAGGGAGGCTTCGCACTGCAAGGAAGCACAGACTTGTGGAAGGGGTTCCTTTTGGGCCTGGAACAAAAAACCTCTTGGAACTGCTTCTCGTGTTTCTCAAACCCCGAGACTTCAATGGCTCAAAGTTAGACTGCCGCATGTGTTGGTCCTCGTCTCCTTTGTGGGTGATGTTTGACCCACATGTTTGTCCAGAGGACTCAAAGACTCATACACTCGCGCAAAGGCTTGCCATCGCGAACTGGAGCTGGCTTTTCCGGAATAACCGGTGGTTTTTGGAGTGCGGGTGGCCCTGGAGGCCCCAGTTTTTGATTCTGGTTTTTTGAGGGTCCCTTTAACAGGTTGTGTTGAGTATTGCTCCATTTTGATTCAGACATAGCGGTGTGAAGTTTTTGGGTTGCTGGTGCGACAAGTAGAGGATGTGGGAATGATTCCAGGTGCCCCGTTAAGGGAAACCTCCCGTGGGATGGTTTGTAGGGGTCGTTCCGTTTCTCATCCCCTGCCTATCGCACCATCAAGTTAATGTTGACCCCAGATAAATAAACCCTGTTGATGATTATGGGGGGTGTTCCCCTCCAAAAGTGGTCTGAATCCCCACTACAACCAGGGACACCGCGCTTAGTCCCCCCGTATTGATACAGATATCTGTTCCACCCCATATCCCCTGTTGGTGTTATGTGACACCCTTTAATTCTCGTAGAATTCCCTTGATATGGGGTGATATTAGTCAAGAGGGGTACTGCCCAGCAAGAAAACTATGATGGGAGCTTCGTAAAATTGTGCTTCTCCCTCCAAAAAGAAGAAGAAGCAACACCACCCAGCAAAATGGGGGCGGCCCTACAAAAGGGACGACCGTGCCTCTGCGCCTCACGAGCAGACTTCTTCGCTTGCTTCGACAGGCCGAAGGAGTTCCTGGCTCTGCTGCAGCGGAAGGACGGCGAGGCGACCTCGCGCGCCGGTCGAGCCAGCGCACCGCGTGGCAAGCCATGAAATACAGGGGGGGGGGGGGGAGGGAAAATCAGGGGGAATCTCTAAAAAACAGGGGGGAATCTCTAAAAAACAGGGGGACTCTCTGTGTTTTTGGGTCTGTTTTTCAGATATATTTTTTGCCACTTGCAGATGGAACCAGATCAGAAAGGAGTGCCCGGTCGTAGGTCAGAAAAGGCGAGAGCTGATGGCTTTTGGGGCCTGTTTTTCTCGGAGTTTGCAGATGGAACCAGGAGTGGACAAGTATTCCAAGGTGATCAAATGACGTCTACCAAGCGGTTCCCAAGGAATTCTTCCTGAGAAGAAGATGGGGAGCATGTTTGAAGGCGGATCGACGACAACAATGAGGTCACAGGTCTACCCAAATGAAACCTAGGGATGTATATATATATATATATGTATGTATGGTACAGGGTTGCCAGTCCCCCTCCCCCCCCAATGGTCATGGGTCAGACAAGTACCCCCCCCCCCCCTGTGGTTGTGGTCCTGTGGTTGGGTTGTGGTGTTTAGGGTTGGTTTAGAATTGGTTTAGGGTATATTTAGGGTGTATTTAGGGTTAGTTTAGGGTTGGTTTAGGGTTGGTTTAGGGTTGGTTTTGGGTTGGTTTATGTTGATTTAGGGTTGGTTTAGGTTTAGGGGTGTACGGTTTAGGGTTCGGTTTAGGGTTTGGTTTAGGGTGTATTTAGGGTTGGTTTAGGGTTGGTTTAGGGTTGGTTTGGGGTTGGTTTAGGTTTAGGGTTTATTGTTTAGGGATTGGTTTAGGGTGTATTTGGGGTTAGTTTAGAGTTGGTTTAGGGTTAGTTTAGGGTTTGGTTTAGGGTTACGTAGTTTAGGGTTGGTTTATGTTGATTTGGGGTTGGTTTAGGTTTAGAGGTCTACGGTTTAGGGTTCGGTTTAGGGCGTATTTAGGGTTGGTTTAGGGTTAGTTTAGGGTTGGTTTATGGTTGGTTGCGGGTTGGCTTGTATTGGGGGTGGGGGTGCCGGGGTGTCGGGGTGCGAGTTCAGGGGGTCGGGGTGGGGGTGGGACCGTATGCCAGGATCCGGGGGCTCGGGGTCTCGGGCCGAGGGGGGGGGGGGGTGTCCTGGGGGACCCTACTATTTGGGGGGGGGTAGCAGCACGGAACACGGGACCATATATATATATATATATGTATGTATAGATATGTATTTGTTTTCTTGAGTACCCTTTTTGGGGTTGGTTACGGAAAACCAAGGGACAAAACCAAGGGAAACCATCCACCCTTCTGTTTTCTGGGTCGGGGAAGGGGAAGGGGGGGGTTGCCCTGGCACACACCCACGTAGTGACTAACACTCAGCTAGAACAGCCCCAATTTGTGGCTTTCCCATTTGGTTGAAATCCCATGACGATTCCTGTACAAGGGCATGTCAAAAGACTCAACCCCAGTTTATTATTCGGGGGCTGTGCCTGGGTTCGTAAAAGGGAGTGTATGCATCCGGGGTCAACATTCTAATTGAAAAGACAGGTGTGTTTGGTTCAGACACACCCCATTTTCAGAGACATCCCTCCCGACATATTTTTTTAAACCGGGGGGCTGGGGGTGAGTCAGCCACCCGCGTGCTCCGACGGCGCGCTGTTTGGTTCGGCGAGGTGTCGCTGCTGGCCACCGACTGCCTCCAGGGCGTCTTCCGCGCCCGCCTGGACTCAGAGGCATTGCAGGAGCTGCGGCGCGGCGCAGGCGCGGTGGTTCGGGCGCTGGCTTTGCGGAAAGCTCGCTTTGCGGGGTGTGAGTGGTGTCAGCTTTTTTTCTTCTTTTGTTTCCCGTTTTCGGGGGCTCGTCCTTCTTTTCTTTTTTTTGGCGTTTTCCCCCCCTGTTTTATAGGGACACCAAATGGAGAACTATCATTTCAGGAGGTCCCCATCAGATTTTTCTTGCTGGTGCGATAGGCAGGGAGACACATTTAATGACACCAAAAACAACAACATCCCCGATTTGGTTTCCTTTCAGGGAATGCCGAAACGAAGGACCTCAAGGGTCCCCTTGAAGGAAACCACAAGGGATGGTTGATAGGGCTTATTCCCTGATTCCCTGTCTATTGAGCACCAGCCAGGCTGTTGGAATCGGACTGGGCACCAACATGTTCTTTCTTTTCCCCTGTAAAACCTAGGAACCAAGGGGTCGCCTCCGTAAAAGGACACAACGGGGTTGGACGGTTTCTGAGGCTTAAATCCAGCAAGAAGCTGGTCGGTGGCTTCTCTTGGACCATAAGCCACTTGGGGTGACTTTGATGGTCAAAGAATGGGACCACTATGACATCCTGTCATATGGCTGTGGCTCCAACAAAACAGGAGGGCACCAAAATGGAACTTGCCCGATCGGTAAGTGGACACATGGGTACCAAAACCTGCGGTGGGCAACCCTCCGATCGTTTAATTTTGAGCCATACCCATATAGTGAGTTTGTGGGTGGGGGGTTTGGGGCAACCACCCGGCCTTTCCACATGGGAAACCATGGGAGAACCCCGCGAGTGTGGTTCATCATTCAGAAGGCATCCAGCCAGTTTGTGAAGTGTGTGGCGCGATCATTCAGTTTGGATTTCCGCTGGATTTTTCTCAAAGACTTGGGAGAACACTAGAATCCCTTCCCCCCCCCCCCATATTCTCCATTCCTTCTCCATTCCCCACCTGAAGACTTGGGAGAACACCACAATCCCCATCCCCCCCCCATCCCCCCCCGCCTTAGAAGGCCCCGCCAAAACTGTCCCTGGTCTTGGCTCGCGCCCTTCCTGGCTCGCTCGCTTTCCGCTTCAGCAATTCCAGGAATGGCCGAGTTCGAGTGGACCACCTTCCTGGGGCTCCTCCGCGCGGCCTTGAAGGGTGAGGATGCGAGCCAAACCGCGGAAATGGCCTCGAGGGCTAAACGAAGCAGTGCTTGCAGTGGGGTAGGTCAGTGAGTCACCCTGGTGGTTCCTGTACTGTACTATCTGCTTACTAAGTAGCCCGTTTAACTGCTTCCAACATGGGGGCCTGACAGAAGTAAATCGATCTTGGTATCCTCCAGTTGCCTTCGACATGGGGCCTGACAGAAGCAAATCGATCTTGGTATCCTCCAATTGCCTTCGATTGGCCTGGGATTCGCCTTATCGTTGCATAAGGCTAGTGCATGTTTTTTGAGGCCATCGCACATTTTCCTTTGGCTGTCTGCGATGGGCAAACTGCGCAATTGAAACGGCCACTCACGGTTTCATGGGCCGGACCTGGAATGCTTGCAACATTTCCCGCGGAAGAATTCACCTTGTTTCAGGCCGAAAAAGATCATGCATGGTTTGGCTAGGAGCCCGTGATCTCAAGCGAGAGGGCGCTGTTGGGTCTGAAGGCCAAGTGTCTGAAAATCGAGCCCGAGTCTTCAATTGTGAGCATTTGTTGATTTGTGTGTCTTTGTTTTTTTGTTTGCTTGTTTGCTTGTTTGTTTTTTTGTTTGTTTGTTTGTTTGTTTGTGCGTGTGTTTTGTTCTTCTTCTTTTCTGAAGTTCTCTTTTGGGGGGCCGAGCCGGGGCTCTCCGGAGCGCACAGCCCTGCGTCAGGAGGGCTGCACCACGACCGCGCACCCGGAGCCTGGCGGGGCCGCGTGGCTCGTCTTTGTTTGGAGTTACCCCAGTTTCGGTGGTTTGTCAGGGCTCCTTAAAAGATACATTTTGCAACCATTTGAAACATGGCTTTCTCCACCAAAATAAAGGGGTTTGCCGCAATTTACAAGGCAACGTTCAGGTGTACAATGTAAGGATCCCTGTTTGTTACAGGGAAACCAAAAGGAGAACTTATCAGGGAGGTCACCAAAAAGGCGTACCAAACATCCCAAAAGAGGCATGTTTGGGAGGTCACCTGAAAGAATGGGCAGACCCCATATCAGATTCTTATTGCAGGTCAGCCAGGGCTAAAAGGACGCACACACACAGACACACCGACATGCACACGCACATGCGCATGCACACTCCCACGCAAGCGCACACACAGACACACCCACACACTCACACACCCACACACCCACACACCCACACACCCACACACACACACACCCACACCCACACACACACACACACACACACTCGCACGCGCACGCGCACGCGCACGCCCGCACGTGCACGCCGACACGCGCACGCCCGCACGCGCACGCGCACGCGCACGCGCAAGCGCACGCGCAAGTGCACGCGCACGCGCACGCGCACGCGCGCACGCGCACACGCGCCGTGCGCGTGCGCGTGCGCACGCTCGCACACGCGCACACGCCACACACACACACACGCACACACGCACACACGCACACACCACGCCCCCACGCCCACATGCACACGCACACGCACACGCACACGCGCACGCGCACGCGCACGCGCACGCGCACGCGCACGCGCACGCACACACGCACACACGCACACACGCACACACGCACACACGCACACACGCACACACGCACACACGCACACACGCACACACGCACACACGCACACACGCACACACGCACACACGCACACACGCACACACGCACACACGCACACACGCACACACGCACACACACACGCACACACGCACACACGCACACACACACACACACACACACACACACACACACACACACACACACACACACACACACACACACACACACACACACACACACACACACACACACACACACACACACACACACACACACACACACACACACACACACACACACACACACACACACACACACACTCACACACACACACACACACACACACACACGCGCGCACACGCGCACGTGCACGCGCACGCACACGCACACGCACACGCACACGCACACGCGCACACGCACACGCACACGCACACGCACACGCGCACGCACACGCACAAGCACACGCACACGCACATGCACACGCACATGCACATGCACATGCACATGCACATGCACATGCACAGGCACACGCACACGCGCTCGCGCACGCGCACGCGCACGCGCACGCGCACGCGCACGCGCACGCACACGCACACGCACACGCACACGCACAGGCGCAGGCGCACGCCCACGCACAGGCGCACGCCCAGGAAGAGGCGAACGCCCACGCAGAGGCGCACGCCCACGCCCACGCACACGCACACGCACACGCACACGCACACGCGCACGCACACGCACACGCACACGCACACGCACATTTACATGCGCATGCACATGCACATGCACATGCACATGCACATGCACAGGCACACGCACACGCACAGGCACATGCACATGCACATGGACATGCACATGCGAAGGCACACGCACAGGCACATGCACATGCACATGCACATGCGCAGGCACATGCGCAGGGACAAGCACAGGCACATGCACATGCACATGCACATGCACCTGCACATGCATATGCACATGCACATGCACAGGCACACGCACACGCACAGGCACACGCGCATTCACGCGCACACGGACGCGCACACAGAGGCGCACGCATGTGCGCACGTGCACGTGCACCACACGCATGCGCACCAGTGCACGCAGGCAGGCGTGCAGGCACGCACGCACCGCACCCCACGCGCGCATTCACCGCCGCACCGCGCCGCACCGCAATGGACCGGACCGCACGCTCGCAAGCACACAGACCCACACACACACACACACAGACACACACACCACACGGAGCCATGCATGAACCTCTTCGAGAGCAAAGCTGGGTGTTTCTCAACATTCCCCTATTTTGAGAACCCTCCCCCAAAAAAAAGAAGAGACAAAAGAAAGAGCATTTTGGACCACCATTAAAGACTACTACCCTTCCTCCCACTAATATGGTACTTGTGGGGAGGTACCTGGAAGATCATTCTCCTCCTTGAAGGGACCCCCTTTCAGCTGCCACGTTAGTGGGAGGGAGGGCAACCGTTATGCTTCCCATTCGGTTTCGGACGGCGCACGACTGGCCGCGAAAGTTTCGAGTCTCTCGCCGAGTCTGCGCCTGGAGCTGCGGTTCCGGCTGCAGAGCGCGGTGCTGCTCAGCAGCCTTCGCCTGCCGGCGGGCCGCGAAACGGGGGGGGGTTGTAGCTGGGAGGGGGGGGGGAGGAGAAGGGAGGGGGTTGAAGGAACGAGTTGTTTGGACCTTGGCTTGATTTTCGTGGCAAAGAAAGGGGTGGTTCCCCTCTGTACGAGTTTAGGATTCTAAGTGCAGGTTGTTGGGATGAATAGGAAGTTAACATTTGTTCAACACGCGGTTGGCCCTCAGGTTGGTGGAGGGGGGTGGGGATTGCACTTCCCCTGCAAAAATCCGTCCCATTTTGCAGATTCGAGGGTCCATAGCATGTGAAGGCCCCGCGAAGGGGGCCGAGTGTACCGCGGCGATGGCTGTGAATTTTGATGTCTCCGAAAGGTGCTGCTTGAGTGTGGGTGCAAAAGGCATGTTCACGGACAGGTCAGCGGACTGCCCAGAGAAGGCTACAAAGTTGCCAGGGACCTATTGCTCATGCCTTTCATGACATGCTCATGTCAATCATGTCAATGTCCAATGACCTTCTATGTGTCCCAACCAAGCCTTCTGAAGCTGTGTCGGTTGTTTGGCGAGCGCCGCAGACGGAAAGGACGATCCTCTCGGCGACTTCCACGGAGTCGCTTGCACTACTTCCGCCTATAGCGAGCTCACCTGGGGTAGAATGAACTCATCACCCTGTGCCCAAGAGTTGTCTGGCCTTTTTTTTTTCAGGGGTCGATTCCGATATAAAACCCTTGTGGGTGTTAAACCTTTTTTGCTGGCCCGTGAAAGGTGAGTGTCCCTTGGTGGGGTGATGTTTCAAGGGGAAATATAGGGAGCCCTGATGATTTGCACATCATTTTTTGTACACTTCAGCATATCAGCTCAAAAAAAGCAGACTTAGTAGCCAAGTGACGTGATGATCCGCCGACCTGATCCTGTGAGCAGTCTTCCGGATTCGGCATGTGGTTTCGAGTCTCCTTTCCGCTTTCGCGGCTTGGCATGGCTGGGGGTGGGGATCAGGTTCCACGTTTCGCTTGCCCATGAAACACACTGTTTGTTTGGCCCCTGTGACTTGCAAAGGGATCTGGAACACCAGGTGGAAGTTCGGAGCAAAGGAGCCCTGCTTTTGTTCTCCCATGACCAATTTCTAAACCAAACGAGCCAACAAGCCCTATTTCCGGGGACACGCCCCCCTCCCCCCCCCTTCCCCGCCCTTTCCCCCCCCTCCTTCCCCCCCTCTTCCCCCCTTCTTCCCCCCCTTCCCCTTCCCCCCCTCCTTCCTTCCCCCACCAAACGACAAACCAGAAGTCAAACAAGTTGAGTTGCCCCCAAGACTTCGGGGCTGCCGGCCAGGCCGTCGCCTCTCTGCCGCCAACCCCTTCGGCTGAGCCCTTCCTGCAGGCGATATGGAGATGGGGGCGGGGGCGGAAGGAATTGGAGGGATGTCGTCACTGCACTGAAACCACCTAATCATCCCTCCAAACCAATTCACTTCCCGAGTTTCTTTTCCGATTTTTGTTCCCCCTGGACTTTAACACTTCCTTTTTTGGGGGAAGACCGTCTTGGTGGGAAACAAACAGTTTTTGGACTTGTCTTAGCCAAGCCACTCGGGAAGTGAGCCAGGGGATCCACTCGCGAGGAGTTGTGAGTGATGCTGATCTCTGCCTTACGTGGGGAGTCCCTCTCTTCATGTGAGCGCATCGCCGAGTGATGTGGGCCACGTGTGCTTTTCGGGCACAGCAAAGCCAACACGCCTCAAGGGCTAACAGAAGCTTGCGAATCCTGGGTTTCCAAGAAATCAGGAACTCCCGACAGAACATCATCCATTTTTCCAGAAGGCATTGCGATGGAGTCTTCCGTGCCCAGCCCTTGCACACTGGCACAGAGACACTTGCTCCGCAGAGACGCTTGCGCAGAGAACTTGCGCAGACAAACTTGCTCAGAGAACCTGCTCACAGAACGGCGACGCAAAGAAACTTGCGCAGAGAAGCTTGCTGAGAGAACTCGCTACCAGGATTGCGCAGAGGAGCTTGCTCGGAAAACTTGCTCAGAGAACTTTGCGCAACGCCACTTGCTCAGAGAAACTTGCCTGCAACTCTTGCTCAGAGAGCAGAATCAGATCATGCTCTTCTTGTTGCGCGCAAGGACATCTTCTTGCGTCTGTAGCCGGGTCTATGCTTTCTGGGGCCACCCGTCTGCCAGTTGTGCGTGGATCGAACCGAAATGCCTGTGGCTCAAAAAAAATCCGGTACCAAAATGGAACCCTGGTAGGTGGAAACATGGACCAAAACCTGCGTAACCCCTCCTGCTCAATTTTGAGCCACACCCAAATGTGCAGGAGCTCCGTGGCTTCTTCTTGGGCGCCTTGGCCGCGGAGCGGGCGGAGCGGCCGGCGGTCGCCTTTGCCTCGGGGATTTCGGCAACGTCCGCCAGCAGCGGGGTCAGCCCTTCCCTAGGGCGGTCGCCCCTGGCGAGCCAGGCCAGAAACATGGGGAGCTTGGGCGGTGGGGGTTGGGACGTCTCAGGTTTCGTCTTCTTTGTTGAGGGAGGGGCAGAGGAGCCTCAAGCAGCCCAGTCTTCAAACGCTGAAGCTGGCCATGGCTTGTTTAAGGCCTGCCACCGAGCGCCTCGCAGGCGCACTTCCCTGACACGCTGCCGCCCGGCGCGCCCGGCGCGCCAGGCGTGCCCGGCGCGCCAGTGCCCAGGCCCAGTGGGGGGCTGTGAGTGGAGGGACCAGGGCACAAGCGCAGTTATCTGCCCTCGCCCAAGTGCCCAGAGTGCCTTGAAAAGGATTCATGCGTCAGAAGACATGCAACCCTTCCCTCCCCTTGATCAACATTACGTCAATATGGAACAGCAATTGCAAGACCCTCAAGATTCGTCAAAGCAACCTCAGAAGGCCGAACTTTCTTGAGGTTCCACAAGGGCCGTGGGTGGGGAAGGCTTCACGAAGAACGTGATGTTGGGAGTGAAGTGCGCTCAGGCACGAGTCCTACAAAGGGATTCCTTGGTCGGGGAATCCGACCCTACCTGACAAACGGGGTATCATCAAGCTGATTTTTTTAGCTTCTCAGAGCTCCAAAAGAGTGGAAGTCCTAGATAAGGGGACTTGCTGCGGGCCTTGGAAGAAATTTATTGTGTTTAGCTTGCTTCCCAATTTGGCGGGCGAAGAAAAAACATGAGCCGCTAAAGGTCCCCTAATGTTGACCACGGATGAACACGCCCTTCCTATTGGGAGGATGTCCCCCTCCCAAAGTTCCTGCGAACAGGGGACGCCCCGTCTGAATCACTCATGGGGGCTGGGGGGGGGAGGGGCTTATTCAAACCCCAAATAAGGCTTAATATGGCTTAACAAGGGCTTATTTGGGCTCCCTCCCCCTCCCCTCCCCTCCCCCCCAGCCCCCAAGAATCACCTGGGGGTAATTCATCGGAGCTCACAGCGCCGGGGTTGGAGGCCTGCTGCCAAGAAGCGGGCCCCGGGCTCATTGGTGGATCCCCACGCAAGGACGGGCTGGAGGAAACGGAAAGGCGGGGGGGAAGAACGACCCACGCATAGACTCCGGCACATGTGTAGGTCAACATGCGTATGCATGTGCATCCGTTTGCATACATATATATATATATATATATATATATGCTCACCCCCCCCCCCATGATCCACATTTGGCATTGCTGCAGTGTATGGTCTCAGCTTTGGCTCCTTAATTTGAATGGCTGAAGTACTCTTAGCCCGTCTCCCAATGGAGGCTGTTAAAATAATAACAGCCATGGCAACGAGCGCCACGCCGAGCCCTATCGCTCCATCCAGATGGCCTACAAAAGTAGGTTATCTACCATGTGGCTACTTGGCCGATTTCATCGAGTCGAAAACTGCAGTTTCTTATGGGGTCCTTCTGCTGTCATTTCTGCTCTTGCCCATCTAAGGATCGGAAGTGTTCAGCTTCGAAGGCTTGCACTTCAAGATCAGCGCGAGCGAGGAGACCGTCCTCCAAGAGAATGAACTTGGCTTGATTATGAGTGAGAGGCATTTGCCATAGTTTTTTATGGGACAGTCCTTAGGACTGCTTTTACTCTCTCAGTTTTCCAAGCCGCAAGGAAAAAAAGCCTGCTGACCATGTACGCCTGAGTCTGCTTGCATATCAAGCTCATTAAGTTTCCTTGTGCTATACTGCATCCATTGCAAAGCTGGGCAACTTTCTGATATTCCAACCCCATGATCCACATTTGGTATGGCTGCAGTGTGTGGTCTCAGCTCTGGCTCCTTAGTTTGACCCCGCAGTGTGTAACTAATGGCTGAAGTACTATTAGCCCAACTCCCAATGGAGGCTATTAACATACTGCTTGCATCTCAAGCTCATCAAATTTCCGTGTACTCTGCTGCAGCCATTTCAATTTGAGGTAACTTCCTGATACTCCCTTCTGCTCCAATCATGGCATCTGTGCCTCCTCATCGTGCTGAGTCGCTGGCTCGTTCCTTCGACAACGCAAACCTGGACGGCAACTGCACATTGGAGGAAGCCATCGCCCACACCGACGGCATGAAGATCCTTTACCTGGAGAAGCCAATGGTGGTGAACAAGGAGCCCGGTTCCATTAAGCTAGGCGATTTGCCAGCTAAAATGGAAATCACCGACTCCGTGAAAAAGAAGACGCAGTTCCTCGATGTCATTGCTGACCACGAAGGGCCTATTGACTTGAATGCGGTAGAGACAATGTTCCTTCAACAACGGTATGCCGACCTACCCGAGCCCGTGCGCATGAAGGGGAACTTCCAGGCCCCCTACAACATGCAGATTTTCATCATCCCCAAGGAAGGTGGCAAGAAAGACATCATTAAGCGCATCAAATTCCTAGAAGGTGCAAAGGTCCTCCACAGCTCCATCATCTCTATGTGCCAGGGCGTTCCACTCGAGATCGACTTGCAGGGCAAGTACCGCGATGGTGGTCGAGGACTACAGTACATGCTCGAGGGGCTGGGCGGCTTCCAGGTCCGCTACCAGAAGCTCGTGTCCGCCGGTGCCTCGAGCAAAATGCCCAAAGAGACGGAGGACATCCGCAAGGGCTTCGCCTATATCCGTCAGTTTGGCCCGGAAGAAAACTCCGACGGGCAATTCACAGTGTGGACGGAGGAGCAGGTCAACGATCCGAACGGCCCGCTCCACAAGTGGGACAAGGGGACCATCAAGGAGTTCCTGAGGTGCCTCGCGGACCAAGGCTCTCAAGCTAATACGATCAAGGAGTGGCCTCTCACCTTCAAGAGCATCACGCCGTGGGCTTTGAACACTATCCTTGCACCGATTCTTCCTCATGTGATGTCCCACTCCGTTATCTGGATTGGCAAGTCTCAGGTGGGTAAAAGCCCGGTGTCCTACACCCTCTCATCTGTGGTGTCCGCATATTGGTTGATTCAGGAAGAGAAGGAGGGCAGCCCTTGCTTTCAGACATGCAACCACCTCGACTACTTCCGCAAGGAGAAGGGCAGGCGGACGAAACCGAGGGTGTTTGATGATGGCAACCTCAACCTGGAGCATCCCGCAGGTGTTAAGGCAGTGACGGAGGTGGACGGCGTCGACAGGAAGACAATGGCAAGATACAACGCGTCCTCGTACGCGAAGAATCAGCTATGCCAGATTTGCAGTAATCCCTATGACAGGACTGCAGAGCCGCCGATGGACGCCAATTCGACTCAGGACACCGTGACCTTCGAGCAGTTCTACAAGATCGTGCGCCCCTCCTTCCACAGGGACTTCGATGAAGAGGACCTTGTCGGTGTCTTCAAGCGATCCACCTTCATCGTCTTCACCGATGTGGGCATGTACGTACGTGTGCCAGGCACAGACCGCAAACCCGTTCCCCGGTATGCCTGGCCAGAGCGGGATATTGGCATGATCTCTCCATCTGCCCGACCCCTTTTGGCTGCCTACAAGCGCGGTAACCTCTCTCACTTGCCGGCAGATCATGACAAAGACATGCAGTGGAGTTTGAACTTGCTGCAGGCTGCGCTGGATGGCGAGGAGGTCCGCTATTGTGCGACCACCCGTGGGAAAGAACTGTTCTCAGGAAGGGAGTACGTCATTGAAGATCGACCAACACTCGCGGGCATTGAGGGCAAGACCAAGTACTACCTGGATGCTGGCGCTGCCGTCGACGAGCCGCCCACTAAGAAGCTTCGATCTGTGAAGTCCTCTTCCAACTTGCTCAAGGAGATCAAGAACGAGAATGCGCAGGATGCCAAAGACGAGCCGAAGGACGAGGATGAGCAGAAAACAAAAGAAGAACAGAAGGAGAACGAAGATGCGCAGGATGCCAAAGACGAGCCGAAGGACGAGGATGAGCAGAAAACAAAAGAAGAAGAGAAGGATGAGGACGTGCAGGGTATCAAAGAAGAACCAGAGGAGACGCATAAGGTGCACATCAAGCAAGAGCCAGTGGATCCCTCCTACTTTTCCAAGCCATTGAACCTGCGCCCTCTGGTGATCAACCTGTCAGACACGTCTGAGGATGCAAGTGACCCAGCCTCTGCTGCACCGGCTGCAGCTGATGCGGTGGACCCTGTGGAGAAGCTTTCTGACCCTACAGCTCCTCCAGCAGCCGATGTGGTGGATGAGACCAAGGTCCTTGTGCCTTTGCCGGCTTCTTCTCCTGATGTGGTGGACCCTATGGACGAGATTCCCGACCAGTATGACATCGAGGCATACCGAACCCTTTCCCAAGAACTCGCGGATGCCATGGACATTGACGACAACTGAGCCGCGTGTGAGCCGCACTCAGCGGATTTTGTTCTAGAAGATAGAAATATAAACCCAATAGAGACATGGAGCTTGGCTAAAAAAACATTAGGTCTCCAGTGCCATCTTGCTTGCACATGTTGCTTGGAAGCGAATCGCATTGATCGTTTACGCAGCCATCTGCTTCAATCGCCTTGATCCTTTGTAGTTGATCTTGCCCATCATGCCAAAGAAGGTCATGAAGTCCGTGAAGGCCAAGTTCCCAGATCCTAAGCGGGGGAAGTGGCGCGTGCAGCGAAGGCCTGCCTCAAAGAATCCTGCTCCGGTGCCATATGTCCGCCATGGCATGCCCACTACCAAGAACAAAGGCCACAGAGCGCGCTGGGGGCGTTCGATTTTGACTTGGGAATCTTTGACTGGACAGCGTCTCCACAAGCAGCTCCACAAGGACAAGATCCTCACAGACTGGGAAGGCAGAACTTGCCCTCGATGTGGCAACGGCGTAATGGGGCCCCTGAAGTATTACCATGACAAGAAGATTTGGGCGTACCGGTGCAAGAAGCGTGCCTGCCACAAGCAACTTCAGCCTCATGACTACCATCCCATCTTCTTCATGTCTGCTGGCAATTCTTCAACTCCACTTCAGAAGCAGGTGGCGGTCCTCTTCTGCGCGGTGGTGGGGGTCTCGAGCAATGCGGCGCACCTGCTCCTGGATATGGACCACAAGCCAGTGGAGCGCATCTACCACAACCTGGAGGTCGCTCGCTCGCAGTACGTCACCCAGAAGGAGAAGGACATTGTCTTCGGCGGGAAGTGGGAGGACGTGGAGGTGGACGAGGTCGACATTGGCAAGTTGACCGACGAGAGCGTGGCGGGAAACCTCAACACGAAATGGGAACAGTGGGGTGGACTCGTGGAGCGAGGAAGGCCATCCTCGTTGGTGCTCTTCAGGCTCAACCCCATCCTCACCAAAAAGAGATCTCCGGGGCCAGGTCCCATCAGGAAGAGGGACTGGCAGCCGATTGCGAAAAAGCACATCGCGGGCCGGAAAGTCCACAGCGATGGGGCCAGAGCCTACAAGCTCAGGTTGCCGGACGTGAGGCATTGCAACGTCGTGCACAAGAAGAAGCGCATCGTCATCAACGGCAAGGCAAGTAACTCTGACCTAAACTGCTTTAACTGCCTCTTAAGGGATCTACTTGATTCTGTTATTCCTGTCAGGCCGTTTGGGTGAAGCCCCACTACACCAAGCAGTACGACGTCAAGCTGCCGGACGGGAAGAAGGTGCGTGTGAAGAGCGGCACCCAGATCATCGACCGGTTCTGGAACACCCTTCGATCTCACCTGAAACACACGAATAGAATCCCCGGCAGTCAGGTTCTCTTGCGAAAGCTGAGATCCGCACAGTTTGAACACTGGCATCGCCGCGCTAATATGTGGGAGGTGACCGGCCAGATGCTGCAGGCACTGCACAAGCAGTGATTACCGGATATGCGCTCGAAGGAAAAAGGCAAGAAAAATGCAAGCCAGCTCGTCGGAGTGACAAACATCTGCTACTGCCTTCCCACATCCACAATTTTAAAAAACAGTACAGCACTTTCTGCATGCTTAAAAGTGCTGTACTGTCCCTAAAATCCAGGCCTTGGAGGCAGAAAGTGCTGTACTGTCCCTAAAAAAACCTAAAAAACCATTCCAGAAACAGTCTTGAGCACACAAACCTCCTTCTGGCAAGGAATTTTTGGTTTTTTAGGGACAGTACAGCTTTTTTTGGTTTTTTAGGGACAGTACAGCACTTTTGAGCATCAGCATGCAGAAAGTGCTGTACTGTCCCTAAAATCCAGGAAAGTGCTGTACTGTCCCTAAAAAACCTAAAAAAACATTCCAAAAACAGTCTTGGGCACACAAACCTCCTTCTGGCAAGGATTTTTTGGTTTTTTAGGGACAGTACAGCACTTTTTTAAAAAAAGTGCTGTACTCTCCCTAAAAAACCAAAAAAGTGCTGTACTGTCCCTAAAAAACCCAAAAACGTGCTGTACTGTCCCTAAAAAACCAAAAATTCCTTGCCAGAAGGAGGTTTGTGTGCCCAAGACTGTTTTTGGAATGGTTTTTTAGGTTTTTTAGGGACAGTACAGCACTTTCAGCCTCCAAAGCCTGGATTTTAGGGACAGTACAGCACTTTCTGCATGCTGCTTCCATAAGTTCCATCTGCTCCCTGCTAACTTTTTTTCCAGAAGGCTGTCCACACAAACCATCTGCAAGCATCTGCTTCAAGTTGCCTAACATCTGTCCATCAAGAAGGTCGCAATCTTTGACTAATCTACTCATCAAGAATGATGCTTGTTTTTGACCCAAGTTTCCAGGATCAGAATCTGATCCTGGAACAGGTGGTCAAAAACAAGCATTTTACATGTGTTTTTCCAGTGTTTTTTGCTTGCAAGAGGCAAAATGTGGATCATGCGGGGGGGGGTGACCATATATATATATATATATATATCTCTATATATATACATATATATATATATATGTACATATTTGCAAACATGGTTTGGTATGATACGGTGTACCCATGTGAGCCAGATCCTTGAATGCATCTCAGATATCCGAAGCGACTTTGTGGCCAAGCGCCAGTTGATTTCATTGAGGTATGCTTGAAACAAAGGACCGGTTCCTGATCCTAGCGGGATACCAAAGGGGCGATGCCCGCAGGTACGCGGTGTATGACGATGCCATGTTTGACACAACGATGCAAGTTTGAAGGATGCGGGTGATACGTGAGCAAACGGGCCGTTTTGGAGATTGTGGCAAATTGAGCATGTTTCGGCCGTCTGGATTGGCCACTCGTCCGCTTTAAAGGACTATACCTGAAGAGCTTCGTACCGTGGCCATGAGTTTCAGCCTGTCAGCTGCATACTCGAAAATTGCAGCAACCAGAGCTCTGCAACCAATCACTTTGGACCGGGCTGCCTGTCGCCGCTGACTGGAGCGTTGCTAAAAAATTCAATCTTTCACCAGCCCAAACCCCACTTTTCCACACCCTAAGGCTAAACCAGCCGCCCAACAACAAGCTGGATGTCAGCCCTTACAGTAAATGAACCCCAAACCCAAGACCCACCCTCAGCAAGATCCAAGCCAGCCCTCCTCAGGGCCAGTAGGTGGGCCTAGGTCCAAGTGACGCCGGAGATGCTGGGGATTTCCCATCAACCAGCGCCAGGAGAAGACCAGTCTGGGCAAAAAAAAACAAACAAACAAACACCTCTACCCTCGGACACCCTCTCTCAAAATCAGTGCAGAGGTCGATTCGTTTCATCCGGGGGTTCCCCCGGACCTTTTGGTGCGCATCAGTCAGCCCTTTCGTCCGATGTCCGTCTCGGCTTTCGCAGGAAGGCGCGGAGGAGCGGCAAGCCCTTCCAGCTCTGCGGCTGAAGCTGGCGAAATCGTGTCCACAGCGACGGCTCTGTGCAGTGCTTGTTTGTGAGACACGCAAAGTTGGGGGGACTTGGGGGGACTTGGGGGGACTTGGGGGACCTGGGCGGCTCGGGAGTTGGGAAATCTGCTGAGTGCACAGCACACGAAACGCCACGCGAGAAAAGCGTGTCAAGCGCAGAAAAAGCATGGCTGAGAGGGGCATGGGAAGAGAGTGGTGCTTTTGAGTCCGGCCGCTGGCTGTCCTCTTCCACGATTCGCGTAAAGAGGGTATGTGTTTCAAGGAGGGGAGTGATTTGCAGCGATTCTTTGGGGTGCTGGCAAAGCAGTGACTGCAGCCGGGGCTCAAGTTCTTCCGAAGCGGGAAGACATTTGCACGCGGCGAGTTTCGCTCGCAGTTTCTGGAGCCCCGGACGCTGCTGGGCCTGGGTGGGCTGTATTAGAACTGCTCTGGGGTGAGGCCTTTTTTGGGGGGGACTCGGGGATCTTCTTGCTGTTGATTGATTCTACAGCACCAGGAAAACCACCTGAGCCACAATCAAAACCCTTCTTAATTCTTGATATGGTTATGGGTAGACCATTTTAATACCGGGTTTTGAGTGTGATTCACCTTTTTTTGGGTCCTTGTCTTGGAAAAGACCAGCACGCCCACACTCGCCTTGTCTCCACCTAAAGCTGATGGAGTTGGAGTTGGAGTTTGGCAATTCCTGGTGCGCTTTGGGTCATGTTGGGGTGGTTTTGACGGACCCCTGGTGCATGGTTAGCGCCTTTTTTTTAAACATGAAACGTGTGTACACAGCAGATGGCCAACATGGTTGCTTGGCTTTCCCGTATTTGCGTATTTCCGCATGAGTCACATTTGGTGGGGAAAACGTATTTCTGCCAAGCGCCGATCAACTTAGCACCACCTTCGTTTTGCCGTGTCAAGAAGGCGCCCTCGTTTCGTCTGGCGCCCAGCCCAAATCTGCGGCCTCCGGATTTTCACAAAAGATCCCGGTCGAGGGCCGCGCGAAAATGGTCTCTCCTGACAAAGGCTGCTTCACTTCTAGCAGTCTAGCAATCTTCTTCTTTCGATTGCAACACCCTCTTGACTTTGGAAGGGACACCAAAACGAGATGGAGCCAGCTCCACTGCGCTGAGAAGCCGCCGCCAGCTGCCACGCTGCTCTGCACGCCGAGGTTTCTGCCAAGAACGTAGCCTTCCTTGACCTCTGCTCCCCTGCGGTTTCCAGGCGGGATGTCTGCTGGGATGTCTGGGGGGATGGGATGTGATTCCTCCGAAGGGTTTATGGCCACGTCAACATGATCGGGGATTCCGATATGCAACTGCACTGTTCTTGTCATGTTAGTTAGGTTTTTGTTTTGTTGTGTTTTTTTGGTGTGTTCATGTTTAGTAGCAGGCTGCGAAAAGGCCGTTTTTTGGTTGCTGCTTGCAACTCGTGCTCTCTTCTTGGCTTGGGTTCAACAGCCTCCAAGTTTCAGCCTTTCTGAGTCGCGTCCAGGTTCCTAATGTTGGACGCACAACTCTCAGGCTTTAGTTGAGTCACCCGCAACTTGATTCGAGGAGGATCGTCATGCCAGACGTTTCTGCGAGCCTTTATCACTCAGAGACAGGCCGACCACTCCTTGAGGGCAACGGACACCGGACTCGCGGGTTGTCTTTTCAGCCGGTTCAAGGTTGCTGTGAAGGGAAGCCACCAGGCAACCACCACACTCACTCACTCACTCACTCGCTCACTCACTCACGCACGCACGCACGCACGCACTACTCACTCCACTCCACTCCACTCCACTCCACTCCACTCCGCTCCGCTCCGCTCCACTCCACTCCACTCCACTCCACTCCACTCCACTCTCACTCCGCTCCACTCTCACTCCGCTCCGCTCTCACTGCACTCCACTCTCACTCCACTCCACTCCACTCCACTCTCACTCCGCTCCACTCTCACTCCGCTCCGCTCTCACTGCACTCCACTCTCACTCACTCACTCACTCACTCACTCACTCACTCACTCACTCACCCACCCACCCACTCACTCACTCACTCACTCACCCACCCACTCACTCACTCACTCACCCACTCACTCACTCACTCACTCACTCACTCACTCACTCACTCACTCACTCACTCACTCACTCACTCACTCACTCACTCACTCACTCACTCACTCACTCACTCACTCACTCACTCACTCACTCACTCACTCACTCACTCACTCACTTACTCACTCACTCACTCACTCAAGCTCGCCCGTGGCAGCTGGTTTATTGGGGGAAGGGCAAAGATGGCTCGGGTTCCGATTTTCAGACATACAGTGGCGTGGCTGGACGAACTCCGTTCGCACCGCTTTGAAACCATGGGAAGGCATCGTTTGTTGGCATTCACAGGGGGTAATCGCATCATTCCGTTGGGAAAGCAAATCCTGCACCACTTTCCATTTGCTTAAGTTGGTATTTTACAGGGGAATCCAAGCAGCAACCAGGGTTTCTTAGGTGGTGCGAACTGGATCCCACGGTATTTGCGGCGTTCGAATGGATCCCCGAGGTGAGGTGTAGCGAACTTCATGGCGCCCACCACGGTGCAGGTGATGTGGGCCCTCTGGGAAGAGGCGCGGAGTTCTGCGGGCAGCTTCCTCTTAGGCGATGGAAACGAAGTCCCGCCCCCCCCCCCCCCACAGGGTCAAAAAGGTTCGTCCTTCTGCAGGGGGAAGCCATCAGATGACTGCCGATCGATCAAGGGGTCAAAAAGGTTCGTTGGACCTTCCGGGGGAAGCCATATAAAGATGACTGCCGATCAGAATCGTGGGAGACAGGAGAGCATTGGAAGGCCACCACGTTAAGGCTCTGTCTTAGCTGGGTTCTTAACCTCGCAAACGGGTTTTTAAAAGGCCCAATTAGACGCCCATACGAGTAGTGGTTTGACGAGTGGACGTACGATTGGACGTACGAGTGGACGTACGAGTGGACGAGTAAACGTACGAGTGGACGTACGAGTGGACGAGTGGGTGTACGAGTAGACGTGCGAGTGGACGTACGAGTGGACGAGTAGGCGCGCGAGTGGACGTACGAGTGGACGAGTAGGCGTACCAGTGGAAAAACGAGTGGACGAGTAGGTGTACGAGTGCACGTGCGAGTGGACGTACGAGTGGACGAGCAGGCGTACGAGTGGATGTAGCAGATGTGCAAGTTGGCGAGGGGAGCTTATCAGTACAGTAAGGGTGCTGTATCAATCCGATAAAAGTGCCTATATATAATTAAGTTAGTCAATAAGTTGGAAAGGTTTAAGTTGTAAGTTTCAACAGTTTGACCATGTTCCGTGAAGTGATATCATCACCGAAGTACGCACGAGTGAACGTAGGTGACATTGTCTAGTGGAGCAAACAATGATTCAACGATTCTGGCCGTGGCAGTCATATGCGTCTTGTAACTGTCTCATGAGTAAAACCTGAGCACGTGAGGTAAAATAGATCCTAACAGTGCATTGATGCATCATGCCAAACCTTGCCTTCCAAACTCTAGGCAGTGGTAAATAGGCTTGTTTGTCCAGGAATCTTATTTCTGTGCAAGTGGACTTGTCCGGTGCCACACGTGCAGAAATAAGGCCGATGTTCAGACAAATACGTGCGTGTGGACTTGCGCCAGTCCACACGCACAGAAATAAGCCCGATGTTTGGAGAAAATATGCTGGCATTGATTTCAAAAACTCGACCTTATTTCTGCGTGTATGGAATCCCAGACCTGTGCGTACCAACTGGCGCACCGACTCGTACACCCACTTGTGCCCCCTCTCGTGCACTCGTACTTCCACTCGTACACTCGCTCGTCCACTCGTACACTTACTCGTCCACGCGTACGTCCACTCGCACGCCCGCCCGTGCACTCGTGCAGATTTTGACCCGTACAGTTGTAAGGCCGATTTTCGGGAAAAAGGCCCATTTCTTCGACATGTGGACTTGCGCAAGTCCACACGCACAGAAATAAGGGCGATTTCTGCAATAAATCGGCCTTATTTCTGCACATGTCCCGAAAATCGGCCTTATTTCTGTACGTGTGGACTTGCGCAAGTCCACACGTACAGAAATAAGGCCAAGATTTGGAACAAATACGGCTTATTTTCAATAGATCGGCCTTATTCTGTACGTGTCCCGAAAATCGGCCTTATTTCTGTACGTGTGGACTTGCGCAAGCCCACACGTACAGAAATAAGACAGATTTTCTGAAAAATCAGGCTTATTTTTTAGAAAATTAGCCTTATTTCTGTGCGTGTGCAATCCTATGCCTGTCGCGCACTCTCTCGTTCACTCGTACGTCCACTCTCGTGCACTCGCTCGTCCACTCGTACGTCCACTCGCCCGCTCGCCCGTACACTCGCACAGATTTTGACCCGTACGGTTTTAAGGCCGATTTTCGGGAAAATAAGCCTTATTTGTCCAAAATTCGCCCTTAAAACCGTACGGGTCAGAATCTGTGCGAGCGTACGGCGTGCGTGCGAGTGGACGTACGAGTGGACGAGCGAGTATACGAGTGGACGCGCGAGTGGATGAGTGAGTGTGCGAGTGGATGGCAGAGTGCGAGTGGGTGCACGAATGGGTGAAAATGTGGTTCTTGATGTTTCAATATACTCTAAAAAGCTGTGTTTTTTTTGTGGTGAGGTGTAACCCCCTCCTCCTACCTACATGGAAACTCATCAGCCAGTCAGTGATCCCTCAAATCGTTTTGAGAACATGCAATAATGGCAGTGATGACATGTGATAAACCACGATAAACGATTGAAATATGACAAACTAGCAAAAACTATGCTAAATTATGATAGATTATGACAAGCTACGATGATGAACTATGATACATCATGATAACTGATGATACGCTATGATGATGAACTAGGTTAGATTTTGAAAAATATCATGGACTATGCCAAATAATGATAAATGTTGATACACAAGGAAGGAAAAGCTATGCTGATGAATTATGGTAAGCTATGATCAACTATGATGAATTATGGAAAGCTACGAGGACGAACTATGTTGAACTATGATAAGCTCTGATAAGTTGTGATAAATGGATAAACTTTGTTAAGCCATGATGACCAACTGTGATGAACTATGATAAACTATGATAAGTATGATGATGAACTATGGTGAACTATGCTAAAATGATGAATCATGATAGGCTATGATGATGAGCTATGATTAACTATGATAAATTATGATAATTTGCGATAGTTTGAAAACTTTATGCTAAGCTATGACGATGACCTATGACAAATTATTATAACGTATAATAAGCTATGATAACGAACTTTGATGAACTATGATAACATGATAAATCGTGATACATCATGAAAAACTATGACAACATATGATGATGCTCTATGATGAACTATGATAGGCTACGATCAATTATGACAAGCTATGATGATGAGTTATGATGAATAATGATAAGTTATGACATGCTATAGTGATGAACTAAGGTATGATGATGCACTATTATCGGCTAGTATAAAGTATGAACACAATGCTAATTTATGATAAATTATGATGATTAGTTTCTTAGGATAAAGTATGATACGGTGTGACAATGAACTACGACAAACTATGCTGAACATGACCAAATATTAAAACAAATGATACATTACGCTTACTCGCACATCTAGTCGCCCGCCCGATTGTCCAGTCGTACGCCCGCTGGCGCGTCCGCTCGTCCACTCGTACGTCCACTCGCACGCCGACTCGCGCGTCCGCTCGTCCACTCGTACGCCTACTCGTCCACTCGTACGTCCACTCGCACGTCCACTCGTACACCCGCTCGTCCACTCGTACGTCCACTCGTACGTCCACTCGTACGCCTACTCGTGCGCCTACTCGTCCACTCGTACGTCCGCTACTCGCACGCCCACACGTACACTTTCAACAACATTCAGTTTACGATGTCTTGAATTCAGCTAAGCTCTGTCCATTTGCCTGATGAGGGTCAAGGGGGTCGGCTTTTGGCCCGAGCAAACACCAGGTCTTCTGAGGTATGCTCGGCTGCGGCGCTTTTTGTTTGGCGGCCAGGGAAGCCAGTCAGGTCAATAAAAACCTGGGTGGGGGGGGTGGGGGTCGGGGGGGGGGGGGGTGGGGAAATAGGTTGTGCGACTGGCCAAGAAGGCGATTTTTTTTTTGGCCGTGGGTCCAAAAAGCGGGTAACCCCAAAAGTGGCTTGCCCTGGATGGAAACCTGGACGACTCCACCGGTCCAATTCCTGGTGGTTTCATTTTGAAGAGGTCAAAATGGGTTGCCCCAAAGTGGACACATGGGACAACACCTCCATTTGCTTAAGACTATTTTTTGTATTTTTTTATTTTCCCCTGTTGGTTTTAAAGGGAACCGATTTTCCTGAAATTATTTCTATTTTTCCAGGGTCTTAACCAAATGGACCAAAACCTGCGGTTGGCCCCTCCTGTCTAATTCGAGTCGCAGGGATCCTTACATTATACACCTGAACATTGCCTTGTCAATGGTGGTTTCCCTTTATTCTGGTGGAAAAAGCCATGTTTCAAATGGTTGCAAAATGTATGGACGATTCAACCTGCGGTTGGCCCCTCCGATCGTTTCATTTTGAGCCACACCCAGGTGGGAGCTGAGGCGGTGCTGCTGCTCTGCTTCTGCCTGGGCTTCTTCGTGCTGCGGCTGTGCCAGATGCGCGCCCGGAGTGCAGGCCGGAGTCTGGATGGGCTCGGGGTTCTTGCAAAAAATACAACCAACACGGCCATGTGGGTGTGGCTCAAAATTAAGCAGGCGGGGTTACGCAGGTTTTGGTCCATGTTTCCACTTACCAGGGTTCCATTTTGGTACCGGTTTTTTGAGCCACAGCCATGTGTGTTTTTTGTCACTGAAGTTCTCAGATGGTTGGTTCCCAATGGAGAACATGTGTTTACTAAAGGAGCACACTATTGCGGACGGACGGACAGATGGAAGGACGGATGAAAACTGTGGGACATCCTAGAATTGGCAGCAGACCGCTTTGGGGGCAGTTGAAGGGAAGCCGTCTAGATTCTATATGTTCAGGGGGTCTTACTGTATATCTGGAAGCACCCATTTCTAGGACGAGATGGTGAATCCATAGTAGAAACCCGCTATCTACCGTGTTCCTCTTGGTTGGAGCAAAACGAATCAGAGACTGGGTGCTCCTGTTTGGATTATTTGTCAACTCCCGCCTCCCTCCCGGTTTTCCCCGAAAGGTTTTCATGTATGGGGGGGTTGTCACTGGGTTAAGGGTTCTTGCACACGTGCATGTAGCTATGCCTCTGGGGAGAGAAAAGGCTAGGAAGATGCATTGCCGCATCGTTTCCACCAGACCACAAGGAGCCACCATTGATCATGTTGCGACCCTGTGCTGCTTTCCTTCATAGGCCATGTATTAGACAACGAAACAAAGTGCTTACTCACCCTTGCCCCATGCCAACGGGTTGGCAGTCGCAACCCACATTTGCAGCCGCCTGGGGTGACGGATAAACATCCAATACAAGGGGCTGAATGATTGTCATGGTGGATTTGTTTGAACAGTTCCCACATTCTATATGTACCATAGGCCCTAAGAGACTTATGGCAAGTGTACTTGCTGAGTTTTTCAGTACGAATGCCGCCGCCACATATAGCATGCTCTCCCACATCGGGTTCCAAGAAAGGGTATGATGGACGCAGCACGCGATGGATTCCAGAAGTTTGGTTCACTTTGCCCGACGAAACGACGTGACTCGTCCGTCGCTTGGTTCAGGGAAGAAGCAGTGCGTCTACGAGCCGGAGAGGCGGCAACCCGCGAGGCGCCGGTTTTCTGTAGCCCACCAAACTGGCGGGAGCATAGTCCACATATGTCTGAACAAAGGAATCGGACCCCGACAATTGTAAGTTTGCTTTCGGCTTTTGACATCCGCATGGACCAACTGGGTCAGAAAGAAATGGCTGCTGTGCTGGAAACCTGGTTTTCAGAATTCCATGTAGGGGTGTCATTTTTTGGGGTTAACCCCCCCCCCCACATGGTGGTTTTCCCGGTTTCCCTGTAAACGAACCCCAAAAAAAACGGTACCCACCAAGAGAAGCTGCCGACCCGTGCGGCTTCGCCCCGCGTTTTTTTTTTTTTTTTTTCTGGGCCCCCGTCCGGGCCCTCCGAACGGCCGTCGCCCGAGCACGGCTTTCATATATGCATGGGGGCCATCCGGAAACTTGCGGCGTGACAAGAATGCGGTAATGAGTTTTACAGAGTTGGAACCACAAGTGGTCACCATTTCGGGTCCATTCAAAAGTCAGAAACACGTCAAAGCGCGTTGTCGTTCAGATATGGAGAGGCAGTGGCATGCTGAAGGCATCGGGGACTCGGCTGAAACGCGAAAGGTCGCAGGACCGTTGACTAATCCTCGAGTCCCATAAATCCCGTGTTTTTAGTTTTCATGAGCTGACGTCTCCGCATGTGGGGCTCGAATTTGTTGCGAGATCCCAAGGTTTGAAGTTCCCGAAAAGTACCAAAAGTTCCCGAAAAAGTTCCCGAACAAGTTCCCAAGGTGAAGTTCCCGGATGGTGAGAAGTACCCGAAACGTGCCCCCGACTGGCTCGGGGTCCCACTGGCTCGCTCGTTTCGCTCCATTTCCCGGGACTCAGGTAGGATCGAGTGAGCCAGTCGGTCAGAAGTCGTAATATGATCCGTTTTGTTTAATTAGAACTGTCATGGTATTTAGGTTATTTGGTTTTCCTTGCTTTTGAGTTTTTATTTTTGCTGATGGATATAGTAGATCCCTTTTTGTGGTTGTGCTTAACACCCACAATGCAACAAGGGAACTTCGCAAGGCTGAGCCTCGATAGACTCCAGCAGCTCCTGGACGAGGAGAAGGAGATGCTCGGATCATGTGGCCCTAGAAAAGGTGTCGTCTTTGTCTTGAGGCTCGGTGAACCTTCCAAAAGTAGAACCGAAAGGAAAAACACCATTTGTTGGGGGTCCAACCCAGAAAAAACTCCCTTTCAGACCCTTTTTGGAATTTGGTACTAACCTGTAGACCTTTTTGGGGTTCAAAAAGGGACACAGACCCTTTTTGGGGTCGGTTTTGTTAGGAGAACTCACTTGGGTCCAAAACCCTACCCCTGTAGTGAGCAACAACCAATGGACCTAGCGTGCTGCCTGTACCTGTTGTTTGGGTATGCCAACTGATTGTTACTTACTAGGTGCCCTTTTTTCAAGGTGTCCTTTTTGGATAGTTTCAACAAAAGTAACATTCGGACCGGACCCATCTTTCGAACAGGCGATTTCTCAGCGAGGTGGATCTGGTTCGGTGCAGTCATTTGCGCAAGGCTCCTCTTGATTTGTCCCCTTTCGACATGGTTGTTGTTGGGACACATTTGAGACCATTTTTGCGCAAATTGTGGTTGAGTGGTTGAAATCCAAATCCACTTAACTGCCAATTTTTTTCGAATTTTTGCCCCCCCCCCCCAAGCCCAGCGTCGACCTGGTCGTCGAAGGGGTTCCTTTCCTTTCAACGAATTCCGATCCCTGGGCTCTGGAAAGGCTTCCGCGGCCAGGTCTCCCTAAGGAAACAAACAGCGGACGGGTTTGGAAGGTCCTCTCGCCTTGAACAGCAGAGCCGTGGTCTCGCCAAGATGGCCGTGCGCTTTTGAGGTTTTCCAACCCGCTTTTTCTCCCGAAAGAAAGGAGGTCCACCAGGTCGGGTCCATTTTGGCTCGAACAACTCAACCGCGATCAAAAAATGAACAATAACACAACACAAAATCAAACACAAAGATTTCTCAACCCCCATTGAAGAAACAAAACAACAGCGCAAAAGCATGAAGCAGGGAAGCAGCGCCCCCGTCGCCCCCCAAGTCCCCCAACCCAATCTCAGCCCTCCCCACCCCTACCACCCCCCCCCCCCCACCACCCCCACCACCCCACCCCCCACCACCCCACCCCCCACCACCCCACCCCCCACCACCCCACCCCCACCCCAAGCCCCTCCGCCCCCCGCCGCCGAGGGACGAGGCGCTGCGCTGCGCGGCGCAGCTGGCGCTGCCGGGCTCCCACCTGGCGCCTCGAAACGAAAATCGCCTCCGGCTCCGGCGAAACGGTTCACCGGGTGGGCGGGGCGGGTGGCCAACCAAATGAAGGGGTACTCTAGCCCACTGCTCCCTTCCGTTCAAAGGACATGGGAGCCCATACAAAAGTCTTTGCGGGTTGGGCTCCAAAGTCGTTTGGGCCAAGTTCGACTTTGTTCTGGATGGGAAGGGAGGTATCCTCCTTCCAGCTGGCAGGGAGGTGGAGGGAAATCAGAGCAAACTTAAGGGAAGCTAAACTTTTGCTGGGGGGCTTCCTTGAGTTCCACTTTGTGAAGAGTCATCTCGGACCATCTCGGACCCTTTTTACCTAAAAAGTGGAGAATCAATAAGAACAGGATGGGTCCGCGGAACCGTCTGCCACTCAAATACTCAAAGACTCAAATTGTTTAAACAAAAACAGGAGAGACAATTTCGAGTTGCCAGGTCAACGAGCTGAAGGCTTGTAGGTGCAAGACATATGCCAGAGAGGGTCCACCGAACTGGTGTTCCAACATGCTTAAGGGCCGCGGTTGGCGATACCCCCAGCCGAAAGCGATAAACCAAACAGAAAAAAATCGGGCCCCGGATTGAACCGCGACAAATTGGGAAACCTGAAAATGTGTTGCTCTTTCAACCAATGCCCAAACAGAAGGCAAACTCAAAGCCACTCGGCTCACAAACCTCACCCCGGCCCCGTTTGTTGCCTTGGGTGACACTCGGCGGTTCACTGCCACCTTTGCTGTCCCTAGAACTTCACCCGAAAGTTCAAAAAAGCCAACCTTTTGAAATTCATGTCCAAGAGAGAAATCTTCCAAGAGCTAGTGTTTCGATTAGACGCAGAAACGCAGTGGTTCGTTTTTCCTTTCAAGAGGACCCCCGGGTTGATCTACTCAGGATAAATGAATCTCCCAAAATTTGAGGTATCTTGAGGTTCTTGTTCCCAGAAAAGGAGCGATCCTGGGTTGAAATCTAACAGTGGAGCCCTGGCCTCACTACGGAACTCTTCCGGAACTCTGAGAGTCAGAGGTTTCTGTGACCCAGGTTCAGTTCCAGGAATCGAAGAGAGCCCTTGGGCCCCTCGAGGTGTGGCTCTTTCAGCTCCTGGCCCGGCACGGCGCGCACTCTGCCGCCGACAAGCTGCTGGCATTGCCCTCAGGCGGGGGTGCTTCGGGGCAAATGGGCGGCTCCTGTGTAGGATTTGCACCATGGCGAGTCGGTTTTGCTTTGAAAGGCCTCCCTTTCAAGCAGGGTTGCGGGATCGGGTTTGTCCCCGCTTCTGTGATAGGTTCGGGAATCTCCGCCTTTATATGGGAAGCCCTTCTTGTTGTATCACACAGGTGGATTCCATTTCAACCACCGCCCTGATTTAACGCAAGCCCAACATTTCGTTGCACTCGAAACGAGGCCCATGGGTTTTCTGAGCAACTGGGTGGTGGCCGAAGTCTTTTTTTGCGGGCTGTGGGTTGAATCCCAACGCCAAGCCAAGGAATCATGCGCATGTCTTCCGGAGTGGGGATTTGCAGTGGGTGTCACCTTGGGGAAATTTGCTGCAATTCTGTTCTCAAAGGTGCAGGTCTCGTTCCTTTTCATGTTGGGCGTTTTGGGTTTGCCTTGCATCCAAATCCAGGAAAGCGCATAGGCATCCCTGGCAGGAAGCCGTTTGCCACGACCCCAGGGACGGATCCAACATTACAACTTGCTCCCATATTGACTAAACAAGCATTCCCTTCTGTGATGCTGTATGAGTGAAAGTATCCTGACGGTTCTTGTCCGCCGCGATCGGCGCGCCAGACGCTTTCGAGCTCTTGTATTTCAAGGCTCACTTTAGACAAGACCCCAAACAAGTTTTTTCCGATCTTCCATTTGCTTTAGAATATCTCCCCCCCTGTTGGTTTCAAAGGGAATCTATCACTACTGAGCATACGTGTTTTTTCCTTTTTTTTTCCCCCCTTCTTTTTTCTCTGGGGACGTATTCGACGTATCCTGGGACGTAGCTGTGGGCCGTCCGGTTTTCGAGCTTGGGACAAAAATCGGTTGAGAAAGAGGTTCCAGGTTTCTCCATACCTGAAAGAGGTTACCCCCAACAAGACGCACGACAACCATATAAGATTGCTCATCTTAAGCCAGTCGGAGCCGCTGATCGCAAGTTCCTGACACCGCGATTGGCGAAACCACCTGGAAACATGAGTCACCGAATGCTTGAGGTGCTCAACTGACGGGTAATTCCCCCGACCTGTTTCTTTGTGGACCCATACACCAAAAGGTAGCCTGGAGGTCAAACACACCCTTTTGTACTTTGGGGATCTCCGTCTTGACCTTGAACCCCCAAGAAACCGACCCAACAGCATTCCGCGCAGCCCGGGATCTCAGGCTGCCGAATGCTTGACGTACTTCACTGCCTAGAGTCTCCATGACCCTTTCAAAAATGGGTCATTGACCCCATTATTTTGGGTAATGACCCCATTTTTTGAGGGTCATGGAGACTCCAGGTGGCGGTTTCTTCTCTTCTCCAAGCAAGACTCTCTTCTCTCGCTCGTCTTGAGAACACCCAAGGCCGCGTAAAATCGGCGAGCTTTCTTTTTCTTTTCTTTCTTCCGGTCGGAAGCCAAGCACTCCATGCGCCGTCGCTGGAGGCTGCCTGAGCCCCAAGGCGGCCGTGGCCTTGGCGCAGCACGCGGCTTCAGCTGCCGGCGGCTTGGAGGTGGTGCGCCAGGCGCGCGATGGGGGCGAGAGTGGGGGGGGGGGGGTGGGCTTATGACCTGGGCTTTGGACGTTTTGGAGTGGGTTGCCTCTCGAGAAACCATGGGTTTCCGCTGCAATTGCTCTAGAAGAACCAGGGGTTCAAATCGCCAATCCAAACCACCGCTTAAATGTGAACTGATCTTCGGGGATACCCTCCCGAAAACGTGGCACCTGCACAGGGGTTCAAGTCCAAATCCAAACCACGGGCTCCAGACCACCAACCAAAGGGCAACCTGACTGGGGATCTTTTGTGTGGTTGCTTCCCCCCCATCGGATTCACCCACACCGCCATGTATCTTTTCGGGTATGACTGGTGGCGACTGTTCCTATCAAATGACCAATCTCTCTTGAGAATGAGGTTTAACCCCCCAGACACCTGGTCTGGGTCGTTCAATTGAGAATGAGGCTTACAGCACCATGTAATTACCTCGCCCTTTTTTGCCCATGACCACCCTCTGACTGAGATGTGTACACCGTCCATAACCCATAACCCATACCCTCCTTCGGGTCCGAACGACACCGATTTCTCGGGTCGGCTGGCCTTCAGTTGGGTGTGGAGTTGGATTTGAACCCCACCTCTTTGACACCAAATGGAGTGGTGCTACCCCCCCCCCCCCACCCCAAAGTCCGGAGTCCAAAGCATCGGTCACTAAACCGAGATCACACCAAATGGGATTTGGGTTACCCGGATACCCCCCCCCCCCCTTAAAGCACAAACCACTGGTCACTAAACCGAGATAACACCAAATGGGATTTGGGTTACCCGGATACCCCCCTCCCCCCCCCCTTAAAGCCCAAACCACTGGTCACTAAACCACCAATGGGAGGTATGGCGATCTTGGTGAATTGCGTGCTGCTGTCTTGTTTTTTTTTTTTTTTTTTTGTTTTTTTTTTTTTAAAGCTGGCTTCGCGCTTCGCTAAAAAAGTAAGAGAAGAGGTTTTGGTTTTTCCTCCTCAACGTCCGGACCACCGGTCACCACCAAATCACCAGGGGGTAAGGCTTTAGGTACCCCCCCCGGTCACTAAACCACCAAATTGGGTAACCTGACTGGGGATCTTTTTTGTGGTTCCTTCCCCCCATCGGATTCATCCAGCACACCACCATTGTTTTTTCGGGTATGACTGCTGGCGACTGTGCCGATGAAATGACCAATCTCTCTTGAGGATAAGGTTAACCCCCCCATCTACCTGGTCTGTCTACAGCACCACATGCCTAGCCCTTTGTGACCATGATCACCCTGGGACTGAGGTTTACAGCACCCACCGAACGGTAGGTCTCTTGCGCTCGCAAAACCGATCCATCGGCGCTGCGAACATCTCGCGAGGTGCAGCGCCTGCTCGTCGGAAAGGCCTTGATGTCCCAGGGCGCCAGCGAGGCGCTGCTGCGGGGCTACGCCCTGAACGGCGCCGGCGCCGAGGAGGCATGAGGGAGTTTTTTTTTCTTTTTCTCTCTCTCTCTCTCTCTCTCTCTTTTTTTTGGGCCTGTTGGCTTTTTTCGGACGGTGTGTGTGTGTGTGTGTGTGTGTGTGTGGACCGGACCTTGTTTGAACAGAAGTCGTCCCTTGAAACAGGGCAGGTATCACCGAATCTGAAGATTTCCTCTGGGATGAAGATGTTGTTGTCGTTTAGTGGTTGCACCCTAGTGGCTACGCCCTAGTGGCGGTGAGCAAGACTACGCCCATGCGGCCATGAGTGGAAACACCTCATGGGAGATGCCTAGGCAGGCTGCGAGGCGTGGGGCAACACAAGTTCAAATCGATTTGCGGGCTTGCCAGACTCGGTAAGGTTGATTCTTCCTGTCCCGCGATGCAAAGAATACTGGCTGAGGTGGAGAAGTCTGAAGCGTTTTTTTTCTTGTCGCTCAGTTGTCCCTGAAGAAGTTGACCCCCTCCTTCTCAAAGGAAACCCTGGCCGCCTCAGGCCTGGCTTCTTGGCATCTCGCTCTGTCTTCTCATTAGGGTCCAAATCTCCAGCATAATCCCCTGCTCCACCTGCCGAAACAGGGGGGTGCCCCAACCCACCCCTGCCATTCCTCGCATATCACTTTCACCCGCACCGCCCCACCAGCCCCCCCCAAGGTGAACCGCTTTGATGGTCTCGATGACAAAGCAAATGGGCACAAACGATTGAGGGCTCCAACTCCCATTTCGCGAGCCCACCACTCCCCAACCACCCCACCCCAACAAGCACCTCCCCTCCCCCCCAACTTCCCCACCAACCTTCCAAGCCACCCAACCACCGCAACCAAGCACCTCCACCCCTCCAACCTCCCAAGCCCCACCTCCTTCCAACCCTCCAACCACCAAGCCACCAACCACCCCACCGCAACAAGCAACGACCAAATAATTTTTTAGGGGTCATAGAAGTTGGCAACACATATGATTTTCATTGCGGTTGGCAACGCGTATGATTTTCATGGCGGTTGGCAACGCGTATGACTTGCATGGCGGTTGGCAACGCATATGATTTTCATGACGGTTGGCAACGCGAATAAATTTCATGGCGGTTGGCAACGCGTATGACTTGCATGGCAGTTGGCAACGCATATGATTTTCATTGCGGTTGGCAATGTGTATGATTTTCATGGCGGTTGGCAACGCATATGACTTGCATGGCGGTTGGCAACGCGTATGATTTTCATGACGGTTGGCAACACGTATGATTTTCATCGCGGTTGGCAACGCGTATGACTTGCATGGCGGTTGGCAACGCGTATGATTTTCATGGCGGTTGGCAATGCGTATGACTTGCTTGGCGGTTGGCAACGCATATGACTTGCATGGCGGTTGGCGCCGCATATGATTTTCCTGGCGGCGGCCGCAGCGTCCATGACGCACATGATGTTTTTCATGGCAGCTGGCAACGCATATGATTTTCATGGCGGTTGGCAACGCGTATGACTGCATGGCAGTTGGCGACGCATATGTTTTTTCATGGTGGTTGGCAACGCACATGATTTTTCATGGTGGCTAGCAACGTGTGTGATTTCATGGCGGCTGGCAACGCATGTGACCTTTCATGTTGTTTGGCAACGCATTTCTTTTGTTTGCCGGTTGGCAACGCAGATGATTTCCCGGCGGCTGGCAACGCATATGATTTTTCATGGCGGTTGGCAACTCGTTTGACTTTCATGGTGGTTGGCAACGCATATGGCTTGCATGGCGGTTGGCAACGCATATGATTCTTCATGGGGGTTGGCAACGCATATGACTTTCATGGCGGTTGGCAACTCTCATGATGTCAAGCTTGCGCCCTTGGCGGCCGCAGTGTCCATGACGCACTTCTTTTTTAGGCGGTTGGCAACGCATATGATTTTTTCATTGTGGTTGGCGCGCGTGTGACTGTCATGGCGGTGGGCAACACGTATGATTTCATGGTGGTTGGCCACGTGTGCGGTTTCATAGTGGTTGGCAACGCATATTATGCATGGTGGTTGGTAACCTGTATGACTTCATGGTGGTTGGCGCACACATGATTTCACGCTTCTGACAAAACTTGAACATGACATGAGGCACAGAAAGCGGCCGCACATAGGCTCTTTGGCGGAAAATGGCCGCGCAAGGCGTTGTGTGGCAGAAAGGCGACACTTCTGCGGCCGTTGATTTCACGATGGTTGGCAACAAACAAGATTTCATGGCGGTTGTCAACGCATATGATCTTCATGGCGGCAACCCATGTGATTTTCACGGAGGTTGGAAACCGATATGATTTCATGGTGGTTGGCAACGCATATGCTTCTCATGGCGGTTGGCAACGCTCATGATGTCAGATTTACGCCCTTGGCGGCCGCAGCGTCCATGACGCGCATGATGTTTTTCATGGTGGTTGGCAACGCATATGATTTCATGGTGGTTGGAAACCCGTATGACTTCATGGTGGTGGGCGCACTCATGGTTTCACGCTTCTGACAAAACTTGAAATGGCGTGAGGCACAGAAAATGGCCACATAGGCTCTTTGGTGGAAAGTGGCCGCACAAGGGTTTTGCGGCAGCAAAGCGTCACTTCTGCGGCCGTTGATTTCACGATGGTTGGCAACAAGCAAGGTTTCATGGCGGTTGGCAACCCATATGATTTTCATGGCGGTTTGCAACGCATATGACTTTCATGGCGGTTGGCAACGCATATGACTTTCACGCAGGTTGGGGACGAACATGTGACATGATTTTCATGGTGGCTGACAACCCATATGATTTGATTTTCATGCCCCCACCGCTCATGAATCCCGGTGCAACAACAAGGCGCACAAAATGTCCGCACAAGGGGTTTTGCGGCAGAAAAACGACACTTCTGCGGCCGTTGATTTCACGATGGTTGGCAACAAACAAGATTTCATGGCGGTTGTCAACGCATATGATCTTCATGGCGGCAACCCATGTGATTTTCACGGAGGTTGGACACCGATATGATTTCATGGTGGTTGGCAACGCATATGCTTCTCATGGCGGTTGGCAACGCTCATGATGTCAGATTTACGCCCTTGGCGGCCGCAGCGTCCATGACGCGCATGATGTTTTCATGGTGGTTGGCAACGCATATGATTTCATGGTGGTTGGCAGCACATATGGTGTCAGAGTTACACATGATGATTCTTTCTTTTTTTCCTTTGTCATTTTTTGAATGATGGTTGGCAACGCATATGAATTTTCATGCCAGCTAGCAACGTGTATGATTTCACGGTGGTTGGCAACGTGTATGATTTCATGGTGGTTGGCAACGCATTTGATTTCATGGCGGTTAGCCACGTGCATGGTGGTTGGCAACGCATATGATTGGTGGCTGGTAACCTGTATGAGTTTATGGCGGTTGGCACACTCATGATTTCAAGCTTCTGACCCCGCCCCCACTACAGAGATTGAATTGCGCTCCCACTTGAATCATCACTTCTTCGAACATCATGAGGCGGGCTGCCGCCTCCCCCAACCCCTCCGTTGCTTTGTCATTTTTCTCCAGAGATTTGCGCTCGTGTCTGAATCAATACTTCTTCGAACATCATGCGCCTCTATTTGAATCATCGCTTCCAACATGATGGGGTAGGCTGCCCCCCCAACCCCCCCGCTACTTTTAGATTTTCGATAGAGATTTCATTGATGCCCCTATGTGAAGCATCACTTCTTCGAGCAGCATGAGCGGCCGCCCCCCCCAACCCCCCCGCTACTTCTTGGATTTACTACAGAGATTTTCATTGTGCCCCTACTTGAATCATCGCTTCTTCTGCCGCCCCCCCCCCACCCCCACGCTACTTTTTCGATTTTTTACAGAGATTTAATGTGAGATTTCATCGCGCTCGAATTTGAAGCATCACTTCTGCGAACATCATGGGCGGGGCTGCCTCCCCCCCGCACCTCCCCGCTACTTTGTGGATCGTCTAACAGAGATTTCATCGCGCCTCCGTTTGAATCATCACTTCTTCGCACATCTGGGCCCGCCCCAACCCCCCCGCTAGTTCTTGGATTTACTACACCTTTTTTGAATCTTCACTTCTTCGAACATCATGTGCGGGGGCTGCCACCCCCCAAACTCCCTGCGACTTGTTTGGATTGTCTACATCGATTTCATTGCGCCTATTTGAATCATCACTTCTTCGAACATCATGGTTCCAACATCATGGGGGAGGCCCCTCCCCCCCCCCCGTTGCACCCTTTGTTGAATCATAGTGGGGCGGGGGGGATTGAAAACAACTCCAATCGCCTACGATTTCATGGTGGCTAGCAACGCATATGATTTCCATGGAGGTTGGCTGGTTAGCAACCTGTGTGATATCATGGCGCTTGGCAGCGTGTGTGATTTTACGGCGGTTGGCAACGCGTGTGGTTTCATGGTGGTTGGCAACACGTACGATTTCATGGCGGTTGGCAATGCATATGATTTCACGGAGGTTGGAACCTGTGTGATTTCATAGTGGTTGGCAACGCATATGGTTTCATGGTGGTTGGCAACGCATATGACTTTCATGGCGGTAAGCAACGCATATGATTTTTCGTTGCGGTTAACAGCTCATATGGTCGTGTCTGATTTCACGGCGGTTGGCAATGTGTGATGTCATGGTGGTTGGCAATCCATATGATTTCATGGTGGTTGACAACGCATATGACTTCATGGTGCTTGGCAACACATCTGATTTTCATGAGGGCTGGCAACGCGTGTGATTTTTCATGGCGGTTGGCAACGCATATGACTGTAATGGTTGTTGGCAACGTGTATGATTTCATGGTGGCTGGCGACGCATATGACTTTCATGGTGGTTGACAGTGCATATGGTTTCGTGGTGGTTGGCAACGCGTATGACTTTCATGGCGGTTGGCAATGCATATTTTTCATTGTGCCCCGCTACTTTTTGGATTTCTACAGAGATTTCATTGCGTCTGTGTTTGAATCATCACTTCTTCTAACATCATGGGGGGGGTGGCTGCCACCCCCCCAACCCCCCGGCTACTTTTGGGATTTCTACAGAGAGAACATTACGATTCAAATTGAATCCTCACTTCTTCGAACATCATCGTTGGAACATCATGGTGGAGGCTGCCCCCCCCCCCCCCAACCTTTTTTTTGCTGCACTCATCGTTTCTTCAAACATCATGGGGGCGCTGCCGCCCCCCCCAACCCCCCCGCTACTTGTTGGATTTTCTACAGAGATTTCAGTGCGCATCACTTCTTCGCACATCATGGCGGGGGGCTGCCACCCCCCCCTAACCCCCTTGCTAGTTGTTGGATTTTTGTTACAGAGATTTCAGTGCGCCCCGCGCATCATGGGGGGGCGGCCTGCCGCCCCCGGCTGAAAATCATATGCGTTGCCAACCGCCATGCAAGTCATATGCGTTTGGCAACGCATATGATTCTCATGGTGGTTGGCAAGGCATATGACTTTTCATGGTGGTTGGCAGCTCAAATGACTTTTCATGGTGGTTGGCAACGTGTATGATTTCATGGCGGCTGGCAACGCATATGAGTTTTCATGGCAGTTGGCAACGTGTATGCAATCATACACGCTGCCAACCAAAGTGACACATCGTACATGTTGCCAACCACCATGAAAATCACATGCGTTACACGTTGCCACCCAGCATGAATTTCATATGCGCTGCCAACCAAATGACTATTCACGTGCGTTGCCAACGCCCATGCAATCATGCACGCTGCCAATCACCATCAAATGAAATGCGTTCCCAACCACGAAAACAACATGCGTTGCCGACCACCATGAAAACCACTTGCGTTGCCAACCACCATGAGAATCATATGCGTTGCCAACCGCCGTGGCAAACCATATGCGTTGCCGACCACCATGAAAAGCATATGCGTTGCCAGGCGCCATTAAAGTCATATGTGTTGCACACAAACATGAAAAATCACATGCGTGTCCAACAACCATGGGACTCATATGCGGTGCCAGCCACCATGAAACCATACACGTTGCCAACCACTGCGTCGCCAACCGCCATCAAAAAATATATGCGTTGCCAGCCACCATGAAATCTTATGCGCTGCCAACTACCATGAAATCATATGCGTTGCCAACCACCATGAAATCATGCACCTTGCCAACCGCCATGAAACCACCATGACAAATCATATGTGTTGCCAACCACCATGAAATCACACACGTTGCCAACCGCCGTGAAACCACACACGCTGCCAACCGCCATGATATCATGTGCGTAGCCAACCGCCACGAAAAATCATATGCGTCCCAAGCGCCATGAAAGTCATATGCGTTGCCAACCACCATGCAGATCATCTGCGTTGCTAGCCACCATGAAACTCTACACGTTGCCAACCAAAGTGAACAATCATACACGCTGCCAACCGCCATGAAAGTCCTATGCGTTACCAACCACCATGAAATCATGCACCTTGCCAACCGCCATGAAAAATCATCTGCGTTGCCAACCGTTGCCAACCACCATGAAATCATACACATTGCCAACCACCATGGAAACCACCATGACAAATCATATGCGTTGCGAACCACCATGAAATCACACACGTTGCCAACCGCCGTGAAACCACACACGCTGCCAACCGCCATGATATCATATGCGTAGCCAACCGCCATGAAAAATCAAATCCGTTCCAACCACCATGAAAGTCATATGCGTTGCCAACCACCATGGAGATCATCTGCGTTGCCAGCCACCATGAAACTATACACATTGCCAACCAAAGTGAGAAATCATACACGCTGCCAACCACCATGAAAGTCATATGCGTTACCAACCACCGTGAAGGGCCATATGCCTTGTCAACCACTGTTGCCAGCCACCATGAAATCATAAGCGTTTGGGGATGAGTTTTTGTTGTTTGTCCCGGACATCGTGGGGTTGCGGTGGGGGGGGGGGGGGCAGTCCCCCATGATGTTCCAACCATGATGTTCGAAGAAGTGATGATTCAATTACCGCGCAATGAAAACTCTGCAGAAAAATTGCAAAATAATTTCATGGCGGCTGGCAACGCATTTGAATTTTCATGCCAGCTAGCAACGTGTATGATTTCATGGTTGTTGGCAGCGCATATGAAGTTTCATGGTGGGTGGCAACGTGTATGATTTCATGGTGGTTGGCAACGCATATGAATTCATGGTGGTTGGCAACGTGTATGGGTTTATGGCGGTTGGCAACGTGTGTGGTTTCATGGTGGTTGGCAAAGCATACGGTTTCATGGTGGGTGACAACGCATATGACTTCATGGTGGTTAGCAAGGCATATGAATTTCATGGTGGTTGGCAACGCATGTGATTTCTCATCTTGGTTGGCAACACATATGACTTGAATCGCGGTTGGCAGCGCATATGTTTTTTGCATGGTGGTTGGCAACGCATCTGATTATTGATTGTGGTTGACAACGCGTATGGTTTCGTGGTGTTTGGCAGCGCATATGGCTTTTGATGGTGGTTGGCAGCGTGTATGATTTTTCATGGTGGATTGATTTCATGGTGGTTGGCAACGCGCATGATTTTACATGGTGGTTGGCAACCCCCCAACCCCCCAACCCCCCAACCCCCAAAAAACCCCCAACCCCCCCAACCCCCAACCCAACCCCCCCAACCCCCCCCAACCCCCCCCCCCCCCAAACCCCCCCAAAACCCCCCAACCCCCCCCAAGCCCCCCCAACCCCCCCCTCCACCCCCAACCCCCCCCAACCAACCTCCACCCCCAAATTTCCCTTCAACCCCCCCCTCCACCCACACCACTTCTCCCGCCAGGCGGCGCAGCTGCTGAGGAGCTTCCCCCCCTCCGAGGCCGCGCTCAGCTCCGCGCTGTCGCTCTGCGCCGCCAAGGGCGCCGTGCACCTCGCGGAGCTGCTGGCGCGCGGCCCCGTCGCCGGAAGGCCACGTCCGGGTTGGGAAGGAACCGTTCGGGGATTTTCCTTGAAAGGAAACAACTAAGGATGGATGGGGGGGGTTGGGAATGAACCCAGGGAGGGGATTTTCAAGGAATGGATGGTTTTGTCTGAGGTCAGGGGAGTTTTGCAGAAGGATGGTCAAGCCGCGTTTTGAGTTTGTTTTTGCAAGTCAGCCGCAGTATGCCGGACATGTGCGTGAAGCACTCGCTTTCAGGCAGCTGACGTTGCCCATCGCCGCCGGTCTGCTGTCGCTTGGCTTGAGCCGCCATTCACCGGTTTTGTTTGGATCGTTTTCAGGATGGGCTGGTTTTTTGTTTGGGAGCGTACTTCAATCATCTTCTACTCTGGAAACTCGGTGGCGCCACATGACAGGTTTTCCGCATGGCAGGCTCCAGCTTCTCGCCTGCTGGCATGACACGAACGCCTCAAGGGAGCTGGCCCAGAAATTTGGCTCATGACCAACCATTTTTAAAGGGTCAGAAGACTCCAGGTACCCACAGGTCGATTGTTGTCTTGGATGGTCGTTGAGCTGGGTGGCTGAGATGGTGTTCGCCTAGACCAGGTCTTCTAGAGAAGGCATGGTCAAAGATGCCCCGAGGAAGGCGTTCTCCTTACCAAGCCTCAAGTCGCCTTTTTTTTTTTGCTTTTTCTTGGATGGTCGTTGAGTTGGGCTGAGGAAGGTCTACGGCCAGGCCAAGCTCTGGGGCAAGGCCTGCAACCTCTGCCTCGAGCTGAGGGCCGCAGGCGCGCGAAGCGAAGCGGAAGAGCCGAAGCGAAGCGGCGCTTCGGGGGGCCGTGGCGTGGGGGGACGTGGGAGGAGCTGAAAGCGAATTTGGAGAGATGACGCGGGGTTCTTTGGGTGGTGCAAGCTGTTCTCCGTGTTTCTTCTTTTTTTGTTGTGCGGGGGGGAGGTGGGACCCGGCATTCCTTTCTTTTCTTCGTTGGGAGGCATCGCCTTTTGGTTGCCATGTTGGCAAGGAAACAGGGCTGCCATTGGACACCCAAGCCCTCCATGATGTTGATCCAGGGACACCCCCCCCATATTAAACAGGGGTGGATTAATCCGGGGTCAACATCCGCTGTTCTGGTTTTGTCTCCGCTTGCTAGGCATCCAGCCGGACACCGCTACCTATGGTGCCCTCATCAAGGCGGCGGAGAAGTCAAACGGAACACCCCTTTGAAGGGTCCCCATACAGAGAACACATCGTGTTGTCGGTCTTGAACCCAGCGAGATGGGTTTGGTTCATTCTGAGAGTTTGTCCGGGACTTTGGAACACCTTTCTCCTTGGCTTTTGCATCTTTACTCTGAGCCGGGCCTGGAGACAGGATTCCAGCGTTCTCTGTCGGCTATTTCAAAAAGCGTCTGCGCGGAGCTCCTGTTGCGGGTTGCCGCTGCTGGCATTTGGCATCTTTTTGAGTTCACACACACAAAAAATATATACCCCGATTCATGAGCCAGCTCCAGACACGGGCTTGTCTTGCTTTGGTGGAAGACTTCTGCGGGTTGCTCATTTCCGCCAGTGACAACCAGAAGGTTTCGCCAAACTGCAGCTACCTCAGCCAAGTTGCATGTAGTTCCGGGCCGAAAGTCAACCAACTCCGAGGACGAGCTTTCCCAATGCCAGGTGAGCTTCTAGGTATCTTATTGAATGACCGCCAGCTTTGAAAAGTTCACGATGACGCAAGAGGTAGTCGGCATGCTTTTCCTGGTTGGTCAAAGTCAGTGTTCCGAACTCTCCAGCGAGAAGCTTGATGAAAGGTCAGTAGGTCTGAAGAGTCGAAAAGTAGGGTTCTGGGAAGTATGCTTCCTCACTTCCTCACTTCCTGAGTTCCTAGACTTTAGTCACTGTTTCACATTTTGGGCCAAGTTTTAATGGTAAACAACAAGTTTAGTTGCTCTTTTTCTCCCATGCACTCGATCAGAAGTGAGCCGGTGGGTCCGAGTCAGTTGGTAGGGCTCTGGGAGTTTCACTTCCCGCAAATTGTAGGCTTTCTGGGAAGACCATCAGGTTCAGTTTCTATTTTGACGACTCCATTGTAGGCTGGTGCGACTGGCCTGTAGGGCTTGTTGCCTGGTTGCTTAGTTTGGTTTGGCTTGGCTTGGCTGGCTGGCTGGCTGGCTTGGCTTGCCTGGTTGGTTCCTTGGCTTGGTTTAGTCTTGGCTTGGCTTGGCTTGGTTGGTCGGTTGGTCTAGGTTTGGTCTGGGTTTGGTTTGGGCTTGCTTTGGTTTGGGTTTGGTTTGCCCGGTTGCTCTGCTCGGTTGGTTTGTGTTTGGCTCTTCGGTTTGGCTTCGGCTTCGGCTGTTTGGGTTGGTCGTTCCGTTTTTTTTTTGTCTTTTATTTCGCCCGAGCGGTTTCTTATTTAGGTCCCCCAGCTAGGTGCCCCTTTCTCACCCTTTTTTGGTTGGGAGGGTTCCCCCACAAAAATAGACACACAAGTAAACAGTTGGTACCCTTATTCTAACTTCTTTCCTGATGAAACCCATGTGCTTGGCTTGTGTATTCCGGTTTGAGAGGAGGAAGTGGTCTACAAGGAAGAACCAGTGCACGCTTTTTTCTCCAAGCTCTCCGCTGCCTTTTTACCTTGTTAGTAGGAGAAGGTTCCCCTACTAAAATAGACCTAACAGAAAAACAAAAACATCGGGTACCCTGAATCCAAGCTCTCCACCGGAGGACCTTCTTTTTTTTCTGCGAGGCGGCGGTGGAGGCGGGGCGGCAGGAGCTGGCACAGCAGCTCTTTCAGGCCGCGGTGGGAGGGGGGGGTTCCTCTGGGCCGGTGTGGTGGGTGGTTGGGGTGGGGTGGGGGCGGCTGAGGAGGGGGTGGGGGCATTTCTGAGGAGTACCTGAAGATTTGTTTTTCCCAAGTTTTGTGGGTGAGGGGGGGGGGGGAGGGTGGGGGGAGAGAAAAGGGTCGGTTTCGTGTCGATTTTCGAACGGTAAAGGGACAAGAAAGGAAGTGCTTTGTGGATGTGTGGCTTGATGCCTACTTTGGGGTTGGTTGAAAGGGCCACCAAAGGCGAGCCAGCTTTGTTTTGTGTGGGTGTTATGTTGAGACATCCCCACGGCCCCAAAACGCCAGCCGCCGTTTCGAGCACAAAAGGCCTGGGATAGCTTAAGGCTTGGGATGGGATAGGCCGAGGGTTTGGGGGTCAACCCGGGATGAGTCTGTGGTGACCAGCTTGGGGCTCTGCAAGCTGTTCACCCAGAGTCGATTTTTTTTGGGAGACTGAAGCCTCCCACAAAGTCTGTCACAGGTTCGTGCTTTCGAGGTTGGTCAAGATGGCCCCCCCCAAAGACAACTTCTCCTTCCGGGGTCGGATGTTGGAAGAGTTGTCACGACTGGATTGAGCACCTGGGGTTTACTCGGGAGCACCAACATCGGAGTTTTGGCTTCCCAGGTCGGTTTAAACCAGAGTTCAGAGGGAGTCAAGCTTTGATTTTGTGCCACCTGACTGGGCTTGGTCCTCCGACGAGGAAAGTGGGGCCATGTCCGTTGGCTTCATAGCGCGGAACATGTTTTTGTTCGTTTTGTGACTCATGGTTTTGCACTTGGTTCGTACGTGGTTTTTGGGACAGATATGGGCAACAGCATATATTTACCAATGACTGGCCCCTCTCTCATTTGCAGCTGGCAACGAAAAGGGTGCATTTTTCTTGAGGCTGGGCACCGGGTTTTGGGTCGTTAGGTTTAAATGGGAGACGGGTTTCGGACCGCGCGAACCGCGAGAAAAATCCGAAGCTTCGCAGCTTTAAACGCTGCGCGCTCCTTTCCGCTGCCCAGGAATCGGGGAATCCAGATGCCGGGAGCTCAGAGCGGCTCATTCGTACCTGGAGTTCCTTGGGCTTGCTTTTGGGGTTCCGTTGTAAACGGTGAAAGACCTCAACAAGAACGCCCACATGCAATGCTTGGCGGGTAGAGTTGCGTTTTTTTTTTTGGCTTTAAGCAGGGCTTGATGGTGTTCCAGTGGGCGTGCTGGGCGTCTTCAGTGCGGGCTGTTGATGGCACAGGCAAGTATGATAGCCCACTGGGAAACAAGTATCACAAACAACTCCTGAACCAAATAGTCTATCACCTTTGAGCTTGCCATTGTCAAACAGCAGGTGGTCAATTGATGAAGCCTCGAAACTGCTTTGGGGCGGGACTTTGTCCCAGCGGAGCGCTGTTGCCCAACTAGGCACGTGCAAGCACAAGAAGTGTCGACACCCAACCTTTGACCAAGCTTCAAGGTTCTAGAAAGCGGCTCAGAAAGCAACAAACACCTGCATGCGCCACGCACAATGCACGTACTGCAATTTCAGAAGTTGCGTGTGTAGTGGCCTATGTGGGTGTACTTTTTGAGGGTGTGTACCTTTTGCGGCCTTAACAGGAAGCCAAAAGGACACTTTCGGGGTCCCCCCAAAAAACAAGTTGCCCGCCAAGCTCTGCCGTCCTCAATTCGCCACATCCGGTACTGCAGAGATGGTGCAGTTTGCTCTTCCAGTGGGAAATCCAAAGCTTCGCCTCCCCCCGGCGGCACGCGGCGCAGCCCTCGTAAACCGTTTCACGGACAGATGTGATTCGCCCCTTGGCGCCTGCTGTGACTTGTTGTCATTCCGATGCTCAAGCTAAAGGCACGCAGGGCTTAGATCTCACAGCCGTGCGCCGTCAGCAATACCTATGAACTGGCCAACGCCTTAAGGATGTGCCTGGCATCTGCTTCCAAAGCAAACAAGTCAGGGAAGTACGGCGATGTTGCGTTCCAAGAAGAAGCATCAGCAGTTTCACAGGGTGTGCCTTTTCTCGTGGTTTGAAATGAAACCACAAGGACATGGGGGACCCTCCAACAACAAGGACACATCAAATGCAAACGGTGGGTTTCCTCTATTCCAAACACCTGCAGCTTTCACTGATGATTTTTCATCAATTTTCCGACCTTGGTCTATGCCTCAAAGAAGCTAGACAGGGCCTACATGATTCGTACTTGAGATATGCCACATATGCTATTTGCCTGTGGGTGAAAACCTTGGTACCCCATCTTTCAGATTCCCCTCAAGAATGGACCAAACAAAAGACACCCATTTGTACTCACTTGGCCTCTCGAATAGTCTCCAATAAAGGCTTGTCTCACAGCGGGGTTTCCCCCCAAAAATATGTAAATAATAACAAACAACACACAAACAACAAAGCAATGGCCGGCTTTCCTTGTTATTCCCCTATCCAACCAGAAGATGAGGGGCTTTTCTCGGCCTCACGAAGAGAAAGACGAGGACACAACAGAACAATGGCCGGCCTTCCTCCTTATTTCCCCCTCCAACAAACAAATCTCTCGGCTTTTCCCGCACTCCCCGCGGCTTTCAAAAAACCCACCCGCCCGGTTCGGCTGGTGCGGCTCGGTTTTTTTCTCAGGTGATGAACGTCATGTCCATGATCCGCTCCGCCGGACGGGAGCGGAACGTGAAAAAGGCTCTGGAGCTCCTGGAGGCCCTGGAGACCGCCTCGCGGCTCGGCCGCGGATTGGGCGCGGGACCTCGTGAGGCTCAGAGCGGATGAGTTTTCCGAAGTGGATTTTGTGGCTCAAAGCGATCGGAGGTGGGCAAACCGCAGGTCTGGGGCATTTCTGGTCCATGTTGCCACTTAGGGCAACCCACTTTGGAATTCCGGGTTTTTGAGCCGCGGCCAAGTCCGGGAATCGCACCACGAAATGAAGCCATGGGAGAAACCATTTGGTCGTGGGTATGTGCGGGGGAATCGGTTTCTTAGGTGGTGCGAGATGGATTTCGTCCATCCACAGTAGTGCGGCGTTTTACATGGCGCAGGCGTGACTTCCTAGAAGGGCAGCCAGAGATATGGTTTGGAGGTTGGAGGTTTGATGGTCAGATAGGGGTTTCTATTTGTCGATTTAGAAGGGCAACAAGAGATATGGTTTGGTCTCAGATTGGAGTTGGTGTTGCTTGTATAGGCATTTCGTTCTCTTTTTTTTGGATGGGGACACTTGCACTGAGAAGGCACGAAGATCCCAGTGATGAATCCATGATGTTCTGTTTGCTTTCGTGACGCATTGTCTTCCTAAGGGATGTTGCTGGAGGGCCTTAGGGGCCAAATAGGATCATGCCTTTTGCAGGGTGCGGTGCAGTCCGGAGGTTCGTCAATAGACTCGGCGCATGCTAGGTCCTTTTTCAACACTTGCTGGTGCGATAAGTAGGGGAATGAGCCATGGTTCTGGGAATGATCCGTTCCGGCATTCCCTGGGATGGTTCTTCGGGGTCATTCCATGCCTATCGAACCAGCAAGAAAAGATTTCCTGTGTATGCCTTTGTTCTCTTCCTCTTGTGCCCTTAAAAAACAAAGAGGCGCCATAGATTGGTTCTTCGAGCCAAGATTGGTTTCCACGGAGAGTTTCTTTGAGGGCGGTTCTCGGGCCTCCCGAGCGCTGGCTCAGGATGCCAGGTTTCTTGGCTTGCGGAGGACCCAAGAACCCAAGGATCCGTGTATTCATGGTTGTCGTTGGGAAACAATTGAGACATCTTTGCTTATTGTGGTTTAGTGGTTGAAATCCAACCACTGAACTGCTAAAGTTTGATAATTTTTGCTCCCCAAACCCAACGCCAACCAATTTTCTGGACATGCCGAATGAAGCGAAGGGCTTTGCCCCTCGCCGGACAATTTGGCTTTCTGGACGCCCTAGGCGAACACCTAGATTTTCATGACCAGCGCAACATCAGCTCCGAGACCGATCGCAAACAAGCACCACGAGGGAAAAAATAGAAAACCCGCAGAAGGGGAGGTGAGTCAAGAAAGTGCTTCGGGTGCTTGGAATTTCGATGGGACAGAGAGCCAAAAGTGCTGCTTGAAGTCGCTGAAGGGACTGGAACCCAAACCCCGGGCTCACGGCCGGGTCCCGATTGAGCACCTGAGCACCCGAGGCCGGAGCCGCTGGATGCGACGACCTACAATTGCGCCCTGGAGGCTCGGCCTTCGGGTTTGGGGTTTGGGGTGGGAGGAGCTGAAGCCGGAGGCATCTCCAAAGTGCCCAGTGACGCCCTGCTTTCCTTTCTTTTTTTTGGGGGGCAAGGTTCCCCTTCAAACTCCAACCAAAAAGGAAGCGGCCTTTTTTGTCTCGTGGCCAATGGGCATCTGAGATCTCCAAAGTGCGAATTCGGGGCAAGTTCGGGCCAAGCAGAACTGGCAGTCTTCACAACCGAACAGCCCAATGCAGATTCGCTGAGCAAGCTTCTTTTGATTTTCAGGGTCTTCATCCCTTGCGCTTTGGCTTGTGATTTTTCGGTTAGACAATCCGGAGCCCCATGAAGCCATTTCAGGATGGACGACTTGGATGGAGTGATTCCACGGGATCCCTTGGAAGCGACCAAGTCAGCAGATCTTGGGGGTTATTTTCCACCATGTCCCATCCTAAGGTTTAGTCGCCGCCTGGGTGGGAAACGTTTTTTCGAGGGTCGCCTTCTCAACCGACTTTGCCTCTAAAATAGGGTCTTCCTGGTTTCCTTCACCATGCCAATAAAGGTAATTGCCAACTCCAACACAAATCAAGGGGTGTGTCAATTTCGGACCCTTGTTGGTTGGTGTTTTTTTTTGGGCTACCGAGAGGAATTGCTCTTGCTTGTGCAACGGTGTTGGTGTGTCAATGTTTTGGGAGCATGTTTTTTTGGGTGTCGAGGCCCAAAGCACTTGCTGGTGCTCAACAGAGAATGAGAAATGGAATGACCCTGAAAAAAACATCCATCCCTCTTGATTTCCCTTTCTTCGGGAATCCACCCGTTGTTGCAATGGTGTCCTTTCTTCGGGAATCTCGACTTGTTCGACTTGTTCGTTCCCAACACCCGCACTCGTCGTAATTCCCTACCTCATGGGTGCTGGGGGGGCAGGGAGGGGAGGGGGAGGGAGCCCAAATAAGCCCTTTGGCCCTTAATTTCGGCCTTATTTAGGGCTTCCTCCCCCTCCCCTCCCAGTAGCCCCCATGGTTTTTGCTGTGGTTTATTCGGGTTTCTCGACTTGTTCCTTCCAGCACCCGGCCTCGTGGTTCCTATGTTTTTTGTCTTGGGAATCACCGGGACTTCTTCGTTCCCAGCACCACCCGGACTGGACCTGCGATCCGGGAGGCCTGTGTAGCGGCCTCGGACCGCGCCAGCGCGGAGCAGCTGCTGCGGCGCATGGCGAGGCAAAAGGCGGTGGACGTGGTGTCCTACAACACGCGCCTCCGGCTGGATCTGGAGTTTTTCCGGCGCCGCGGTGTGGTTTCTTTCTTACTTTTTTTTTTTTCGGGGGGGGAGGGGGGAGGGGGAGGGGAGGGGGAGGGTCTTTAGATGTAGAGTATATCTCTATATGTCGCGTTTTTTTTTTTGGGGGGGGGGGAGGGAGGGGAGGGGGATGGTCTTTAGATGTAGGCGCGTTTTTTTTTTTTGGGGGGGGGTGGGGGTGGGGGAAGGGGGAGGGTCGTTAGATGTAGGGTATATATATATATATACAGGGATTACTGGGATGACTAGATCTTCTCTGCAAGGCCAGGTAGAACCACCTGATTTTCTTTCTTTCTTTCTTTCTTTCATGCTTTCAGGCTTCGGGTCTGGAACCTACTAAAACGGCTAGTGTGTCTTGACAGGACCCCCAAAATGGGTTTCCCCAGCAGCCAACCCAAGGGCTACAACAAAACACAAGTAGGCCTTGGGTGCCCCAGTGCGGGTTGCGAGAGATGGGCCGCGGAAAATCACGAACATGGAACCCAGCAGGTGCCTTTAGAGGAAAGTCTTCTAGGACCCCCAGTGAAGTTCCATGGTGACGGAAAATCTGGTGCAAGGTTTTTCATGCGGATGTGGCACATGACAAGGGGAGCCTTTGGAGGCGCTGCGCGAGAAACACATGGTCCCGTCTTCGTAGCGGGCTGCAAAATCACTTCCAGCATTTCCCCGGTGGTTCCAACGATTGTTGTCCGACCTAAGAACACGACTCGAGGAAATTAACCTTGTGGCTCCCGGAAAGAATGGCCATTTATAGACATATTTATAGACATGTTGAAAAGGTGGCCCAACCTGATCGGAGAAAGCCCAAGAGCAAAATATGGCGGCCCAAAAAAGAAAAAAACACGGCAGAAAATGCTCCCCCTACACAAAAAGACATGGGTCTGTGTTTGATCATTGCTTGCGCGACAGTTTGTTCTAAAACTTCTTGAGGCGAGCGATCAGTTTTTGCGGTCCCTTCCGGGATGGGTCGGTTGTTGCGGTTCGGGCGCTGAAGACCATGTTTTTGGTTCCTCTCAAAAGGATTATTTTTTGGATTTGAAGTATTTTTTCGGACCAGGCTTTTTTTGTTCCTCTCAAAAGGATCATTTTTTTTTTGGTATTCTTCCTTTGGATTTGAAGAGGGTTTGTCTTATTTGGAAGACCGTTTTTTGCCTATTCTTGGCGTGCCAGCAACTTTGCGCAGCTTTTGACTTTGCGCAGCTTTTGATGGAGGCATGATTGTGGCCCTTGCACGATGCGGTTTGTGTGGCTGGGGCCTGTCATGAAGGGTACATGTTTACAGGACTGTCATTTCTATCCAATTCACTCGACACCAGCTTTCGCTGTGATGCTTTGGCATACTTGCCAAGTCGTGCAATGGAAGAACACGGGAAACCCGTACAGGGCGTAAGACACTTGGCGCTGCGAGCTTGCGGGTTGATGTGGCTGTCACAAGTCGTGTGTTGCCCGATTCATGCCATCCATTCCCAGATCCGTACACTTTTTGAAGGGGAGACCTCTTCAAGGGGACACTTGCAACAAAATGGGACTGCTTTCAAACACTTGAAGGTGTTTACCCTCACTCCGACTAAAGTGGCACCTGACAGGGCTCCCTACAAGATGAAAATGGTCTTCCAGGTGCCCTCCCGCCTATACTAGTGGAAGGGAGGGTACTCCCTTTTTTGCAGGTTCATCAAGCTGCTTCTGTCCTCCAAGCTGCACGGCGAGGTGCGCGACATGCTGCAGGACCGTGGGCCCACTGGGTCTCCGTATGGGTTTGGCCTCTTTGCAAGGTGAGTGGGTGGTTTTCTCGCGGTTTCCCCTTGAACAGCATCGGAAAAAGAACGGGGATCCTCACATACAAATACTCCGGCATAGACCCCAGATAGCATGGGACATCTCAGTGGCACCCTGACCAGCACCCTGACTGCATCGCCAAACAAGCACAGCCAGCACCCCAAACTGCATGCCCTTTAGCACCCTGCCTCCATCTCGCAAACATGCGCCCGCACCGTCACCAGCGCCTCAAGCAGCACACCGTCTCAAACAGCACCTGCACCAGCACCCTAAAGCGTATGCCCCCTGGCACCCTGCCATTCCCTAGCACCCTGCCATTCCCTAGCACCCTGCCGCCAATCTCGCAAATCACTTTCCCCTTGTTATTCGAAGTTAGAACCCCTATAGCTTTCAGCTATCTGGGGAAAAAACAATCAACAACAAGCCAAATGTCGCTTTCCTTGAAGGGGTGCTTGAACCAATATTAAGTGGGCCCAACATATGCAGGGAAACGACACAGAAAGGAGGGCATGACATCATGTGCCGTTGGCAGTGTAAGGAGAATGTGCATAAGATGATCCTATTCCAACATAGAGGTTTCTCAGGGCGCGGCATGGTTTGGGGTGTCTCGTTTCGGTCCTAGTTTGCGTCTCGTTTCGGTCCTAGCTTCTGTTCGTTCCAGTCCTAGTTTTTTTGGTCGTTCTACACTGGTCCCAGAACATGTATGATCTTCGGACACAGCCGCTGGCTGCTGATGAGTCGAGTTGAGTCGAGTCGAGTTGAGTTGACTGGGACCAAAATGAACTGCACGCACTCTCTTGCACATAGAAGGTGCCAGTATTTTTGTCTCTCGGAAGCATGGCGTGGTTTTACCATTGCCCCCCTTCTTTGGTTGAACATCTGATGCTCTCGCAGAAAATTATTGCTGAATCCCCCTGCTTCTTAAATTTCTCTCTCAAAGAGGGATTCAAGGTCCCCGAGTAGTGCCCTTTTACTCTTTTTTGGGGGAGGTAAACCTCTCCGCTGGAGGACCTAGGATTATTTTTATGACATTGTTGCAGCCACACACTGAGGTGTCTTGAAGTATTTATTTTTTTCAAAAAATCATCGATTTCATGATCCTCAACACTATCCTTTTTTAATCCTCATCGTTTGTCATTATCCTCCAGTTTTTTTTTTGTTTTTTTTTATATTATTATTATTATTATTATTATCCGCATCGTTTTTCATTATCCTCAAGCCTGCCTGCCTGCCTGCCTGCCTGCTCGCTCGCTCGCTCGCTCACTTGTTTTGCTTTGCTTTGCTTTGCTTCGCTCGCTTGCTTTGCATTTTGCGCAAGACATGTCTGACGGTGGCTGTGTTGAAGCTCGTTTCAAATCGTGTTCCAGGCTGGAGAACAGGGGAGGAAAATAGGGAGGATGATTTTTGGAAGGTTGATGTCAGGCAGGATAATTTGTTGGATGATTTTTTGAAGATGGATTCCGGTCAGGATGATTTTTCGAAGATTTTTCGAAGATTGTTCGAAGATTTTTCGAATATTGTTCGAAGATTTTTCGAATATTTTTCGATGATTTTTTGAAAAAAAGCAGGAGGGTTTTGCAACTTTTTGCTTTCCTGACCACTGTGAAGGGGGGTTGGTCCAGAAAATGTGGGTTGGGGATGAATTTTCGAAGATTTTTTCGATGATTTTTTGAAAAAACAACAGGAAGGTTTTGCAACTTTTTGCTTTCCTGACCACTGTGAAGGGGGGTTGGTCCAGAAAATGTGGGTTGGGGATGATTTTTTGAAGATTTTTCGATGATTTTTTGAAAAAAAACAGGAGGGTTTTGCAACTGTTTGCTTTTCCTGTCAGTCTCAGGAAGAGGACGAGTGAAAAGGGAAAGAAGGAACAGGGCAGGGCAAAGAGAATTGGAGAGGACAAGGAAGAGAAAAAAGAGAAAGGATATGGAACATGGAAACAAGAAGAGGGAAATGGAAAAGGGTAAGGAACGGGAAGGAACGGGAAGGAAAGGAAAATGGAAACGCAGAGAATGGAAGCGATGTGGAGGAGGGATGAAGGAGGAGGGAGAGGATTATTTTTCGATGATGTTTTTTGCAGAGGATGATTGTAGGATGATTTTTGGATAGGTTTGAGGATAACCAAATCTATGATTTTTTGAAAAAATAAATATTTCAAGATTTCCAGTCTCTGGCTGGCTAAAAAAATCATAAGATTATTTGCGTTGGATTTCCCTCTGGGTCAAAGGTAAACTGAGCAGTGGAGCCGGCTGTCACCAGGAACCTGTGCTTGGTCCTTTCCAGGATTTCCTCCTGAAATTAGATGGAGGTGCTGGCCCCAACGAGGAAACATGGCCCAAAGCGGCACGTCAAGTCTCCGTCACGAGCCTCGCGGAGAACGCGCCAGGAGATGCGGGATCAGGGCATTTCGCCCAATGTGGTGACCTACAACTCAATCATCAAGGAGGGACATGTGGGGGCGCAGGCAGTTGGATGGGGCTGGCAGACTGGGGATTTTCGGTTGGGGTCGACACGATCTGGATGAATAGAGCCGCTTGAGAATCGGATGTCTCACTGGAAGAGGTGACTGCAGCTTCCGGGCATCCAAGTGACTGCTGCTTCATGGGAACGGAATACATAGAGACCCTTCCTGGCTCTGAAGGAGCAAGCAGGCTGCATGCCAGCCCAGAACCTTGAGCAACCGCTATTGGCCAGGCTTAGGTTTCAGAGCGCCTCGCAACTTTTTTTCGGAAGCGCGGCCGGTTCGGGGCGCGCCATCCGGATCCCTTGAACAGCTCGCTTCCAGATCTCGGAAGGAGGCAGCCATTCGTGACATGGACACTGCCTGGCAACTCGCAGAGGCAGGGCCGAGCGCAGAGGGAGGGCATCGTCTTCCGTTGCACGCTTTGGAAGATGCAGCCCGTTGTCCTTTGAAGGGAAACCAAAGTGGCGATCGTGTCCGTGGAAGCCAAAAGGCAACTTGAACCTTTGGGGACGTTCTATGACACCCTCAAGTCCCACAGGTCAAGGTGATGGTTCGAGCGGGAAAGGTGAATCGATCATACACCAAACACGCTTGGCTGCACCGTCGGCCGGACACCTGGGTCACAGGGATTCTATTATTATTTTTTGCTGGCTGGGGCCCCATTTGATCAACGCCATTGCGGTGTCTCTCTCTCTCTTTCTCTCTCTCTCTCTCTCTGTGTGAGTGCTGGAAAGGCAAGTTCACATTTTTTGGACATGGAAATCATTGGATCCGATGTCACTGCGGAAACCCGCCAAGGAGCCGCCGGCTGGCTGCTAGTCCCTGACGAGACATGTCTTCCTAATGCTATCCGATTTGAGAAGGAGACTCTCGCCAGAAGCACAAGAACATAACTTTAACGACAACAAGTAGAACTTTGACCTGGAGATTTGGTTTTTCATGCATCTGCCTTATGTTTCACTGTTTCAGCGTCTGAAAGGATTTCGTGGTAACTAAGCCCACAACCCAAGGCAAAGTGACCGAACTTCCCAAAACCCTATCCAGAGCTCAAGTTTTTTGTTTGTTTTTTCTGACAAATCCTGGCAGAGGATTGAACCCAAGAATAGAAGTACTCTTTCTTTTCAAACTGGGGATGTGTTGTAGTATGATTGTTCAGTATATGGACATGGTTGTTCAGAACAAGATGAAAGCAGGTCAATGCATATGTGCCAGAACGGATTCATAAAGAACTTGGAGGGCTGTCATATCGGGATGAGCTGTCGTTATGTGCAGCATCCTGTATGGAGAAGCCATTGGACGCGATACCCCCTGGTCCATTTGCGCAACCACATCATGAGCTCGAAACCACACCCCTCACGGCAAGCCTTGGGGAATCCCAGCTCACCCTGGCGGCGGTGGCTATTTGGGACCTTACATAAGGACTCTTTGCTGTGCAAACCTCCCCTCAAGGGGTTGCGGGGTTATGAGGCCCTGAATAGTTAGAATGGGGTTGCGGAGCACTTTGAAACAAGCAATCTATTGGTCATGATTTAGCTGCTTCCATTCGGGGTGTTTTAAAATAGGCTTCCCCTGTGGTGTCCCTTAAACCATCCCAAGAAGTGTACCCTCAAAAAGCACACACACACAAACATTAGACCAGAGGTCAAACCCAGTCACCCCAAGCCCACTTCCCCACCCGAACTCCAACCTACCCCACCCCAACCCCCCCCCCCAACCCCACCTTTCTCGACCCCTCCACTCCCACCCACCCCCCTCAACCCCACCGCTTCCGATCTTGAGGAGATGCAAAGCCTCGGCCTGCGCCCGGATGTGTACACCGCCTCCATCCTGGTGGCAGGCTGATCTAAACACGTCCCAGACAGCCGGAACCCCCTGGAAACGGGGCGGCGGCGTTGGAGGGTTTCAAAGTAACGGCTCTCCTTGGACTTTCTTCCAACTTTTCTTTTTCAAGCGCGCCTCTTCTTTTTTGTTTGTGCTCCGGAGCTTTTTTCTTCTTTTCTCCTCCGCTTTGGCATTCCCCTCGCCGCGCGCGTTTTGTTTGCTCGGAGACGCGGGCCGCTCGCTCGCCCGATTTCGCCCGCAGGCCTCCGGAAGGAGCCGCGGGGGCCCTCGGTGGGCCGGGTGCTGCAGCTGATGACGGACAGCCCGGGGGCCAAAACGACAGCCCGGACGCCGGGAGGGGCGGACGCCGTGCGCCGGGAGCCGGAGAAGCGGATCTCCGGAGTCTCCGCCCCCCCCCAAAAAAAATGGGTGAGTCCCCCCGCCCCCCCAAAAAAAAAACGAGAAGAAGGGTGAGTTGGGATCTCCCCCCGCAAAAATGGGCGAGTCTTTCTTTGAGCGCCCTTTTGATGGTTGGTGGTGTTTGAAGGGGAAAAGTCGGGCAAGAAGGCGGTGTTTTGTTGGGCCCGTTTGGGTATTGGTCAAAATGTTCAACCACCAGCGGAGAAAGGTTGAATCGTCCATGTTTCCGTTGACCGTCGTCTTTCTTTGAGCGCCCTGTGTCGGGGTGGCGTTGTTTTTTTTGGTTCTCGGACAAATCGGCCAAGAAGCCACTATTTTGGGGGTCCAACCTTACAAAAAGGGGGAACACACACCCATTTGGGTATGGGTCCAAATGTTCAACCGGACCGCAGGTTGAGTCGTCCATGTTGACCAGGGTTTCATATTGGGTGCCCATGTTTGGCCACTAAATTTACTTGTTTTCGTTAAGCCAGGATCGTTGTGGAACCTCCTGTTGGGATCTGGGGCTCCCTTTTTCGGGCAGGTGAATCTGGGTTTGTTTCTAAAATAGGGGATCCCCCTTTTAATGGGTGGGTTTCCTGGTGATTTTTCCCGAAGAAAACCACCCTCAAAAACCCGGAAATTACACTCTCATGTTTTTGGCGGGCTTTTGTTTGGCCAATCCCCTCGAAGGCATAGCGAGCTGACCTGTGGGTCAAGCCTCCTCGTGCCTGCATCGCTTCTGCCCGCATCCACCCACGTCACGACGTCTAAGACAATTCTCCGTGGGTTGGTCAACTTGCGGAGTCTGGCAGTTCGTGTTTGAGGGGAAGCCCCCTTTCAACTTGGACACAGAGGTGACGCTCCCTGACAGGAGGGACAGGCACTGAAACCTTTTGTCAGGAAGGCTTCAGGGATCAGGGAATCTGTGTGCGGGGCAGGATGTCCTTCTTTGATGGAGCCTGGCATCAAGGAAAAGACGGGACGTTTTTGAAACCAAGCTGGACGACCCAAGTTGCGACACTGTCCTGATCTAGCCCCCGCTTGTTTGCTTCAAGCAAGAAACCTGTAGATGCTATGCATTCTCGGCGCCCAAAACGCACATGGGTTTCGTCTCATACAAACAAGCCCAACAAACAGTCTTTGCTTTTTGGTTTCCAAGAGTAGGGACTTCTGACTCTTGGCGGTGGTTTCCCTTTGGTCCTGCAGCACTTTTCGGAGTTCCAACCATGGCATCAACCAGTTCTGGTGGGCCAAGTAACATGTTGAAGTCACGAATTTAGCCCCTTTTGGTTTGGTGGGCAAAGGGGCCAAGGTGAACTTTCGTCGCAACTTGCTAGTAGTTTCTCTTTGGCAAGGGCCGAGGCAAAAGGTGGTTAGCCCTCACAGGATGGGGTACCAAAGAAAACTGCAGTCGGCGAGGTCACATTGTGCCGGACGAGGTGCTGCTGAATTGTCTTCTGGACGTGTGCATCCGCCTGAAGGCCTCCGCACACGCCCGTTTGAAAGTTTGAAAGCGCTCGAGTCTTTCAGTATCTCTGTCTCTCTCTCTCTCTCTCTCTCTCTCTCTCTCTCTCTCGCTCTCTCTCTCTCTCTCTCTCTCTCTCTCTCTCTCTCTCTCTCTCTCTCTCTCTCTCTCTCTCTCTCTCTCTCTCTCTCTCTCTCTCTCTCTCTCTCTCTCTCTCTCTCTCTCTCTCTCTCTCTCTCTCTCTCTCTCTCTCTCTCTCTCTCTCTCTCTCTCTCTCTCTCTCTCTCTCTCTCTCTCTCTCTCTCTCTCTCTCTCTCTCTCTCTCTCTCTCTCTCTCTCTCTCTCTCTCTCTCTCTCTCTCTCTCTCTCTCTCTCTCTCTCTCTCTCTCTCTCTCTCTCTCTCTCTCTCTCTCTCTCTCTCTCTCTCTCTCTCTCTCTCTCTCTCTCTCTCTCTCTCTCTCTCTCTCTCTCTCTCTCTCTCTCTCTCTCTCTCTCTCTCTCTCTCTCTCTCTCCTTCCCCTCAGCCTCCCCCCCCTCCCCTCCCCTCCCCTTCCCCTTCCCCACTCCCTCCCCTCAGCCTCCCCTCAGCCTCCCCTCAGCCTCCCTCCCCTTCCCCTTCCCCTCCCCTCCCCTCCAGCCTCCCCTCCCTTCCCCTTCCCTCCCCTCCCCTCAGCCTCCCCTCAGCCTCCCCTCCCCTCAGCCTCCCCTCCCCTCCCCTTCCCCTCAGCCTCCCCTCCCTCAGCCTCCCCTCCCCTCCCCTCCCCTTCCCCTTCCCTCCCCTTCCCTTCCCCCCTCCCCTCAGCCTCCCCTCCCCTCCCGTCCCCTCCCCTCCCCTCCCCTCCCCTCCCCTTCCTCCCTCCCCTCCCCTCAGCCTCCCCTCAGCCTCCCCTCCCCTTCCCCTTTTTCCTCCCCTCCCCTCAGCCTCCCCTTCCCTCCTCCCCTCACCTCCCCTCAGCCTCCCCTCCCCTCCCCTCCCCTCCCCTCCCCTTCCCCTTCCCTCCCCTCCCCGCACCTCCCCTCAGCCTCCCCTTCCTTCCCTCCCTCCCCTCACCTCCCCTCAGCCTCCCTCCCTCAGCCCCTCCCCTCCCCTCCCCTTCCCTCAGCCTCCCCTCCCCTCAGCCTCCCCTCCCCTCCCCTCCCCTTCCCCTTCCCTCCCCTTCCCCTTCCCCCCCTCCCCTCGCGGGTTGTTTGTTTTGTCGTTGCTTTCTTCATTGACAATCGTTGGTGTTCGATTCATTTGGCACGGCTCCGTCCTCACCATCGGCTTCTTCGCTTGGATGGCCGGGTTGCCCAGACAGTGAATCAAAGCATGAAACTTGCTTGATGGAAGCGCCTCTTGGTGATATCAAAAGCAGATGGTGCTTCCGCAGTGTGTGAAGTCTCAAGCTTTGGCAATGGCATTGAATCAACTTCGAAATTTGCTGAACAAACTCACGGACGCGAATGAGCGAGACTTGGGAGCAGCCTTGTTGAGCGAATTGGCTGAGAAGCATGAGGAGACGAAGAAGGCACAAGAGGAGACGAAGAAGGTACAAGAGGAGACGAAGGCGGCGCAAGCGAAGCTCGTGGGATCTCTGGAGGCACGGAGATGCAGGTGTCATGTTTGTTTCCTCCGTGTTGAGTTTTGAGTCCCCACAAAAGTAAGCCGTTGTTGAGCCAGAAAACCCTGAAGGAAGTTTCCCAGCTGAAAGATGAGAAGATTCGTGACCTCTTGATACAGATGTCCAAGTACCAGTGTGTCCTTGACACCAGACCCATGCTCGAGTTGGGACTTCACGAATACAGACAAAGAAAGCAAAAGCGATTGGACGGCATTACACATGTGCAGATGTGCTCTGAGTTTCAAAATGAGACCATGCTTTGCGAGAGCCATTACGGCATTGGATTGGCGCTGAATGAATGGAGCACAACGACAGTGAAGGAGATCGAAGATGGTCTGCATTGCAAGTTCTCCATAGATCTGAAGGAGTTTGTGAAGGCTCTGCGAGATGTGTATGGGAGTCTTTCAAGAGTCCATCATGTTACCCCCGTTTTCGCAGAGGGCTCTGGCTTCTGTATCTCTTGTACAGAGCCCCGTCTCACAGGAGCAACCGCCCTTATGATTTGCGCCCTCCGCAAGCAGGGTTGCCTGAGGCAAATTGCAGTACAAGCTCTTCTTGGCGACCACGCCATCTCAATTGAAGAGGACGGCAGTGTCAAGCCCCTGCACAATGAAAAAACGTGAGTTGCAGAAGTTCTGTAAGCTAGCAAAGGCATCAAAGGATGTCTCAATGAAGATGTGAATGCATTACCAGCACAGCGGACAGCAGTGAGACATCCATGTGCTTCACAGCCACCGTAGGAACAATGCAGGGAACGGCATCCCCAAAATATGGGACACGGCATATCCTTTATCATGGGACACGGCATCCCGATTTTATGGGACACGGCATCCCCTTTTTATCGGACACGGCATCCCGATTTTATGGGACACGGCATCCCCTTTTTTATGTTTATCATGGGACACGGCATCCCGATTTTATGGGACACGGCATCCCCTTTTTTATGTTTATCATGGGACACGGCATCCCCTTTTTTTATGTTTATCATGGGACACGGCATCCCGATTTTATGGGACACGGCATCCCCTTTTTATCGGACACGGCATCCTGATTTTATGGGACACGGCATCCCCTTTTTTTATGTTTATCATGGGACACGGCATCCCGATTTTATGGGACACGGCATCCCCTTTTTTTTATGTTTATCATGGGACACGGCATCCCCTTTTTTATGTTTATCATGGGACACGGCATCCCGATTTTATGGGACACGGCATCCCCTTTTTTTATGTTTATCATGGGACACGGCATCCCGATTTTATGGGACACGGCATCCCCTTTTTATCGGACACGGCACCCCGATTTTATGTGACACGGCATCCCCTTTTTTATGTTTATCATGGGACACGGCATCCCGATTTTATGGGACACGGCATCCCCTTTTTTTATGTTTATCATGGGACACGGCATCCCCTTTTTTTATGTTTATCATGGGACACGGCATCCCGATTTTATGGGACACGGCATCCCCTTTTTTTATGTTTATCATGGGACACGGCATCCCGATTTTATGGGACACGGCATCCCCTTTTTATCGGACACGGCATCCCGATTTTATGTGACACGGCATCCCCTTTTTTATGTTTATCATGGGACACGGCATCCCGATTTTATGGGACACGGCATCCCCTTTTTTATGTTTATCATGGGACACGGCATCCCGATTTTATGGGACACGGCATCCCCTTTATGTTTATCATGGGACACGGCATCCCGATTTTATGGGACACGGCATCCCCTTTTTTATGTTTATCATGGGACACGGCATCCCGATTTTATGGGACACGGCATCCCCTTGTTATCGGACACGGCATCCCGATTTTATGGGACACGGCATCCCCTTTTTTCGGACACGGCATCCCGATTTTATGGGACACTGCATCCCCTTGTTATCGGACACGGCATCCCGATTTTATGGGACACGGCATCCCCTTTTTATGGGACACGGCATCCCGATTTTATGGGACACTGCATCCCCTTGTTATCGGACACAGCATCCCGATTTTATGGGACACGGCATCCCCTTTTTATCGGACACGGCATCCCGATTTTATGGGACACTGCATCCCCTTGTTATCGGACACGGCATCCCGATTTTATGGGACACGGCATCCCCTTTTTATGGGACACGGCATCCCCTTTTTATGGGACACGGCATCCCGATTTTATGGGACACTGCAGCCCCTTGTTATCGGACACGGCATCCCGATTTTATGGGACACGGCATCCCCTTTTTATCGGACACGGCATCCCGATTTTATGGGACACTGCATCCCCTTGTTATCGGACACGGCATCCCGATTTTATGGGACACGGCATCCCCTTTTTATCGGACACGGCATCCCGATTTTATGGGACACGGCATCCCCTTGTTATGGGACACGGCATCCCCTTTTTATGGGGCACGGCATCCCCTTTTTATCGGACACGGCATCCCGATTTTATGGGACACGGCATCCCCTTTTTTTCGGACACGGCATCCCGATTTTATGGGACACGGCGTCCCGATTTTATGGGACACGGTATCCCCTTGTTATGGGACACGGCATCCCCTTTTTATGGGACACGGCATCCCGATTTTATGGGACACGGCATCCCCTTTTTATCGGACACGGCATCCCGATTTTATGGGACACGGCATCCCCTTTTTATCGGACACGGCATCCCCTTTTTATGGGACACGGCATCCCCTTTTTATGGGACACGGCATCCCGATTTTATGGGACACGGCATCCCCTTTTTATCGGACACGGCATCCCGATTTTATGGGACACGGCATCCCCTTTTTTTCGGACACGGCATCCCGAATTTATGGGACACGGCGTCCCGATTTTATGGGACACGGTATCCCCTTGATATGGGACACGGCATCCCCTTTTTATGGGACACGGCATCCCGATTTTATGGGACACGGCATCCCCTTTTTATCGGACACGGCATCCCGATTTTATGGGACACGGCATCCCCTTTTTATCGGACACGGCATCCCCTTTTTATGGGACACGGCATCCCCTTTTTATGGGACACGGCATCCCGATTTTATGGGACACTGCATCCCCTTGTTATCGGACACGGCATCCCGATTTTATGGGACACGGCATCCCCTTTTTATCGGACACGGCATCCCGATTTTATGGGACACGGCATCCCCTTGTTATGGGACACGGCATCCCCTTTTTATGGGGCACGGCATCCCCTTTTTATCGGACACGGCATCCCGATTTTATGGGACACGGCATCCCCTTTTTTTCGGACACGGCATCCCGATTTTATGGGACACGGCGTCCCGATTTTATGGGACACGGTATCCCCTTGTTATGGGACACGGCATCCCCTTTTTATGGGACACGGCATCCCGATTTTATGGGACACGGCATCCCCTTTTTATCGGACACGGCATCCCGATTTTATGGGA